TAGAAATATCAGTTGCACGCTGGCGCGGGTCTCCGAGAGGCGATACCATGCATCCCGCGGCGCCCGCACCAACTGACGGGATTATTTACATGGAAGTCGAGTGATATTTTATTTAATAAGCAGAACTTACATGGAAGCCGAGTGATATTTTATATAATAATATAAATATTATTTGCACGCAGGCGCTGATCTCCGAAAGGCGCGACGCTATACCACGCATTCCGCGGTGCCCGCACCAACTGACAGCATTATTTATGGAATAAATCAGAAAAATCTGAATCTCTGATAAATATTTGAACCAATTTTTCACATTTTTCAAGTTCTAGATTGATTTATTGCAGCCTTCTGACATTAAATCTGATCTAACCTGCATAGGAATCACCATTACAAATACGGGAAGTAAAATCACCAAATAGTTCACCAAAAAATAAAAAATAAACTGTTTTTTTCACGGTAACCTATAGGCCACTGTAACGCCAGCGGGACCGCTTTCGTTTTAACGGCGGTCTTTGAAAAGTGGACTGCAAACTCGCGACAACAGATTGGCGTCTGTTGCTACAAATTTTGACGTAAATTTCTAATTGGGTGTGTAGTCTTCAAATTTGTAACGAAATTAGATGACGGAAATGTAACATTGATATAAAGGGAACGATATATGCGGCAGCAGATGATATATTGAATATAAACTACCATTTTGCAAAAAAATGACAACAGCTAGGTGAATAAAGTGACAATATGAATAGCAATAAAGAATTTGACAATAAAAGAAATTGCAGGTAAATAGTAGGTTTACGTTTGGTGCTGCTGTTCGATTCTCCATAGAAGGTATCAATTAAGAAGCATTGTATCTAATTAGCTAATCAGAGCAAAGCTGGTGTGATTTATATACGAAAATTTTACTATTGCAATATGTTAACAAATTACGAGTCTCTAAATAGACCAATTATCTAACATTTCAACAAAAAGTTTCAAGTGAAAATTGCAAATTCCGATTTATGCTTGTAATAAGTTCTAATTGAGCCGTGCATTAATGGCGAAGTTATGGCCCATGTCAGAACCAATTAATTTTTTGGTGGTAAGAAAAAAAATTATTTTTTTACTAACCGACGATGAAGTCGTAGGCGCCTGTCGCGGGAAGGTCGGAGTCGAAGTCCTGAGGCCCCGCAGTGAAGGTCAGGCTCAGGAAAAACCGCAACGTCTGCAGCACCATTGCCTTCAGCAGCGGTGACTCAAGCAGCAGATCTAAACTTCTCGCCAGAAACAATCGAGGAAATTATTATTCGAACTCAGATATGTAAAGCTTGCGCACATTGAAGTAGGAATTGAAATTTGTGAAACAACTAAACACAAATAAGATCGATGATCATGAAAAACCCTTTTGAAAAAATAATAACACGGTGAAATTTACAGGTGATGCATAAATGCAACTACCGAGTCTTCATGAGGGCTTACCCGCTTTTCAGTGATTCATATGCTGTAGGTGCTTTAGAACACCACAAATTACAGTCCCGAACAAGTAAATTTCACGAAAATATTCCAATCCCCAATAAATGATTCAATAAATTACACCTTGTGTCTGCTATACGTTCTTCCTAATCGGTCAAAATAACATGCCATACGGAATTTTGTTAGTGTTTTAAGGTTTGATGTTCATTCAATAAAAATTTTATGTTAAATACAAGCATTTTATAGAAAAATACCGCACTTACCTGAAAAAAGACTTTACTGCAGCGATTCCACAAGCCACAATCGCTATGAAAACTAGAATCTTCGTTTCTCGTCGAGAAAAGATTTCAATTAACGCCATGTTGATAGTTGCGGGAAGTTAACAATTTTTTCCGCACAAAAAGTCTGTAAATGAAACAAAAGTTTTTACAAATAGTTGAATAAATGTAAACTTGCACCCGATCAATCAATGCAATATCTGCACGAAGAGAAAGTTTTAAGGAAGTGCTTAGGTGGTTTCAGTGTTTTTTCCGTATTTCAGTGAATTTTCTTTCAGTGTATTTTCCAAAACCCTGCATTTTCGGAATGAAAAGCAATCATCGATATAATAGGAATAATATTATAGATCGAGTTACATTCTTGACATCTCAACACGGCAATGAAAGTTTTTGTCTATTATTAGGATTTTTCTACTTAGATTAATGGTGCTGGGATGCAATCACATTAATTACTACAATTACATTAATTGTTTCAGTTTCACTCATTCCATTGCTGTTTGATGTACGTTGGACAGAACGATCGATTAAATGGAAGTTGGATTCAAGTTCTGTACTTAACTGAAACTCTAATAGCAGCAATTAAAATTAAACTATAGCAACTGAATTCACAGCAAAAGTAGCAGAAAATTGTTCATAGAAAAAAGTTGCAAATTTTGGACAGATTTTTCATGATTTTCTCAATCAATATTTTAATCAGCGACACTATCGAAACATGAACAAGCAAAGGTTTCCACTATAAAAAAGGCATTTTGACTGTAGAACTAGAATCATCTTATTTTTTAGCAGAATCATTAAGTTCTAAGAGTAATATAAAACAATAACATGTTCCGTTTTGCAGCGAGATAATCGACTATCTATGCAGCTCGTACATGCAGCTATATTGTAGATGGTCCACTACGTTAAAGTGTGGCGTGGTCTATAGTATAGTATAGTATAGTATAGTATAGTATAGTATAGTATAGTATAGGATAGTATAGTATAGTATAGTATAGTATAGTATAGTATAGTATAGTATAGTATAGTATAGGATTGTATAGTATAGTATAGTATAGTATAGTATAGTATAGTCCTTTATTATTAGTATATTATTTATTTACTAATATTTATATTTACTTACAATATAGAATTGTTGAAAAAATTAGCTGATATAGTTGAGAAAGACATCAAAAAGGGGACTGATCGCCCTTAATTTTCTTCTTAAACTGGAATAGCTAACTAATAGTACTATTTAAAATTACCTGTGGACCAAATAAAAGACAATCTCTTCTACAACAGATTCAATTCATTCCATGTGACTCTCTAAGGATTAGTTCACTCAAGTAAACATTGCATCGCCAATTTGCCTTACATTTAATTTTTTGGCTTTTAATATCGTTCGAAATTCTTTTACTTTATTATTTGTGAATTTTTTATACAGTTTGATTAAAAATTTAACGGATTCCCTCGTGAAATCTTCTTGAAAAATTGAATCGCAATAATCTTTTAGAAGCTAGAGATAGGGCAAATACTTATTATGCATTATAAAATCATCGCTTGCCCTGCAATATATCACATTATCACGATGAAATAATTCATAATAATTCAAAGAAGAACTTCTGTGCAAAATCATTCTCATTTCGTGACCAACAACAAATAAAATGCCCACAGAAGAAAAATTAAAATTAATGCCGAATTAAGAGGTAGCAACGGTGTGGAATATGGCCTAGAGCCGGGTTTTCCTACATTGATAAAAAACCATCATATTTTCAAGCAGGTATCCACTCCTGAGCTCAAGCCAGGATTGCCAGATGATCTTTTTTTCCGGACAAATTCAGCGATTAATTTTTTATCGCATTTGCTCAGTCATGGAAAAAAAGGCGCTATTGTGCTCGTCATGTCCGTCTGTCTGTTCTTCGTCTGTTCGTCTCTCTGTCCGTCTGTCTGTCCGTCTGTCCGTGACTTCACGTTTTCGTCGACGAGAAAATGCGTTCTCTGTCATTCACTGCAGAGAGTACTGAGTTATATTTTTTTTTCAATTGCGTTGGCCGGCTAAAATTTTTGATAGCGGTAATGCCTTATTATACATTTTAAAGAGTACGAAAAAAGTAAAATGGAATTTTTGCTCCCGAATCTACAAATATAGTAAAATATACAGATTTGCAGGCCTCCTTTGGCCTTTTTTTTATCCGCGGACTTGGCATTTGGGCCATTTGGCAACCCTGTCTTCTGCAGCTTTGTCTCAGAGACAGGAAAAAACTGGATGACATTGAGAGGAGATGCCCAGCCACGCATGGGGATTCCAACAGTCCATACATGAACGGAAAAAATGTTATGCCCAACATGTGAATTTATATCCTCACACGATTTACGGTTGCCAAAAATTATGCTCAAGTTTATAAGTACGTAAAAAAATTAGATCAGTACTCACTGCAGTGAGTGACAGAGAGCGCGTATTTTCTCGTGCATAAATCAGTTTTCCTTTCATTAGTACAGTGAACTGCACTCATTACATCATTTTACGTTTGGTATATTATGCTGCGGTTAGCTTATTAAAGATTATTTAGTATATCATGGGAATCAGTTTATATGGCATAGAAGTTAGATGAGGCCTTGATCGACCTTGGATCAAGGTCAACACTCGAGACCTCTGCTCCCACCCTAAACCTAATATACGAATTAATTTTATTTTTTGGACATAGTTTTTGACATCATCAAGTTCATAGATGAAACAATTACCACAACGAGTGACCAAGACGAAGTTCAGCCTTACATGAGATACCAGCGTACATAAGCCGTACATAAGATACCAGCGTACATAAGCCGTACATAAGATACCAGCGTACATAAGCCTGTCTCTTATACACATCTAGATGTGTATAAGAGACAGTACTGTAATCTTGCTGTTCATTGTTCTTCCCGAGGTGTAGTACTTTACACTTGTCAGCATTAAACCTCAGCTGCCACGTATCAGCCCAGTTAACTAAGCTGTCAAGATCATCTTGCAATTGCGCTTTATTTGACGCATTCTTCACTGTATTATAAACTTTTGTGTCGTCGGCATACATGGAGCACACGCTGGACACTACTTCCGTAACTTTTGACGTGTTACTGCAGCAAAAAGTGTCGTCAAATAAATCTGTATAAATGCAGTAAAGTCAATATGAAAAATCTGATACATGACAAGAAGAAAAGATTATTCTGAAATTACGAGTACTCTGAATATGGAGATGCTAAGACACGCTGAACTAAACATTGGTACAAAATAATTCATGGTTAACTGTTCTATTGTGTACATTTTTAAGACATCTTCCACACTTTGATGTAGTCGACTTGGAGGGCTGCAGACTCGCTGATGCCGGGCTCTCCGTTCTGCCACGACGGCAGCCATTGGCCCTTCTGTGGGCGAAATGTACTAATTATTGTTTAATTTAAATTTATTACTTCTAATTTTATTTCTAAACGCATAGATAATATTAATTACTGATATAACACCATCATTAAGTAGTTTGTCTCGTGTTTAGAAAAAAAGTGAAATCGATACAAAGGGATTCGTTGGACTGTCCCGGCGTGTTACTAGGACTAATTTTAATCACGATTTCTATTTATTTATGAACCTACATTAATTGGCGGTAAAATCTATGGTTAGGAAAACTTCCTCAACGATGTTTCATAAGTTATATTCAGTGAACTGTTTTACGAAAATTTGCTGAACTGACAGCTTTCCAGAACGCTGCAGGAGCGTCGGGTTGCTAGTTGGACCAGGGTTTGGGGGGACTGCCGGAAAGACCGTCCGGGAAGTAGCCATTGACACCACCAACAGCCAAGCTCACGATGAGGTAGAACTGTGGTAAAATTTAATAGACAAGTGAAATAACAATTTAGCTTTCGAATGTATAAATATATAAAAAATACATTGACATTATTAATAATGCAAAATGTTGAAAATCAGATATGATTAAACAAAGCTCACTTCAGTATCAAATGGTGCCATCTTGGTGCCGTCGCGCCACGGGTTGACGAGGTCGCTGTTCGCTAAACCGCTCAAGTCCCATAAACTCGTGCCAGGGTCCACACGCAGTACCTGCTTTTCGTCCAGATAAAACCTGCACAGAACCGAAGTCAACTACCATGGAGTCAGATTACTATCTATTTTTTGTAAATCAATGCGTAAGTAAATCTCAGGAAATCAATGTAAGAAAATCTCTGTAAATCGATGTACGTAAATATTTGTAAATCAATGTAATTAAATCTCTGTAAATCGATGCCAGTAATATCTGTAAATCATTAAAAGTGCATAATAAGTGGGACGGTACGCCGATCGCATCACTAGAAATGAAAAATGCAGGATAAATTTGCAAATGAAATGAAAATGCAGCAAGAAATATGATCTTTTGTATGAAATCCTTAAAAATCTCCGAAATCGTCGATGTTATCTGACGTGGCGGAGTCTGGCGTCCACTCCATGCGCCATGTGTGGAAGTTGTCGGCGAAGGAAGATCCGTCGGTTGTTTTGCTGTTTAAATTATATCAGTAGTATTACAAAAATATTATAATAATATCACCGGTATAACATCAGTATATAAGTAGGAAACATTGAAATTGATCTAACAAGCTGCTAATAGTACAATTAAACGGTGGTAACAATTAGCTTTGAGAGAGAATGGAACATTCGTTAAAATAAATTTCAAAAACATAATGAATATTAACGATTTTATTTCTACTTAGTCAAGTTTGTCAGTTAAACTTCATCATGTTTACGTTTCGTATATAACTACTCACTATGTGGCGTGGGTCAGGAAAAACTTGTGGTCATTATCTGGTCCCCATTCCAAGGTAGACGCTGCCACATGGTTGCCGATGCCACCGAAATCGTCATTTCCTGCAGGAATTTGGATTGAAAACGACTTTGCACTTTAAGTTACAAGTATTTTCTCTCCCTATGCAGCCGTTATTGTTTATTGTTTGAATTGACAGTCTTTACCTCATTCCTTTTGAGTTTCTACTCGCATCTGGACAATTTTGGCCCCCATACAAAATTGTAATAACTCCTGTCTGAAATTCCCCTATTAGGGTAACATGGGGCAGCGAGCCCACTGCGGGTCATGGGCCCATAGCTTGTTTCTCGCTATGTATGGCAGATTTTGGTCAGTGTTCTCTACCGTCGGTCGACAGTTTCACTGGGATGAAGTGTACGGATTTTCATTTTGCTAAGTGTTTGCGTTATTAAGTTATTTGTGGATAACTGTTTCAGCCCAGATAAAGGTTTTTTTTGCTGCCAAATAAAACTTATCGATTACTGTAGATGAAGCTTTTGAAATTACTGTGAATTATATTTTGAAAGTAATATCTATAGGGCTAATTTTGAGATCAAGTTTAGACTATTAGCTTTTAAAATAAAATGTTGACACGATATAAATTTGTGGTGAAGGGACCAAGGGTGGGCGCCTTGCCCCAAGCCCATGGGCCCATTGCCCCAGGGGTGGGGCAATGGGCCCATTTTGACACTTTTTACAAAATAGTGTTTCATTAAAAATTGAATAACTCTATAGGCGCCTAATTCACATCATACATTCCTCATTAGTTATACCTTTAAATAAAACAAAGAACCACCTCGTATCAATTAAAACTTCATCAAAAATTTAGTTTAAAAAAAGTGGGGGGCGCGCTGCCCCACGTTGCCCTACTTTGTTCAACACTTCACAGCAGCAAATGGTGACTTGTAATTCGAGAAAATAGAGACGTATAGCCAGAAAAGATTGTACAGACAGACGGACATGGCGAGCACAATAGAGCATTTTTTCCATAAATGGGAAAATGCGCTAAATAGGCTGCAACAGTAAACAGCGCATTACTCACAATAGCTTGTGTTGGGAACATTCAGAACCTTCGCCCCAACAACATACACCGATGACGGCTCGATCATCTATACCTCTTATGTTGGCCCAGCGCTTCTACCGGCCTTTTATGCACTGTGCTGGTACCGGCGGTTTATATTCAGGGAATAACGGGATTACCTATGCAGGTTGTTCCGATGCCTGCTCACTGCCGCACCTCGCTTACGCGCACACTTCATGTTTTTCTTCAGTGTATTTGAACCAAATACATCCGACTCTATATAGTGAATTTAGTCTATATTATTCTTAAGAAAATTGAGTTGACGCATTCCGTCATTAATATAAGTCTTTTAGTTCTGGCGCTGCATCGATAACGTTAACTATCAAGTACACCTGCATTCTAGCTGAAAAAGTTCAAGCGAAAACAGCTTCCATCATACAATGGTTATCTGCTCTTCTGATGATAAATAAGTGGCCATTAGCGTAATAGTGCAAATCCCAATGATGCTTGCTTGCTGGATTAAGTAGACAATCGAATAATTCGTTCATGCGATATATCAGAGAATGAATTCTCATAAATTTTTTTAACTCTTTATGAACTAACTGAGATCTGTTGGAACTCTGATGTTTGTTTTCCAAGTGTAGACTACTAAGACTAGGTCAGCATCCGTTACTACGTACGACGTGTGGTGAAATAACATGCTGTTTTCTGCCCAAATAACCGTTTATGCCAAATTGGCGGGTAATGACTCCACATTTTAGTTAAAAAAATACTTTTCTGTTCGACACTTCAAGTTTTTATTTAAACATAGAGCGCATTTCATGTAAATAACCCTTTCACGAGCAAGTTAAATATATATGAGCACTTGAAATCGCCTCACAAAAAGCCGCACCACGGATTCCTGTTTGTTTTTGAGGCGTCCTCACAAATCCTCAGTCAATCACTAATTATCTGACAATCGTTCCATCCATAGCATCACCCCCTGCAATGTCCACAAATTAAAATATGAGCATTTAAATGAAAGTTTTGACTCGGACGATGAAATTGACACTCTTTCCGCATTTTTTATGGTGGAAGTATTAATATATATTTTATTATTTCCGGTAACTTGACTGAATTGAATTAGATTAAATTGTTATGATACTAATTTTTCATTTGCATAAACTAAATTTTAATTATTAAGAAAAATTTCGTGTACTGACCGCATTTAATGAATTCTTCAAGTGCAATTTAAACCTTCAATACTCAAAATTTTTAGAAATACATGCGAATAAATATTTCGTATAATACTTCTTACTTCCTTGAAATGGTTTCTGAAATTTTAATCTATATGGATATATCTATGCTCGCCCGCTAAAGAGATAAGTTACAGCAGGGTGCAAATTTAAAAATATTAATTATAATATTGTTTAACTTATAATTTTAATCGTAATTTAATAAATTTCAGTGTCGTCGCTACGGTAAAATTAGTTATTTATATATCAGAACTGATTGCTGCAGTTAAAAGGCAGCCGGTCTACACTCAGCAGTCTGCGCTGCTCCGGCAGTCATACGACGATGTTATCTTACAGAATGCGGAAAAGGTTGGTGTGTATTTGCTATCGTGGCACAGATCACATAGCTGCATGTTATCATAACATTCTCTAATGCACATTTTATAGCCTTTTATATAATTACTTTTTTATATTTTCAGTATGTTCGTCGTCCTCTATTTTATTCTGAATACTTATTTAGATTACTTCACATTTTCAGTGTGTTCGTCGTTCTATTGTGGAGGCTAGCACCCGACTACACTTATTTATTTGACTTTTACAAGGATTTTCAAGGCCAGGGTAACAAGAGTTACGCGAATAGGAGCAGATTGAAATCAGCTTGGGCGACCTGAAGAAATTAGCTGGTTAATGACAACAAATTAACAATTGTCAGAGTTTATTTTTAGCTCACGTGACCTGCTTAGTGATGGCGGTCACGGGACGAACTAGGCGAAGGGAAGGGTACTTAGTGATGACGAGGTGTCAGGAGCACGTAGTGATGACGAGGTGTCAGGAGCACGTGGTGATGACGAGGTGTCAGGAGCACGTGGTGATGACGAGGTGTCAGGAGCACGTGGTGATGACGAGGTGTCAGGAGCACGTGGTGATGACGAGGTGTCAGGAGCACGTGGTGATGACGAGGTGTCAGGAGCACGTGGTGATGACGAGGTGTCAGGAGCACGTGGTGATGACGAGGTGNGGCGTGGTGAGATGCACGTGGCGTGGTGAGATGCACGTGGCGTGGTGAGATGCACGTGGCGTGGTGAGATGCACGTGGCGTGGTGAGATGCACGTGGCGTTGTGAGATACACGTGGAGTTGCAAGAGGCACGTGGAGTCGCATGTGCTGTTGTGATGATATTGTTACAGGGGCAGCAATAATAATAATAATAGCGGTTTCAGCGTTTATTAGGCCGTAGGCCTGTCGCCGATTCTTAACATCACAGAACATTCACAGCATTTTGCGGTCTCGAACTCGTAACTCACTGCTCTAATTCTGCTGTGCTTAACCGCCCGGCCTCCTCGCCGATTCTTAGCATCGCAGAACATCCACAGCATTTTGCGGTTTCGAACTCGCAACTCACTGCTACAATTCTGCTGTGTTTAACCGCCCGGCCTCCTCGCCGATTCTGACCAGAAACTGGTGCACAGAGCTGGGATCGAACCCGCACCTCTCTGCGCCAATCTTGGTACTCTGAACTTTAACCACTGGGCCACCCTGCCTTGTGCAGGGTGGCCTTACTTTACACCCTGCAATGTGCAGGGTTGAACTATATGAGGTTGACCCACAAGGATTTCCGCCTTTCAGTTCAGCTTTCTTGTTACGTCACATAGATCGAGAAACGTAAACAAACCCGTCATTCCCATAACGGATTGGTTGACTGGTTTGATCGCATTTCGGTGATTGGTTAATGCCAGTGACGTCACTGAGATCAGTGACGTCAAAGGCGAACAACACAATACATCCACAAAAATGAGCTTCTCTTGGGTTAACCTTATACTAGTTCAACCATGAGCAATGTGTGCTTGGTAGGCGCTGACGTGATGTTGCTGCGAAACAGAGCTATGCTAATTTTTAACAAACGATTAAATTTGTTAAGTAATAAAGTTATTACGTGAGCTTAAGGCATGGCAAAATCGACTAACAAAGAACCTTCAAACTTGCATTGTCTCCAGATCTCATTTATTACGGCTACACTACATCGAGCACAACTGAAGACAAGGACAATCATAAAGGCACTGTTTATAAATTGGGAGCTTACCAAGATGTTGCCGGATCAGCGGCTGAAGTAAGAGACTAAGAGTGAGCGCTGAGCTACAGTATAAGAGTAGGCAGAGCTTGTCATCTACCGGAAATGAATGTTGCCAACAGAATCAGTGATTCGCTAGCACGAATTTTCTCTAAACTCTTTTCTTAAAAATAAAAATAGTTATGTAGCGAGATCCGTTACACAACGTGGTATGATTGTACGCTTTTAGCTAAGTCTTACGTACGCAAGTTTTGAAGCTATCAAAAAATCGCTGTGAGCACGATTTACTTATAATTTTGAGCGTAAGTATAAGGAGATAAATACACATTACGATGTTGTTTTATTGTTAAAATATCGCTAAAAATTAAGTCGCCTCGTCAGTTACTATCAGTTGTGGGCATTTTTTGTCCATGGTACATTTTATTGACCTTGTTGCGGGTACACATATCGAGACGAACATGTTTTGCTACTTATAGGGGATGCTTCGTTATCTCAAAAGTATAAAGTTGTAAAATGTATGAACGGCTTGCCATAAAATTCCTGACCCCATATTGAAACAAATGTTTTGAACGGTTATTCCTCGCAAATTATCGTCAAACTTTATTCAACAAAGTTTTGTTTCTCTTTGAGTTCACTTTCACAACGCATGTTAAATCAATGTCCGTTGAACCACAATATTTCAATATGGCGACAAATTAATTATGTGTGTATTGAACGTCGAAATATTACACTGAATGTGTTTAAATTACGGGGTATGTTTTTGACTATGAAGATAATGAACATAAATCATTCCAAAAAGAAAAAAAAAATTCGATGGCAATTTATGATTTGCTTTGTTCGATATATTTATTTATATGTATGAAATTGTCTAACTTTAATGCGGTTAATTATTGCTTTTCATTATTTGAATTGTACATCGATTGAACACTTATTATTTAAGTTGAGTGATGTTGGAGTGCCGTAATTACCGGCTTTCAATGCATATTATAATGCATGTTTTCCTTTTATAAATTTCAGAGCATGGAACTGTGCGCGATGATGAAAGCTGCTATGAAAGATGTCAGTTATTGCTGTATATGCTGGACAATTCCTTTTTTCTACAATTTTATTTTTACTCCTAGAAATTAGTGACGAAATTTACTTGGCTTAAACTTGGCTACAATATCGTGGCTATAATATTTTCTATGCTATATAGTCGCCTAGCAGACGAGATTACATTTTGTAGTTAAATCTCAGGAGCAAATTCCGTAGACCTCATGACTCACGTGCCACAGAATTTCATGGTGTATGAGGAAAGAAATCTTCCATATTGACATGTAGATTTAGGAATTTCTGTAATATCGTTAATTTTTCATTCTCCATTGACGATTTTCAGTGATAGCTAACTTAAAATCTACTATGTTTGAATATTTTTATTCCTTATATCTTCTTTAAAATGTAACAATTTTACTGGCGACTTTCAATTGCCCCTACATTGTTACACAGAAGCCATTATTGCAGGTCATTAGAATTGCTCAGCTAGCACATGAAACGCTTGCCAAAAAGACGCTTCCGGTTGCGAAGTTTTAGGCCTAAAGGACTCTTGAAAACATATTACAAACAACAGCCTCCAGAATGCATTCTACTCATCAGAAATAATTCCCACGATTCCCTTAATTTTTGGTAGCCAAGTTACAAGCTCGGAGGCGGGGGAAAAGCGTGGGGTGCTGAGTAGACGAGTCATGGGCGTCCGGGATGAGGAATCCAAGATGGCCGCCTGTCGTTGGTAGGGAAAAAATAACACCAGCTCTAAAACTAAAGACTAAAAATTACATTTAAAATTTTCATATTATTTATCGATTTTATATTCTAATTTTCAGTTACAGCTTCTTTTAAATAAAACTTTCAGGACACCCTCGCTTTGGGAGCTGACGAGTGGCTACTACTCTACTTGTGAAAGTAATCCATAATTTATTAGCTGATGTTATGCAATTCAAATACAAGTTCCAACTTTCTCGTTCTTGGGACAGTTTGGTGTAGCGGTTTATGGCGTTGGTTTGGGCTTGTAGGGTGGATTCGAAGGTCGAGGGTTCGGATCCCGGGCTGGGACTTATGACGAAGTAAGCATTTCTGAAAAACCTTTTACCCTCCAGCGAGGGATCGAACTCTCGCCCCCCAGACCCTCACCATATAGTTCAAGCAATAGGCATTACCCACCACAACGATCTATCCTGCCCCTAGGGAAGGGTATAAATATAAAGGTGCCATCTTCCGAAGGTTAGGGTGTAGCTGTAGTTGAGAACGAGCTGTAGGAAAACGGGTTTCGTAGATAGCGGGCCAAAAAATTTTGTCTGTACCCATGTTACAGACGTAAACTCTTATATTGAAGGTCGCTCAGGGGCCATCAAATTCTCTGTGACAATCACGTTATCTTAAATTCAACAGTCCCCAAATAAACTCGAGCAAAACCAGCTAATTTCAAATGCGGAACCTTCTTTGACGAACGTTTTTGTACTAACTTGAGATCATCGTAATGTTCGAAAATCAGTTAATAGGTTTCGTCATTCGACCTCCGATCTTTATTGCTCCTTGTTTGAATTTCTTAGGTACTCCATGTATATCATCATTTTATTATCATGACATTAGTGCCGGAAGCAGATAATGATTCAAGTTCAGCCCTTCTCAGTATCACAAAGTCAATATGTGACTCTGCAGTGGCTACTGATGGACGGGGCCACCATCTTGCTTCCATTCGTTCAGGGTTGTCTCCAGTCCCATGGATTGCTTGTCATTCTCGCCGTATTTCAGTGGTCCTTACACGCTTTCGTCTGGGACATGTTGGGGTTCGTTCTTACCTCCATCGATTTGGGATGGCTGACACTCCCATATGCCTGCATTGCAGGGTTGATGAAACAGTCGAACACTTCCTTCTGCCTCGCTGGTCGCTTTGCTGAGCCGCCGCGGGAGCTTGTGCCTGGTTGCGTCAGCTCGGTCTCTGTGGTGACAGATGCCGAATTTACGTACCATGTCTGTGATATGTGCCCTATATGGCCTTGAAAGACAGGTGATGGTATCAAGCATCACTGCCCTGGGAGTCCCTCTCATGACTGTGCGTGTGCATTTTGGCTGAGTTAATTACGACAGAGAGGAGTTCTGTACTCCATAGTGCGAGCAACTTCCACTTATCTCACACACACTGGTCGTCTAGCTTCCTTATAGTTGGTAAAGAGCACTGGATCTAAGGGCGATTGCCTCTCATCGCATCACATAATAATAATAATAATAATAGCGGTTTCGGCATTTATTAGGCCGTGGGCCTTTCGCCGATTCTTAGCATCGCAGAACATTCACAGCATTTTGCGGTCTTGAACTCGCAACTCGCTGCTACAATTCTGCTGTGCTTAACCGCCCGGCCTCATGCCGATTCTGACCAGAAACTGTCGCACAGAGCTGGGATCGAACCCGCGCCTCTCTGCGCCAATATCTTGGTACTCTGAACTTTAACCACTGGACCATAGACTTTAACCACTGGGCCATAGTGGAGAGCATACACCAGCAGAGAAAAGAAAGATGAAGACTAAAAAAAATAATCAATGCTAAATCTAGATGTTACAAGTGGTCTGGCATGTCTTCTTCACCTTTAACCCGGCATCAAATCAATATGCGACTCTTTGTTATTTTTTCCACGCGTGATGAAAAAAATGAATAAACTATCATTTATTCTTGAAAATTCCCATTTCCCGCATTTTTTACTGCGTTTTTGGAACAGTCAAAATGTGAAATTTCAGTATTCGCGGATCCTACGCTTTCTTCCAGGCCTCGTGTCTTCTCAGGTTTGTTTTGGGTAGAGAAATGCTGCTAGCCTGCTACTTGTAAAGTTGTGTACTGTAAGAGTAAAGAGTGACGAGTGTAAGTTAGGTCTGAAGAGATTAGTCCAGATTCCCAGAAGAAGTTTGGCCAGATGCAGTATGAACATGCTTTCCTTCAGCAAGCCAGGATGCCTAAGTTGTTGCTATAGAGTATAGACATCTGGACCTGGTAGGCTCAACTAGGCTGGTGCTATAGCTTTGAAGCCTTTGGAAATTGGACACTTGACTAAGTTGACTTCTAAGTTCTTACTTCTAAGGCTGTTATGCCATCTAGCCTACTTACCTACGGGAAGTAATATGAACTAAAAGTGAAGTTTTGCAATGCAGGCCTCTGCCATGTGTCCCATGTTTGTTGCTTTCAAACCAGAAATAACAATTGCTGTTTATTGGTTTGTACTTTGTTGTTATGTGAATTTCCCATAGCCAAACTGCCAAAGTCACAACCTCCTAGTCCTAGTCCTTGTGAGTTGCAATAATCTTTGTTCATCCTCTGAAGATGAACAAAAGTTATTGGCCATTGCCAGAGCAAGATGCATGCAATGTTCTTGAAGCTTGTAGTCAAACTTCAAAGTTTTAGGTCAACATTTAATTCAAATTAGGAAGATAGGGTAAACGCGGTATATTCCGACATCGTGGGTAATTATGTCACCTCTCTAGTTTTTCCTTTATATTAAGCTTTGTTTTAGTTCCATCAACTTCCATGCGTTGGTTGATGGTTGAAATGGTGACGTCATACATTTGTGCATCAAACTAATGCCAAAACACTATGTCTTGGCCATCTAGCAGGAAAATATTGAGATCCAAAGAGAGACAATGCACACTACCCAGTGAGATCATCAAAAAAAGTGTCAAATTTGACAGTTGACCTCATAGTGGCAAACCAGTGATATTTTAGAATCAGTTCATTTTTAATTTCCTCACTTACCCAAGATTTTAACATATTTCTTATGTATGATAATCCTGGTATCCAAGATACTTTACTGGTCTACTTATAGGACTCAAAAATGAACTTGAGGAAGAGTCTAAAAAACTCTCTGCATTTCCACTATCGCACTATGGTTGACCTTGCTCTACCAAATAGTGAATAACTGTTTTTATAGGAATAATATTATGGTTTGAGACTTTTAAATACGTCTGTGAATATATTAGGAATCCTTTAGTACTTGTATTTGCTGATTTCAAGTCGTAAATAAATTAATAGATGATTAAGTTGAGAAATGGATTTAGACACATGAAAACTAATTCCAACACAACTTGAATTGGACACACACAGATCGTTCCAAGCTTTATACAAAAATTGAAATTTTCTTAATTAAAAGCCTAATAGTTGTTAATTAAAACGTAATTAAGTAGTGTTCAAAATTTGTTAGTGTTCTAATTCAAAGCCGTGTTGTATCCCAATACAGCTCACACAGCGAACGGAATTCGAACACGTGGATGTCGGCATTACGTATCAGTTAAATTTGAAGCGCTGACGCAATACGACTCACCACGTGTCGAATATTGCCACACACAGTGACGGAATATAGGGATTTGGTAGGTTTCCATTCTAAAGGCTGTTTAATAAATATGGCAACATTTTGTGACGTTTCACCATTGCTGACGCGTAGTCCAGTGTTTTGTGAGTTACGTGAAGCCAAGAGAAGTTACGTAATGCATACAGTTTTTTTTATAGTTTTTCATTTTCGATGCGTCCTTAATGTGCCGGAATATACCGTGTTTACCCTATGACATGGTTCATGATTACAATTTGCAATTAGAAATTGGAATTACCTAGGTATGTTAATTTTCTCTAAAATCTTGCTTCAGAGTTCAGTGTGGGCCTGTTGCCTGTGTTTGAAAAGTGTGTCGTTTGGGCTAAAAGTAAATTTCAGAGTGTAGGCCTATTACATGCGCCACTATGGCAGGAAAGAATGTTGTCATAATTTTTTATGCCACAATATGCTTGCTAAAAATATGAATGTATAACTCTTACATTGGCTAACTGATTGATGCAGATGCAGGAGCATTACAAGCAATATGGAATTGTAGGATTTGTGGCCTAGTTGAGAAAATATTTTTTCTGAAATATTGCGGCTTTAATATGTTTATATGAAGCGGCTCTAATATGTTTTATTGAAGAAATCTAGGTTCGAAAATGGGCCATTTCAGACAATTTTTAACTTTCACATTGACTTTAAAGTGAAGACAAATGTTCTTGTTGCTGTTTCTAGGGTAAAATTTGAGATTTGGGGTAACACATGCTTGGGACTTTGCAAACAATTTTTTTTCTGCTTTTGAATGGCTTATCATGGCATGATATGGTATTCAATGCACAAAGAAATCAAATCACAGCTTGCAACTCCATAAAATTATGACTCAAAAATATCCAGTTGCAGTTTAGAAAGTACCTAGAGGTTTTCCTCACTAGATTGCAGCCATTGCCTAACATGGATGCACGAGCTTTAAGACCAATATGGCCAATGCCCAATGAACAACACAGATGTATGCACATGACAGCTTACAGCCAATATTGCTGATGCCTGATGATCGACACTGATTCACGGGCTTTATGATCAATGTGACTCATGCCCAATGACCAATACAGATGCATGGGCATTATGATTGATGTGACAAATGCCAAATGCCTGTTAATCAAATGGATACACATGCATTAAAACTAATATGGTTAATGCCTGATGATTGAGATGGATGCATGTACATTATGATTTAATATATATTTAACATATGTTATACAAACACTGACCATGTATGCTCACATTTATACACACATCTCACATTTATATTACTCACCTAGCTCATCACCAAAACTATGATACACACAACCAATAACAATGTGAAAATATTAAAAGTGCTGTCCGGGGCATCTTAACCACTCGAATGATCTTGCATAATCCCATTCTCAAAAAAGTTCTTATCACAAGTACACATTTTCAGTGTATCATAAAACAGCCGTATGCCAAATAATACTTAACACAACACATTATAACAACATAATACATTATAACATAACCCAACACATTATATCCCAATGCAATACATTATTACATACCACAATACATCATAACATAGTAAACATTGCAGAATACAGTATCAAAGTACATAACACAATATACCGGTAACACATTAAGTATATTATTTCAACATAACACAACACATTGTAATACAACATAACATATCAGGACACATTATAACACAACTTAACATAACACATCACATTATGACACAACTTATTACAGTAAAACTGATTTACCATCTAATTCAACAATATGATATAAACTAGGTATGTTTGTTTACTGTTATTTTGCCTGTTATCTCCATGGGATTATCATAATATTTTTACTGCCTCATTATTCATTAAAAATTGAAAATTTTAAAATGTCAATGTCCTAGTATCCAACCCAATGAGGGAATGAATGTTTTCATGGTGTATGACTTCAGGTTCACTATATTAATTATATTAACAGAAACCCCAAATCTTTCTGTTACTTTTTGTGTCACTTATTGGATAATGGCTGAAGCCACTGATTTTAATCAAGATGATAAAGATTCTAATCTTCAATCAACATCAAGTAGAGAATTAATTGCCAGCAATACACAAATGGTAACCAGAAGTCAATCACTTAAACTGGAGAAAAGTAGCATTAGCAGCAAAGACAATGAAGAAGAGCCAGATTTGTGTCCAGTGTGCCTAGAAGACATGATTCATCCTGTAAAGTTGCCTTGTTCTCATGTGTTCTGTTTTCTTTGTATCAAGGTGAGTAAATTTGCTCATAATCACATGTACCTATATTTGAAATAATTTTTCATGATATCAGTGCGTGTCTGCTGATAAGTGTACTTCCAGTGCCAGTGTCACAGAAGCATCAAATCTAACACTTTTTCAGTGAGCTACAGATTATAAAATTTATGAATCAGTGAAAAAATTTATTCAGCATTGTGATCAAAGAGCCAGAAGTATAGCGTCATTACTATACAAATAAGTTCATAACCTATGATAATGAGCAATAAGTTAATTAGTTTGTTATCTTTCACATACTCTGGGTGTGATAGTTTTGGGAAATTTAAAATGTTTGTGTTTTTTGTAAATTTGAAACTAAATTAATTCAATAAATATGAAAATATCTCAATAATTTTGCAATTTGTACGTACTCAAATTTTTACAGGCTACTTAGGTAGAGAAAGATATTATTAAGTTCAAGAGAATTTGACTTGATTTTTACTATTTACAAATTCTAAAATAATTAATATAAGAAATTTTTTCTTGTTGAATTTGTTGCCTCATATTATTGTTTTAAAATCATGTCTTATTTCTCAGGGGGTATCGTTAACAAATGGGAATCTCTGCCCCTTGTGCCGAGGAAAAATCGACTCAGACTTTTTTATTGAGCCTGTGTTGGCAACTCCTCCCCAGCTCAAAGTTAAGAAAAAGTAAGTGCTTTTTCTATATTCTAACTCTCTATTTTATTTATTATCATTTCATCATCATTAACATCATTATTTTATTTTAATTTTAAATTCAATTGAATAGTTTGACTTCTGAATTAGCAGTTCAAATTAAAAAAATTATCTTATAAACTTGGTTTTAGTTTACATGCAAAGCTAAGCCTATTATTTATATTAATTGGTGATGAACGTGGTTTGCTCTGCATGACACAGTTTTTATTCAATATGAGTCTTTTGAATTGAGTAGTTTTATGTCATTATTGGGTCCCATGCATGTAGGAATTAATTTCCTCTTTGAAAAGCTTTAGCTTAAATTTCAGGTACAGTTTGAATAGCTGACTTAAATCACATATATTTCAGGACAGAATTGAAGAAATCTTCTTCTCAGTCACAGTCAAGATGCAGTTCATCTGAAACTGCTGATGAAGATCTCGATGCTTCACCTGGGGCTGCTACTGGAGCTGATGCAAAAGATCCCAACTCTTTTCAGTGGTTCTATGAAGGCAGAAATGGTGAAATTTGTTCAGAAATAATAAATCGGACTTTATTTTTATATAGAGTTTCAACACTTTTTCAAGTTTTCTAAAAACTTCCTTTTCAATTCAAAGTGTAGATAGCCGAAACGTTAGAATATATGGATTTTTATTTCAGAACTGCAATCGTTTCTTTTTTATCCAGAATCATTATTCGACACCTAAGTGTTATTGAAAAGGAAGTTTTTAGAAAACTTGAAAAAGTGTTGAAACTCTAGGTGAAATTTGTTGATAAACTTCCTTATTATGATTTCCCTGTGCTACTAATGTGCAGGATAGGTAGGATTGATGGATGTAAAAAAATTTTTTAAATCTACATTAAAACTTCTTCCATCATGAAAGGCAGTAATGTTTACAAGATAAACTATTACCTATACTCTATTACTCCTTTTTTCATCTTATAAAGCTTTGTTTCACGAATTATTGAAAAACTCACTAGCTCCTATTCAGCTAAATATGATTCTCAACTCTGTTAGCCTATTTGGCACTATACCTACTACTCATGCTATTGGTATGTCTATACAGGGGTTTGACAAAATAAGGGAAACACCTGAGAAATTCACAAAATATATTTTGTATGGTGTAGATCCACCTTTTGCAGCAGTTACAGCCTTAATTATCTGAGGTACGGTAATGATTCATACAAATTGTGAATTATTTCCAAAGGAATACTAACCCATTCTTTGTTTAAAACTCCCACAAGCTCTTTTAAAGACGATGGCGGCGGGAATCAACCATAAATGCTCAATAATATTCAGGTCTGGTGATTGTGGTGGCCAAATGAGATGCTCAACTTCATTAGAATGTTCCTCGTGCCATTTGTTAACAATTCCACCTGCACGGATCATGGCATTCGTTATCATCTTGAGTGATGGCATTCCCCTCCATAAACAGTGCTTGATCTATTGGACGAACTTGGTCATTCAAAATTCCTAAAGAGTCACGGCTGTTGATTCTTCCATAAAGAGAAATAATTGGGCCTCCGGATTTCCAACAAATAGCACCCCAGATCATCACAGATACCCCGTCATGTTGTACGGTTGTGAGGAGGCAGTCGAAATTAAGACTCTTTTGGACGTCTCCTAACGTAAACTCGGCCAGAGGTTGATAATAAACTAAACGATGATTCCTCAAATAAAATTACATATTTCCACTTCTCGTGGGACAAATTCTGGAGGTTTTGGCACCACTCTTAATGCTTTGGAGTATTTGTATTTGTAACCAAAAGTTCTCTAATTGTAGCTCTTCCATAGAATCCAGATCTGTTCAGCTCTCGGCGGACAGTCATTATGAAAACTGGGTTCTGTAGGTGTCCATTGAGATCTGCAGTAATTTTAACAGCTGTGGTCTTTCGACTGTCCCTCTTTATTCGATTTAGGTACCGACGGTCTCTCTCAGATAACTTCGACTTACGGCTAGACCTGTGCTTTGCTGAGGACGTTTTTCCTTCTCTTTTAAAAGCAGTCATTACTTTAGAGACAGTACATCTAGAAACGTCAAGCATTCGTGAAGTTCCTTTCACACTAGCACCAGCCATACGGGCACCAACAATTTGTCCTCTTCGAGGTTTGCCATTTATAGATTATAGTTTAGGTTATAGACACAAACATTTACTAAATAGCGCAGGGATAGAATATCAACTAGCAACAACAATAAGCAATAAAACATAAAAATATGTCACGTTTTCATTGTTGATAACATGTTCCAAAATTACTATATCAAAATGTCAGGTGTTTCCCTTATATTGTCCAACACCTGTTTTCATATATAATCAAATGATAATTGGTGTATTTTATCAAAGGTTATTACTAAACTATATAAATGCACTGAAAAGTTTCGTTAATTTATTTCAGCAAATTCTGGGGCGATGAACTTAGATGAAATGTGAAAAGCACATTTAATAAAGAGAAATATGAAAAACGCATTTCAAGCTAAGAATTTTGATCTACGCACTAGTAAAAGTTTAATAGTTTTAATGTGATCGTGTTTTACACCATGGCCTAAACATGATTATTGCATACATATGTCCTTTATTTTATCATAGACGTCATCTGTTTTTATCCTCTCGTGTCTTTTTTACCCACTTGTAACGTGCCCTCGAAGTTCGATCTGAACGAGACGCCACGACAATCTCTTCGTAGAATAATAAAAATATAACTCTTTACTCACTGCAGTGAGTGACAGAGCGCATTTTCTCGTCGATGAAAACTTGAGGTCACGGACGGACAGACAGACGGACAGACAGACAGACGGATATGGCGAGCACAATAGTGCATTTTTTCCATAAATGAGAAATTGCGCTAATAATAATAACAATAATAATAATAATAATAATAGCTGGTCCCAGGTTGGTGGAGGTAACGAGACGCCACGACAATCTCTTCGAGGAATAATAATAATAATAATAAAAATAATAATAATAAAAATAATAATAATAATAATAACAATAATTGCTGGTCGCAGGTTGGTGGAGGTATGACGCCCGTACCAATGCTGCTCTAGAGGAGGCATATTCCTCAGGAGTTCCGTCGTTGACGTTAATGTTGGCGGGTCACAACTTTTGCATCGACCTCAGCGCCATGAGGCAGAGGAGAGCTGATGGTGGTGGCATGAGCAGGCAAGAGATTCGTTCCTAACTTAACCTTAACTAACCTAACCAAACCTAACCTAACCTAAACTAACCTAAACTAACCTAACCTAACCTAAACTAAACCACCCTAACAGGTAGTCAGGAAATGAACTTGTTCCTTGCTTGAACCTAACCCAGGAAGCTATTTCCTAACCTAACCTAAACTAACACACCCTAACATGTAGTCAGGAAATGAACTTGTTCCTTGCTTGAACCTAATCCCAGGAGCCAGGAAGCTATTTCCTAACCTAACCTTAACTAAACCAACCTAACAGGTAGTCAGGAAATGAACTTGATCCTTGCTTGAACCTAAACCCAGGAAGCTACTTCCTAACCTAACCTAACCTAACCCACCCTAACAGGTAGTTAGGAAATGAACTTGTTCCTTGCTTGAACCTAACCCCAGGAAGATTTGTGTCTCACACAACATTTGTAAATAAATATGTTTTCTTATTGTCGTGTCCATTGATGCTTGCGAGTGTTTATCTTGTTGAGTTGAATCAAAGATTGATAGACTATGTTAGAATTAAAATTTAGAATTCAACTAAATGTACCTATTATATTTTTGTTTGACGAAAGCTTAGACTATTCATGATTCTCATTCGGTTTATCTTATTGAGGAGAATTAAAGATAGATAGATTAGAATTAAAATTTAGAATTCAAATAAATGTATTAATTATTTTTGTTTGACTAAAGCTTAAGCTATTGATGATTCTTATTCGTGGTAAAAATTCAAGTTTTGATTGTGTTGAATAATGAAGAGTGACACCCCGATTATCATAGAGACCTATTTCTTGGATGTTAGAAGCATGTGAATTTTTGATCTGAGATATCATCAATTTGAAATTGAAGATCTGATACTATATCAATTTAGATCAAAACTGTTATCAGGCTATGTAGGCACAAATGTACCTACACTAGATACGAGTGAAGAATTTTGGAGTCTGACAAGTTTTAATTTCTTCCTTAACCATGCGATCAAGTAAACATTTTCATTGCAATAATTTATGCCTTCCATTTTGTTAAAAATTTCACTCCCAGAAATACACGTTCTATCGCCTTCAACTAACTTAATTAGAACTACCGAAATTTAGAACTAGTGAAGCATCATAATTTATACCATTGCTAACTCGAGTAGTACTAGTGAAGTATCATATTTATACCATTGTTAACTCGAGTAGAACTGGTGAAGTAACATTTTATACCATTGTTAACTCGAGTAGTACTGGTGAAGTATCACATTTTATAGTATTTTTAGCTCGAGAAGTACTGGTGAAGTATCATATTTTATACCATTGTTAACTCGAGTAGTACTGGTGAAGTAACATATTTTATATCATTGTTAACTCGAGTAGTACTGGTGAAGTATCATATTTTATACCATTGTTAACTCGAGTAGTACTAGTGAAGCATCATTTTACAACATTGTTAACTCGAGTAGTACAATTAGGTATTACTAGCTTTGATCTTGTCATTGACAATCTCATATAACTTCGTGTGACTCCTGGTTCTGTTCACTGGGACTTGGGACGGTCCTCACTAAATGCATAGTTCTGTTTTATATTACGTACATTATCTCGGCTTCTATTTCTCGTATTTGATGAAAGTCAGTTACGAATATTTTGATTGTGTTACTGGATAATCACTCAGGATAGGATAGTCTAGGATAGTTTCGATAGGATAGTTTCTAGGATAGTTTCTAGGATAGTTTAGTTGTGTTGCTGGAACGTCATAAAGACTCCGATAATCATGTTGTTGTGTTACAGGAACATCAAGCGGGACTCAGATAATCATGTTGTGTTACAGGAACATCAAGCGGGACTCAGATAATCATGTTGTTGTGTTACAGGAACATCAAGCGGGACTCAGATAATCATGTTGTGTTGCAGGAACATCAAGCGGGACTCAGATAATCATGTTGTGTTACAGGAACATCAAGCGGCACTCAGATAATCATGTTGTTGTGTTGCAGGAACATCAAGCGGGACTCGGTCTTGTGCCGGGCTAAGGGCACCGCCGGGCTGCACGCGCGAGTTTTGGCCCAACACAAGCGAAAGAGGAAGAACTGAGACGTCGCATGTTGTGGGGTTCGAAACTCGTGTGTGCAGTGAAATAAATGTGCGAGTGATCGTTTGTAAATTACAGGCATAGAGGAAGGCCATTATTATGGTGAATGATTGATTGCGTTAGTAGAAATGGTGAATGATTGATTGCGTTAGTAGAAATGGTGAATGATTGATTGCGTTAGTAGAAATGGTGCATGCTTGATTGCGTTAGTAGAAATGGTGAAGGATTGATTGCGTTAGTAGAAATTGTGAATGCTTGATTGCGTTAGTAGAAATGGTGAATGCTTGATTGCGTTAGTAGAAATTGTGAATGCTTGATTGCGTTAGTAGAAATTGTGAATGCTTGATTGCGTTAGCAGAAATTGTGAATGATTGATTTCGTTAGTAGAAATTGTTTTTGATCACCAGTGCGGTATTTTGTAAAAAAGGAATGAGAAAATTAATTAATAAATGTCGGGTTGGTAGAAAATTGTAAGAATTTAATAGAAAAATTTGTTCTGAAATAATTGTTTACATAATTTTGATAGTGACATTAATGTATACTGACTACCAGTGACTATAGTGGTTTGTCAACATCGCTATTGTACTGAACGAACATATGTGTTTCATTTCACTGAAAAATGAATGTATCATATTGAGAAACATGGTCTGAATGCATAATGTTATTTATAAATACGTTCATTGTAAAAAAATGATTAGTATATATCCCATGGTTCTTTTGTTTTAAGGAGCATCTTACGCAGTTTCGGTTATGATAGCGAGAATGTTATGCAACATTTTAATCGAAGATAATAATATACTTGTAATTTTGTTTACAATAATAATCGACCAGAGCAAATATTGTCAAGTATTCAACACCTATTCGTCGACATTCGGCAACCTCGTTCAACGCTGGCCAAGGAGGTCGAACAAATAATAAAAATTATTTCTATTAATGTTGTGTGTTTTGTTCAGATCTTCATATTATGATCTTTGTACTTAAATACAAACTAATAATAAATAATAATAATTCAAAGTACCACTTGGAAATACGGTATTCTTGCTATAAATAGGTATTTTTTATTAATGTTAATAAATTAATTTGAATGATTCACTGTAGCAAGAAATTATTACTCGTAAATTATTCATGGTGCATGACTTTAAGTGATAATTGAAGTGTGTTGTCAGTATACAGTCGTGCTTGAGTAAAATTCATTCACAATGCTTTATTTGTTTTTATCAAGTAGTACGGTAATATCCCAGCGTTGATTGCGTAGTGCAAGTAGTACAAGTAGTAATGTTCCAGCACTGATCGTGTCTTATCATCCTATTAAGATAAAAATAAAGAGAAAAGTTCAAAGGTATCTTCGTAATTTGTGGTGTAGAAGGAATCAAAAATATTTTAGTTCCCCATAAATATAATTTTCACGTACAGACGAATATCAGACGGTTCTAAGAAGTAATTAGTTCATAGCCAAATTAAATTCATCTTGAAATGCGTGCTGATCTTGATCTACCTCAAAGATGATTTAATTGTGAAGTTATGGCTGGCTTGTATGTAATAGCTGGCAAATCCCTGGTTTCGTTGACAAGGATATAAGTAGATCGTTTAATATGTTAATATATGTATTAATATATTATTAACACATATATGGTAATATATGTGTTGCCTTGCCACTTTTTTTGAGGAAAAAAATTTATTATTTGGATGCTATTAACAATAATGCTCAGTCCCTTGAATGTTTACGCCGCATATTGGAGAGATTAAAGAAACTGTTTAAGAATAATAATGTTTTATTGCCAATACTTTGCCGACCTACTTAAAAAGTTTTTACTATAACTTTCTGAAAACTTTAAAAGTTTTCTGAAAAATTTGAATTCAATTGTAGGTTTGGTATAATTTTTGGAGGTAAGCAATTCGGACGGAAAATCTACAGAGAAAATTCAAAACTTGAATGGAATAAAGTAAGTGAATGAGGTTCTCTCATCTTCTATTGGTGGAACTGTACTCCGGAAGGTGCTCAAGCAGCAGTTCCATTAAAAATATAACTCGGTACTCACTACAGTAAGTGACAGAGAGCGCATTTTCTCGTCGACAAAAACGTAAAGTCACGGACGGACGGACATGACGAGCACAATAGTGCATTTTTTCTCTAAATGAGAAAATGCGCTAAAAAGCGTAAAGTTTTCTTGTGGAATTTTATTGGCACGTCTATCGAATTAATTCTATTAAAAATTTCGAGCTCATGAGCTTTTTAGCGCATTTTCTCATTTATGGAAAAAAGACACTATTGTGCTCGTCATGTCTGACCGTCCGTCTGTCCGTCCGTGACTTCACGTTTTCGTCGACGAGAAAATGCGCTCTCTGTCACTCACTGCAGTGAGTACTGACTTATATTTTTTATATAATTCTTTAATGCACACACATTAACAATCTTACGTTAAAGTGTGATCGTCACGATTTTTTCTTATTTCTTTCATCAAAATTTTAATTTTTACGACGATTCTCTTAACGAACTTTCATGACATTTAATGGAAATTATCACGCACTTACTAAGCCTGTTTTCGACGAGAAATGAGTTTATACGCGAATGATAATTTATAATAATGCATTTATACGTTATAATAATTTATACGTGATAATGATTTCCATAAAATTATTTTACAGCCTGCTATGCAAGGAAAGTCTACGAAGTAAAACTTTATTCCTTGGTATTAAATTTTTGAAATTCTCTGCTTAGCGCCCACCACAAACCAGGCTATGACCGAATTAGGGTCGTACAACTGGGGTCAATTCTTTCTGTTTGAATGATTTCTGCATAATTATCAAATGTGGCTGCAAATGAACAGATTCAATTAGTAGTTTACGTTGAGAAATAGCAAGCATAATCTTTTCATATTGATATAAGGAATATATGCGGAAAGCTTAATTATCGAGAGAAGATTCAGACATCAATAATGAATCAGAATACAACCCTTGCAACTCTAATTTCATCTTCTTAACCGCTCATGTTCAAGGGAGGAAGGTCAAAAATTGTTAAGTGACTAATCACTTTTTATTTAAAAATTGTAGGAAGTAAAAGAATTTAAAAGTGACGATTCACTTATTTGTTTAAAAATGGCTCAATTTTTGCCGGTACAAATCCACGTGTTGTCATCGTTGGATGTGAGTGCCACAGGTTGTGTTGTGTCGACGCTCCTGCACTGACATGCATAGGCTCTGCTAGTTCTCCTGGGCTGTAGCTTGGCCCTGAGTTTGTTGACATCAGGATAGTTGGTACGTAGGAACAGGTAGCTCACGTCGGGGGACCACAGCCATCCATCAAAACTTAGCACTGCGCTGTCGCACCGCACGCACCGCAGGTGACCGCACGCACTGCGAAACAAACGAAACATTATTGTTGGTACGTTTATGATGCACTGTGAAAATACTATATTTTCAATTATGTAACGAAACACGATCGTGATGTATCGTGAAAATATTATATTTTCAATTTTGTTTTGTGACATTCAATAATACAATGTGTCATTCAATAATAATAGAATGTGACATTCAATAATAATAAAATGTGACACTCAATACTTAGGAGTTGCAAACGCAATGACTTGCTTTATTTATAATAACAAATTCTGATATAGTTTTAGGAAGTTAATCTCCTTCATATTTTGGAAAGTACGTTAACTTATCTCAAAATTTCAGAGAAACTCATTAAAAGTCAGAAAAGTAAACGGTTCTATCGCAGACAATATTACACATAAATCACTACTCAAAGCCAATAAGTTTGAGGAGTTTTTTCGGGCTATGAAGCAATTTTTAGCGCATTTTCTCATTTCTGGAAAAAATGCACTATTTTGCTCGCCATGTCCGTCTGTCTGTCTGTGTCTGTCCGTCTGTCTGTCTGTCTGTCCGTCCGTGACTTCACGTTTTCGTCGACGAGAAAATGCGCTCTCTGTCACTCACTGCAGTGAGTACTGAGTTATATTTTTTATAGATACCAATATCTAAGTCAGGCTGATGGACCAACAGCGCTACATAGTATAGTAGTATAGTATCTTCGGCATTAAATAAATAGGCCTGGATAGGCCTATATATATATAGGATAGGCACATATTCTGGGCTCACCGGTTGGATGCGTCTGCAGTGGTGCCGGTTAGGTACGGTGGCCAGCACTTCTTATCCTATACAACACGAAGTTACAAGTTATATTACTTGTAAATATAGGTTTTTAATTTCGTTCTGTGCTTTCAATGTATTAATTTGTGACTTCTGATTTGTGATTCTAGATTCTACGAACTGACGATGGAGCTGGTCTTCGAAACGTTTTCTATAAAGATATGCATTTTTGTGGACTATTCTTTGTTTTTAAATTCTTGGTTAATTTACGAAGTTATGTTGTGTTACAGGAAATCTCGATGAAAAATTGTGTAATGTTAATTGATTTAGTGCAAACAGTGAAAATATATGTTAAATAAAGCACGAATTTATTTATTTAATTCATTTATATGTGATAAGTAAATCACAAATTTTAGAGGCTGAGAAGATTTAAGTTGGAACCTGTACCGAGTTATTACATAAATTCTATCGTCTGAATAGCATGGCTACTAAGTTTGAAATGACACGAAATATATATCTGAAATGATTGATATTTTGCTTGTGAAATCATATGAATTTTACTTAACAAATATCTTGATCTTGTATCATTGATGATGTGACTAAAACCTGAATTGATATGGGAATACACATTTAACTATCTCTTCATGATCATTTATTATTTTTAACAGCAAAATATCAGGCGATTAATATTCTCAAGGAAAATTAAAACATAAAATCGATTGCTCGGTGTTTTTTTATACTGAATTCATTTATGCGAGGTAACGTTCAAAATTACCCGCTAACACAACGCTGTGTATTAAACTCTACGGAAAATTTACTTCACAGCTTATAAGCTTTCCTTAGAATGAGATAAAATAGTCAACAAAATGAATAGTATTTTCATTTTCTCAGTAAATAATAATAGTTCCATGAATGGGTTTTCAGTCAATAATATTCCAGAAAATATTTTTTTATGATAATAGTTAAACAAATGATATCTCAGTGAATAATAGTTCAACAAATGGTTTCCCAGTGAATAATAATTTAAACAGTATATTAAAATTGGTTCAATTTTTCGAATCATATTCTCAATTCATCATGAGTGAATAATAATAGTTCAACAAATGGTTTTCCAGTGAATAATAGTTTAAACAGTATATTAAAAATTGTTCAATTTTCCGAATCATATTCTCTATTCATCATGAATAATAATAGCTCAACAAATGTTTCAGGTCATGAGCTCTGCATGGTTGAACTATATAAGGTTGACCCACGAGAAGTTCTGTCTTTCAGTTCAGCTTTCTTGTTACGTCACTGAGATCGAGAAACGTAAACAAACCCGTCATTCCCATGACGGATTGGTTGACTGGTTTGAACGCATTTCGGTGATTGGTTGATGCCTGTGACGTCACTGAGATCAGTGACGTCACAGGCGAACAACGAACTACATCCGCAAAAACGAGCTTCTGGATTGGTTGGCTGGTTTGATCGCATTTCAGTGATTGGTTAATGCCTGTGACGTCACTGAGATCAGTGACGTCACAGGCGAACAACGAACTACATCCGCAAAAATGAGCTTCTGGATTGGTTGGCTGATTTGATCGCATTTCGGTGATTGGTTAATGCCCGTGACGTCACTGAGATCAGTGACGTCACAGGCGAACATCGAACTACATCCGCAAAAAAATGGGCTTTTCATGGGTCAACCTTATATTAGTTCAACCATGTAAGCTCTGTATGAAACGAACAATTATTGTGTGCGGTGCAGCAAGATTGGATGCGGCGGATGGGGTAGTGGTTGGCAGGTCGCTGAGCAGACGGTCGAGCTCTGCCGTAGTGTCGGCCGGCTCCTGCCTCAACCCGCGAGCCGGGACAGCGGCGGCTCTGATAAAAAATTGTGATATCGAAGCGTTTGATCATGAAAAAATGAGTACGAGTGTGTCCAATGAGTCTTGTTGGCGCATTTTCTCATTTACGGAAAAAATGCAACGGAAAACAGTACTCACTGCAGTGAGTGACAGAGAGCGCATTTTCGCGTCGACGAAAACTTGAGGTCACGGACGGACGGACAGACGGACAGACAGACAGACAGACGGACATGGCGAGCACAATAATGCATTTTTTCCATAAATGAGAAAATGCGCTAAAAAGGCGCTATTATGCTCGTCATGTCCGTCCCTCCGTCCGTTACTTCACGGACGGACGAGAAAATGAGCTGTCTGTCATTCACTGCGGTGAGTACTGATCTAATTTTTAACGCATTTTCTCATTTATGGAAAAAATGCACTATTTTGCTCGCCATGTCCGTCTGTCTGTCTGTCTGTCTGTCTGTCTGTCCGTCTGTCCATCCGTCTGTCCGTCCGTCCGTGACCTCAAGTTTTCGTCGACGCGAAAATGCGCTCTCTGTCACTCACTGCAGTGAGTACTGAGTTATATTTTTTTTACTTGTATGAGTCATCCTAATCCAGCATGGTCTGGTCAACGGGCGTATCTGTGCTACGTTCGTTCTTTGCTCATGCTGAGGTTAAGAAAGTGCCTCACTATTTTTACAATATAGCCCAAACATTTTTCTGAGAGAGGGATACAAAATTTCATTATAATACAAATTTCAGTATATACAAGTTTCATTATACGAGTGAAAAATATTTCGCAGATACACGTTAATCAATATACTATGGGGTTCTAAGCATTTATCTACTTGGGATTTAAAATTAATTTATGTCACTGGTTGTGATCTATCGAAAGTAAATACTTCTGAATGACATTATACAACAGTGTTCTGAGTATGCAACAATAGTTTTCGTGTAAAGTTAAAACGGGTTTTCAATATTTATCGTGAAACTTTGAATTTTCAATTTTTGAATGATAGCGAAGGAGTTCAGATATTAGATTTGGTAAAAGTCATAGTGAATAAAATATGATTTAGTTTAACATTGGATACGGCACTTGGTTATGAGTCTTGTCAGTTGACAATAAAAAAATCTAATAAATTATACAGCTTACTTATTCCTCGTTTCCAGACGATCTTCAACGTCATTCAGCAGGTCGTCGATATCTGCGTCCCTCATTATCAAGCACTAATGAACATGAACAAATCCGTGAGAATTATAAACAATGAAGATATTGTGAACCGAGACGTTCAACAATCCTACACTCACGATGAGCTACATGTGAGCACTGACCAGATGACTGCAGCTAAGCTCTTAACCCTCTACCGCCTGACATGAGTAACCGGAGCAATATTAGTATAGTATAGTATAGTATCTTCGGCATTAAAGAATATGCCTGGATAGGCCTGTCGCCGATTCTTGTACTTTTCTTGACTAGACTGGCCTTACGGACGGTAGATTTAAAATCGCTTCTAGATATATCTTCAATATTGTCACAAGCCTACTTCCCAAAAAGGATACGTTCTAGTGAGCGCAAAATGACTTGCACTGATGGTTGCCGCCACGTACGACAACTCTAAAATGTTCTCTGTTGCGTACAAACGTCCTCAGGTTGCTACACTCAATAGTTTACGTATAATTTGAAATTTATGTTCCCGGAGAGTGACATACGGCGGTAGAAGGTTAAGATCATCCACCTTATCCTTGCTAATAATCAATATCAAATTCTTTCGAAATGTTAACTTTTGGCTTTTATACAAATTTTATAATTTGTATTATCATTTTCCAAGTGTGAAATATTGAATTTATTCCGTGCGATCTGAGAGCGGATAGACTTCAAAGACTTCTGCGTCGTGTTGTTGAACGCGGTTGCCATAGTAACTAACTGACAACTCGAGCCTGTTCAGTAACTCATGTATTTATTAGTCGTCGGTCTCCGAATCATTTTCTTGATAAGATTTGTCCTGGATCATACACTAATTCCTGTATTGATTATGAAAAATTTTATGAATATTATTGAGGTAGCTCTACAGCTTGCTTTCTACAGTACCTAGACAGAAGAATCTTCGTCTCTATTGATTCTGATGTAATCGATAAGCCACTCTCTGAATAATTACTACAACTCGTTTTCACGTCCACAATAATTCAAGTCAGTCGCAATAACTAGTTACCTGAAAATACTATCCAAAAATTATTTTGTCGCATCGCAAATGTCGCATCTGATGAATTTCAACTCAACGTCGTAGAGCCTCTTGTGTTCAGTTAAACTCTCTCGCACAATTCAGGGTAATCATCTTTGTTGTAAGGATTTAATCATTTATGTTACAAAATAGCGGGTATCCAGAATGATATGGATAGTTAGTAGGACAGCGGCTCGGGGCTTACCACGGGCGTGGTATTTCATGTCCTGGTAGTTGACCATAAGACTCCAGTCTTTTCTGAAGTGTCTCTCTTCAGAGCGCCTTTCTTGACCTATGTACTTTTAGATGTAATGCTGATTTTTGTTTCTCATTAAATAAATAAGTGTTCAAACTACCGTGACCTATTCTCCTGAGGAATAGAAAGAAACAGCTGACTGGTAGAACCCTGTGAAATTATGACACTTGTCATCGGAAATTCTTCACAAAATTATTTTTTCAAAGGCTGTTTTCGCAGATTATCTTCAGAAATGTATAATGTTGATGTTTTAAGAGGCTTTGAATTGATTCGGAGGGAATCTCGATAACAAATTGCGTAGGTAAAGGAAAATGATTACGAGACAGGTTTTTAAAATGTTGAGCATGAGCTTGGAATTAAAAACGAATTAAATTAAATTTTAATTGCTTGGTTGATGTTTACTTTCTTTTCTGTTCAGTAATCGTGAACCTGCGACCGGCAAATATTAGTTTCGAGATCGGCCTACATAATTGTTGAACATGGAAAATTCAAACCAATTTTTATCTTCTTTGTGCTTTTTAAAAGTTATATTCTTTAATGTCATATGATAATCTAGCAGAAATAGATTGCGTGACGAGAAATGGATTATTACTATTTAATTATTTAAACCTGTTTATCAGCTGTAATAATATATAAGGATGAAATAAATGAAATAAATAAATAAGGAAGAAATAATGCAATAAGGGACTAGCTTTCATGTCGTTAATTTCCTGCATGAATTGCTTGCTACTTAAAAATGTTTTTAAACCTGAGTTATTATTATCCGAGAATCGGTATCAATTTAATTGTGTATTAGGTAGAAACCTGTTGTTTTCTATGTCGTGTGGAACAAATGTTAAAACTATAATTACTAAGGTAAGTTTAAAATGAACGAAATTTTTATCTAATTCCTATAATCTTACTTAACTAACACGTATTGCAATGAAAGCGCATGCTTCGCGTTGTATTTTTCAATACTCTTAGATTATGTATCGATTTACAGTAACATTATGCCCATAAAATTAGACGCGTTCAATAATTCTAACGTTCCATGGACCCATTTTCAACCTTCAACATTTATCTTTATCTTTACCAAGCCACTCGCATTTCAAACATGAAATACGCATTGAGAAAAAAGGAGGAGTCATTTTGTTCAAATAGTGACACACTTTCTCAGGCACAGCACGAGCAGATAATGGCAGTAGCACGCCCTTTTGAACGTAGTGCGCTACGCCCTTTTGCTGTGCCAAACTAGTATAGTATGATCCACACATAGGGCAAAAAGGGCATCATTATTTGGAAAAAGTCTCACATTTTTCTTCGAGTGTAAGCTTCGGTTTTATACTTCATTGTAGGCGAGTTCGTCCTCTTCATCGTCTTCGTATTCAAGTCCCTCGTCAGCAGTAGCCTCCTGGTACTGCTGATACTCTGACACGAGGTCGTTCATGTTGGACTCCGCCTCCGTGAACTCCATTTCGTCCATACCTTCCCCCGTGTACCAATGCAGGAAAGCCTTCCGCCGGAACATCGCCGTGAACTGCTCCGAAATCCGCTGCACAACATCAGTCGTAATTACAAATACAATAGTATATGTAGAAGTAGTAATTCACAAGTTAATTTGCAGTTATAATAAATGATAGAGTAATGTTTCCCCTGATTATCTAACTATGATAGCACAAAGCTTACTGAAATTTTACTGAATATTAATCTATAGTCAGTAAGAAGTGTGTAATTTGAAATGAACAAGACATCATTTCCGCTCTGAAAAGCCTCTCTTGAAAGAACCTCTATTTTGAAATCAACGACTTTTAAAATGAATGCGATTCCTTCAAGCATTTTCCAGCATATTGTGTGTTTTTTCCGAACATAGTAATTAATTTTCCCAGTTAAAAATGACACTCAAAATTCACCCAAGATTCGCCGTGAATGAAATAGTTATAGAGGATCTGAAATAATTTCGTTTACTACGGTTTGTTGTCTCCAGTATTACTTGGTAAAAAATTGACTCTTGGAATGTCGGCACTACAAAACATAAGCAAACTTTATTTGTAATCAATTCGGTTCAAAGTTCATCAAAAAGCCTTATTTTCTGTTGGAATTCAAGACTAACATTTCAGCGGGCATCTTTCAATGCACGACAAATTTTTATAGTGACGTTCTTATTCGAAGAAGTAGAAGTGCAAATAAATTCAGTAGAATTCATTAATAGAAATGTGACTTCGATGGCCAAAGTTCTTGAATAGAATTTTCACTTGAATTCGGTCGCATCACAGGTCTATAACCAAATGAACTTATCCCGTTATGAAAAGATGCATGAACGATTTTCAAAAACATACAAACACAATAAAAACGTTTTGAGTTTTCCGTGATGAAACCGTAAAACAAGTGCATTACTTTACCTTGAAGAGCTCCTGTATGGCTGTCGAGTTACCGATGAATGTGGCTGACATCTTCATGCCTCGAGGCGGTATGTCGCACACCGCAGTCTTCACGTTGTTTGGGATCCACTCGACAAAGTAGGAAGAATTTTTATTCTGTACGCTGAGCATTTGTTCATCAACTTCCTTCATGGACATCCTGCCTCTGAAAACCGTGGCCACGGTGAGGTATCGGCCATGCCTCGGGTCGCAGGCTGCCATCATGTTTTTTGGCTCGAACATCTGAGCCGTTAGCTCCGGGACTGTCATCGGTTGGTATTGCTGCGACCTGAAAAGTTGAACACCCTTAAGTTCGAATTGCTTGAAAGTGCTTGTCGAACAATAAAATGTTAAATATCTTAAGGTATAGCCAATTTGAAATTACTTTTTGTCATCAAATTGGCTGCTGGAGAAAAATCTATTGTTTTATGTCGTGTTCATATTTTTTATAACATTATTGTTAAAAATTGATAGGGTGTTGCAGAATAACGTAAGCCATGTCGCAATTCGTTACAGTTATTTTTTATTCAAGAGTTTTGTTTCTCACGTTCTAGCGGTGAGTGGAACAAAGCCCGGCATGAAGAAATGAAGCCTGGGGAAGGGCACCATGTTGACGGCCAGCTTGCGCAGGTCGGCGTTCAGTTGTCCTGGGAACCGCAAACATGTCGTCACCCCCGACATCGTCAGTGACACCAAGTGGTTCAAGTCACCGTAGGTCGGTGTGGTCAATTTAAGCGTCTTGAAACATATGTCATAAAGAGCTTCATTGTCGATACAGAAAGTTTCATCGGTGTTTTCAACCAGCTGATGCATTGACAGAGTTGCGTTGTAGGGTTCAACGACTGTGTCCGATACCTGTGAGTGGTAGTCGAAATAAATGGAGATTTTTCAAATGGTTTTAACTTCAAAAATTTTGATTGAGAAAGATTTTCGTGCCTAAAATAGACATCTTAAGCAAAATTATTTATCACAACTGCCGTAAAATTGGTGTTGTATTAAAAATATATTATATCTATTTAGGAAGCAACATGATTCAAATGGAGTTGTGCGTAATGTACGAAATAAGTTACTCGCTTGATGTCAAATCAAATACTCGCTGGATTTAAAATCTAAACGATTTAATTTTTCATCATTACGAGTAATTATAAGAAATTTTTTGTGAAGTTAAAAATAAATTATATCTATTTAAGAAACAACATGATTTAAATCGAGTTATGCTTAATGTACGAAATAACTTACTCGCTTGATGTTAAATCAAATACTCGTTTGATTTAAAATCTAAACGATTTAATTTTTCATTATTATGAGTAATTATAAGAAATTCTTGTGAAATTATAAATATATTATATCTATTTAGGAAGCAACATGATTCAAATGGAGTCGTGCGTAATGTACGAAATAAATTACTTGATGTCAAATCAAATACTCGTTCGATGTCAAATCCAAGTAAAATAATTTTCAATTATTATGAGTAATTACAAGTCTGAACTCACTTTAGGGCTTGGCACGACGGAGAAAGTGTTCATAATCCTATCAGGATATTCCTCCCTGATCTTTGAGATGAGGAGGGTACCGAGACCTGACCCAGTGCCGCCCCCCAGAGAGTGGGTGAGCTGGAAGCCCTGAAGGCAGTCACATCCCTCCGCCTCCTTCCTGACCACGTCGATGACGTTATCGACGAGCTCGGCGCCCTCCGTGTAGTGCCCTTTGGCCCAGTTGTTGCCCGCGCCACTCTGACCTGGCCCCACACATCAATATTTATTTCCGTTAGCCCTTTAGCCCAGTTGTTGCCTGCGCCACTCTGACCTGGTCACACACATCAATATTTATTTCTATTGCCCTCCGTGAGGTGCTTTTTGGCCCAGTTGTTACCCGCACCATCCTGACCTGGCCCCACACATCAATATTTATTTCCATAACTCTCCGTATAGTGCTCTAGCTTTGGCCCAGTTGTTGCCCGCGCCACTCTGACCTGGCACGTTATAACGACCCGGTAATGGGGCCGTGATATAGGACGGGCTCACGCTAAGGATGATACCGCAATATAGGACGGGCTCACGCTAAGGATGGGGCCGCAATATAGGACGGGATCACGCTAAGGATGGTACCCCGCACTATAGGACGGGATCACGCTAAGGATGGTGCCGCACTATAGGACGGGCTCACGCTAAGGATGGTACCCGCACTATAGGACGGGATCACGCTAAGGATGGTACCGAGATATAGGACGGACTCACGCTAAGGATGGTGCTGCACTATAGGACGATATCACGCTAAGGATGGCACCGCAATAAACGGGCTTTCGTTTAGGATGACCGCATTTTACCAGGAAAAAATCCTTTATGAAGGCAAAAAATTTGCCGTAAGCTGAACTTAATTTGTCAAAAGATTGAATGTTAAGTATAACTTGTACACAATTGCTATGTAGAATTTGCTTTGTTCGCAGATTTTATGTAATGAAATTGCTATGTAAAATTTACTTTGCAGATTTTATGTAATGAGATTACCGAAGACGAAGTTATCAGGTTTGAACAGTGCGCCGAAGGGTCCAGTTCTGACCGAGTCCATCGTCCCGGGCTCCAGGTCCACTAGAATGGCTCGCGGCACGTATTTGCCACCTGTTTAAGTACACGAGGAATTAAATTATTGCTTTATTATACTTATTAGGAATTTAACCCTTTGCCTATTGTTACATTAACACTCGTCAATGATATTTGTCCCTCAAGGCCTGGGGCTGAAAGGTTCCTTCAGTACACAAAGGATTCAGCGCAAAACCAATCCACAAAATTGAGACATCCTATTTTCAAATATACAGACAAACCACTATAACTTAGACATAAAGTTTTGGAATATACAACCAAACTACAATAACTTGGACATCCAGTTTATGAATATACAGCCAAACCACAATAACTGGAAAAAACAATTTTAAAATTTCCGGCCAAAATTAAATTTTTAGAATTTTGTTCCTGAGGCTTGGCGTTGAAGACACTTTGTTCGGCAGGATCTGCCGTCCATCGTATCCTAGCTGTGGTTTGGAAAAGCATTGCGTTGTGCGACCTAAAATTTGTTACTCCAATTACACTCTATGAATTAAAGTAACGTTACGAATTTAGGTAACAATATGAATTAAGGTAACTTTATTAAATACTAAAACGCTTTAAATTAAAGGAACGTTATGAATTAAAGAAAACTTAGAGTATGAATAGAAGTAATCAAAGTAATTAAAATACTGCAATTGCCATCAGGAAAAATCCGTGCAAGGAAGTTCTACGATAATATCGTTAACCTCATTCAGTATTTTATGTTAAGTTATGTCAAGCTATTAACATAGTTTGCCCTTGTGACCTGTAACTGTAAGGTCATAACAGACTGGCTGCTGATGGCAGGCGATAAGGAGGGCAGGCGTTAGGCGTGTAGGTGCAATTAGAGTGTCAGACCGTAGAGTTTTTAGTTTTAGTTTTTAGTTTTATTTTTTTTTAATTTCTTCATCTACTTGACATTTAAACCATTTCTTATGTATGATAATGCTGGTTACAGCTGGTATCCATGATACTTTACGTGTCTACTTATAGGACTCAAAAATGAAGTTGAGGAGGAATCTACATAAATAAAGAAGTCTCTGCTTTGACACTATGGGTGCAATTAGAGTGTCAGTGAGTGGTCGAGTAGAGTGTACATGCATTCCACTATGTAGTATGTATGAGTACTAATATTGATATATATGCAATTAAAGGGTTTATTTGTGCATGAGCGGAAACAATATAATGAAAAATTAAATTTTAGTTCCAAATTGCATTGTATTGCATTGAACTTAATGAGGAAATGAACGTGCAGGTCACATCTAAACCAAATATAATTCATAATAGCTATGGTTTTCCATTATTATTATTTATGAAATATATTGTCAAAATATTCAAATTTATCACGCATAATAATTTCATTGTGTTATATGCGATATAGTATTGACATTTAACATTTTAACATTTACCATAAAATTTAATGTTAATAAATTTAATTTAACATAACATTTTAACATAACATTTAATTTTTTAACTTATACTTTGATCAGTTAATTCTAGACAATTTCCTCGCTTCAACGAAGTGGTCCAGCCTGAGAATAAAGGTGCGGCTATAAGCCCGCCTCAAGGGCCTGATCGATGCATCGACTCGCCGTACTGTGAACTGCTGCCACGCAGTCCTCGACATCGACGTCCACATAAACATTGTCGTATACACTACGTCGTTATGATGGTAAACTGACATCATAACTTTGTGGTGGTGGCATCAACTTGGTGGTGGAGGCATCATAACTTTCTGGTGGTGGCAGCATAACTTGGTGGTGGTGTTGACATCACAACTTAGAGGTTTTGATATAAAGCTTAGATGTGCTGGCTCAAGCTTAGAGGTGTTGATATCAAGCTTAGAGGGTCTAATATAAAGCTTAGATGTGCTGGATAAAGCTTACAGTTGATGACTTCACAACTTAAAAGGTTCTGAAATCGAGCTTAGATGTGCTGGGGTCAAGCTTAGAGGTGTTGACATCACAACTTAGAGGTTCTTATGTCAGGCTTAGAGGTGTTGATATCACAACTTAGAGGTTCTAATATAAAGCTTAGATGTGCTGGATAAAGCTTACAGTTGTTGACTTCACAACTTAGAGGTTCTGACATAGAGCTTAGATGTGCTGGGATCAAGCTTAGAGGTGTTGACATCACAACTTAGAAGTTCTGACATAAAGCTTAGATGTGCTGGATAAAGCTTACAGTTGTTGATATCACAACTTAGAGGTTCTGATATAAAGCTTAGATGTGCTGGCTCAAGCTTAGAGGTGTTGATATCAAGCTTAGAGGTTCTAATATAAAGCTTAGATGTGCTGGATAAAGCTTACAGGTGTTGACATCACAACTTAGAGGTTATGAAATCAAGCTTAGATGCGTTGATATCAAGTTTAGAGGTGTTTGCATCATAACTTGGTGGGGCTGGCATCACAACTTAGAGGTTCTGATGTCAAGCTTAGATGTGCTGGAATCAAGTTTAGAGGTGGTGACGTCACAACTTGGTGGGGTTGACATCACAATTTAGAGGTTATGAAATCAAGCTTAGATGTGCTGGCAACACAAAGTACACCTATTTGAATCATTGACGTCATACATGACAACATCGGCGTCGTATCAACATTGTCCCATACACTACGAAATCCAAGCGGTAAACATGCATCACAACTAGGATGGGTTGGTATCAAACTTAGAGGTGTTGGCATCACAACAGTTATTTGCATCACTCATGCCATCCTTGACATCGGCGTTCGTATAAACACTATGCGTATCAGAGTACACTGCGCCATCATGGCGTCGAAATAGCAACTTAACATGTAGGTTGCGTAAGTGATAATTTTAAGATACACTCACGATGCAACAAAGTTCAGTTGCATACGTGGGGATTTCATGTTAATACACGCTGTGCGTAATACGTATGTATTTAATGTAAATACAGGCACAAGAGCGTGAATGTGGCTTGATGAACTAAATTGTTCTTACTGCATTGAAATTATGACGAAATAGGTTTTTGACGACAGACGTATTGGAAGTAGTTTATTTTTTATTTTTTCATAGCTAAACGTATATTAAAAACTTTTATTTCATAGCTAAACGTATTTATACGTACTAGGTAGGTAAACGGTCAAAGAGTATTTTTCTTAGTTAAACGTATTTCTAGTCTCCAAATATATTTTTCCTAATTTAACCTTTACTTACTAGCTATAAATATTTTCATTAGCTAAATTTACTTTACCTAGTTGAACGTATGTTCTCTAGCTCAACGTGTATTTACTAGCTGGCCATATTTTTATTAGCTAAATTTATTTTACCTAATTGTTAAATGTATGGTTATTAGCAAAACGTTCACTTACAAGCTGGACATATTTTTATTAGATAAATTTATTAAACTTAGTTGAACATCTGTTTCCTAGCTAAACGTGTTTTTACTAGGGGCATACTTTTAGTAGCTAAATTTATTTAACCTAGGTAATCGGATGCTTCCTAGCTAAACGTGTATATACTAACTAGGTTCCCAGCTAAACGTGTATTTACAAGCTGGACATATTTTTAGTAGTTAAATTTACTTTACATAGTTTAACGTCTGTTTCTTAGCTAAACGTGTATTTACTTGATGGAAATATTTTTAGTAGCAAAATTTACTTAACATAGTTTAACGTCTGTTTCCTAGCTAAACTTACTTTCAGTAGCTAGATTTTTAGTAGCTGAATTTACTTAACATAGTTTAACGTCTGTTTCCTAGCTAAACTTACTTTCAGTAGCTAGATTTTTAGTAGTTTAAATAAGACAAGACGCTCAACTTACTTTCAGTAGCTAGATTTTTAGTATTTGGGGTATTTTATTTTTTAGTATTTTAGTAATTAAACATTTGGGGTATTTTATTTTTTAGTATTTTAGTAATTAAACATTTGGGGTATTTTATTTTTTAGTATTTTAGTAATTAAACATTTGGGGTATTTTATTTTTTAGTATCTTAGTAATTAAACAAGACACCCACCTGACGCCTCGTTGTAGTAGACGTCGATGCGCTCGAGCTGCAGTTCGTGGTGACCGACATACTCTCCCGTGGGTGCGATGTCATGCTCGATGCTTATCACCTCCCAGAACTGTGGTGAACAACAGTGTGGTGCTTAATCACCGGCTATATATATAGTATATTTAGTTTTAATTTAGTTTATGTAGTTATTATATTATGAATTCAATAACTCAAAGAAAAAGCAGGTGATTTGGATATTTGATCGTTCAATTTATGAATCTCATCTTTTTGTTTATATTTCACTATTTTCATACTAAACCATAACTCATGGAAATAATCTTGTTCTCATTTATATCCGCAATAATCTTGTTCCCATTTATATCCGCAATAATCTTGTTCTCATTTATATCCGCAATAATATTGTTCGCATTTATATCCTTAATAATGTTGTTCTCATTTATATCCTTCATAATCATGCTCTCATTTTTATCCTCAACAATCTTGCTCTCATTTATGTTATTAATAATCTTGTTCTCATTTAAAGCCTTAATAATCTTGTTCTCATTTAAAGCCTTAACAATGTTTTTCTCATTTATATTCTTAATAATCTTGTTCTCATTCCTGACTTAATTTCCTAAGTGTCATCGTTCTTTATATCGCAATAAAATTCTGTGTAGGTATTGAATTTTTTGACAAGTTTTATACTGTTTACAATCACATACAACAAACTGATCTAGCTGCAACATTTTTGAAATAACATAATGGCTTTCGAAGATATTTTAGAAACTTTGACAGTAGATCCGATTTCGTACATCTTATTGCTAATTTTCAATTACATATTTACTGTTATGCTCTGTCTGTATGTAAATTAATAAAAAACGATTTAAGCGGATAATTATGTCTGCATCATCTGCAAATCGCTTTCGAAGACTATTGGCGCTGTTCATTGTTCGTCGTTAAACTCTACGGAAATTGTGCACAATATTTAAGTTAACTTGGAAGTTTCATTCAATTGTATTTCATTGAGCTTAGTTGGATTGACTCATGAACATCAATAATAAGCAAACTTATTTCCTTGATAAATAATTTCTAATAAAAAATGTACAAACTTCCAATATTTTTTACCACTATGAATCAATAAATTACTTTGAATTTTAATATGTATGACTGGCGCTTGATCATGAACGATGCTAGGTTTGCAATAAGTATTCGATGGTTAAAATTATATTATTTTTACTAAGAGTTTTCCGATATTTTTCTAAAAAATTACCAAAAATTCGTTCGCAAAAACGTTTTATTTGAATGAAAAATGAAAGTGGTTTTGAAGCGAGAGTGTACACATCGATTCATCGGAATCGCTTCGGTGAATATGTCATCGAATTCTCCCTAAGCATTTGCACCACAAATGTTACCCGTCACTTATTGAACAAAGGATAATTGGCGTTAACTCACCTTTGACCCTATCTGGTTACCACATTGGCCAGCTTGTATGTGAACAATTTCACGCATGTCGATATATAATCACAACCTTTTTGTCGTGTGTTATTTAAGATCACAAAGATAAAGGGTTTGAAAAAGAGAGACCAGGACGTACGTGCGTATCTTCCAACGGTCACCTCTACACTGGCGTGACAAGCACCCTGAACGCGCTACACTTCCAGCTAACGTGTCACGTTCACTTAACGGGTTCCAGTTGTGTTTTCAATCAATATTGCTCTGTGTGAACAAGTTTATAGATAGTCATTGGTAGCAAATTGACCAGCAACCATCGTAAGCAGTGACTATCAGTTCCACTCGATGCAGGTTTTGGGTTCGTGACCACAAAATTCTGGATTATCCTGTTGAGTTTGGCATACTACTGGAGCTGGAATGCTGCCAGGCTACGGAGAATGATGTCATGCAGCCATGATTTTCAACGCTGTAAATGTCAACATGGCTGCCATGAACTTAAATTACTCCCTGTAAGACTACATGATGCTACATTATCTTATACATAATTGTTTGGGCTTGTGTGTTTGATGCCTGGCGCCTCATATATGAACGAATAAACAATGCTTATCGGGTCGCGATTTCACCATCACCTAAAAATTTATTTCTAGTGGGAGGCATTTCCAAACTGACAGGGAAAGATTAGATCATAATTTGTAATTTGAATTGCCAATTGTGGTGTATATATTAAATGTTAAAGACAGAAATTTTTTATTCTTCTTTGAAGCGAGCGCCAAATGCAAGTTATCTGTAAAATGGGGTCTTATAGAATTAGCATACGTTGGCTTTATTATCCTTAACGTGATGCAAGATACGGAAATGAGATGATTTTGTGCAACAGAATTCCATAATTACTGGAATTATCAATCCCAGTCAACGATGGACTCTGGTATATGGGCTTACAGACACTCAACTTTAGCAAGTGTTGCAAACAAAATCTTTTTAAAGTTAGTATTTCAAGCGTACTAGGGTATTTTATCGGAGATTGTCTGAAAATTCCATTGGTCAGGAAAATTCTAAAATACCCGTAATAAATTTGTCATTGAGACTTTTTTTTTGTAATAGTGCCTGATAAGTTAGTCTAATGTCAATCCCGCTTTGTTATTTAGTTTCTATCAATGGTTCGCGATGTGTGATAGTTAGCTAAAGGTTATGGCTGATTCTCCATTTCATTCCTCTCCTTTTTCTCCTGTCATTTTCTCCAATACATGACGGTAGGTTACTCTCATGGTTGAATTAATATGTATTAATTCAACCATGGGTTACTCTAGTTTCCGCATTCAATGACACGTGATCGGACCTTTTGTTTAATGGATGGTCCTCAGCCTACGACTAGTACAAACGTGAGACGAAGTTTAATCTGACGGAATGTAGTAAAATGTTGTACTATGCAACAATCCGTCGTACAATGTAGTACGAAGGAATTTGTAGTATCACTACAGTTGTAGTGATGCTGAATTCTGTTTCTCGTTTTAGTTTTAACGTAGATTCAAATACGAACGAAAAGTTCGAATCGCGTTCTGCACTGCAGCATGGAGCGCCATTGTGAAGTGAAGTGATGGGTTTACGTAAGCCTGTGACTCTAGTTTACTAAATTTCATTTGTTAAACACTGAGTTAAATGCTGCGAGCCACTGGATGAGTTCGATATCAATTTAATATAGAATGTCTAATGTGCCGCTCCTTGGAATGTCTAAGGTGCCGTAACAGTTAGCCGTGATATTGAATTAATTTCTTACCGAATACACTTTTTGTGAATCCTGTTCGCCTGAAGTATGCTTAGATTGCACTATGCACTCAAGTAGGTTTAGTAAGTGTCTCTTAGTTTTTTTGCTATTGAGTAAAGAAAAGGAAATATTTGATGCGTGTGCTTTAATTCTGACGCTTCGTTTGAACATGTAAAAGTTTTTAATTGCCGTAACTGTGTTAGGAATAAAAGGCTTAATTCAACTTAATGATTTTAAGAGCATTTTAAATATTATGTGTATTTAAATGCCGTGACGGTGTTGGAAATTAATAGTTTAATTTAACTTAGTAATTTTAAAAGCTTTTTAAATATTATTTTCCTATTTTTATCATCTATATTCTTAGTTTTACAGAAATCGATTTTAATAAGAGTGAACGACAACAAATCGTGTTTTCAAAGTCCTTGGCAACAAATATGCGCAACACTTATTATTATTATTATATTATTATATATTATTATTATTTATTTTATTATATTATTATTATTATTATTTATTATATTATTTTCATAATAGGCGTGCCCGTAAATATTTCTCTCGTAGATATCTATAAACTTTATACAGTAATCTATCAGAAGTGTATGCCAAATAAAGGTTTCATTAAACAGGCAATATTTGTGAATTTTATTTTTAAGTTCATAATTTCACAAGAACGAAAGTAGAAATTAAATTCTCCATGCAACGTTAAAAGATTATGACACAAATGTAATCTTTATCTATCCTCTTATAATAATGAGCGTGATACGTGGCAAAAGTGTTATAATATGACTTTTAAGTCATATTATAACACATACCTGGCTAAAAACTATTATATTATGACTTTTTATACTAAGGATCAAACCGAGATAATTTCCGAAAAAACATATACAACTCAAGATACATGTTCTCGTTTAGAAAGTTATTTAAAGCAATTTGGTTTGCAATAATTCGAGCGATGTTCCGTTATTCATGTATACATATTAACTATATAGATTTGTTGCAATTTCGCTTTACTTTAATTGTATCACTGAACATCCCACATGTATAGTTTCTAAAAAATCTGATACAAATAAATATTTATGTTCTCTAACGCTGTTGCAGAAATGAAAAATCTACTTGATGGAAAATGGGATGAGTACTAATAAACAATTAATATTGTTATATGTTAACACAGTGGTCATGTTTATACAGATGTGGTCATGTTTAGTATTCACTTGGACTATTGGAATGATTACAATAAAAACTGGTAAGTTTGTGCATACTTCACTCTAAAAAATTCGGTTCAAAATTTCCAATATAAATTATTTTTTGATGATAACATTTTGATCTACTGTAAATCTCTAAATCAAAATTCATCATCACAGGCATTGATTGTCGCTCTCATGTGTATAGTTTTTTTTTAATGTTCAAAACTCGAAATTTTCATCATGGCCGTGAAACAAATTAGAGCCTAGAAACAATTTTTTAAATACTAATTTGCTGACACTTTGAAAACAATTCATTTGAAGAAAATATGTTTTCATATACTACTAGTGCTTGTAAATTGAGCGGTCATATGGTGTGGAACTTATAATAAATCCAATCAATTTTAAAGCATATCACTTGCATAATCTTAAATCATATCACTTGCATATTCTTATATATGATATATGATGCCGTCAGGGATTCTTAACCACCCGGATACCCTGCCGATTTCGACCAGAATTTTGACAGCAAGTTGCTTGTTTCGAACCTCCGAAATCGCTGTTCCATTCTTGGCGACCTTAACCGCTAGGCCACTCTAAGTTTCATACATAATAATTTACGTGTAGCTTAAATCCATGATACCCTTATATAATATCCGAAATTACTTTTAGATCAAGGACTGCAGCTAAGGGCGCAATTTTAAAGTAGTCAAAAATTTTTTCATACAGATGATAGAAACACAACAAAGTGCAGATGGACACCGTTTACATGGATTATCTACAAGACATTTCAATTGGTGTAAGCATAGGTCGGCAAAATCATGAGAGAAGCTTACAGAATGTTGAGGTTAACAAACAATTTTCATTTTGAGGTTAACAAACAATTTTAACAATGCATTATTTCACTACACACTCGCTGCAGCCTTTTATTTAGATGCATCAAATTCCAGAAAAATTGTTTTAATTTACGCAGCACATGCAAATGATTACTGATCCTAGGCTTCTTCTTCGTCTTCGTAATCATCATTGCGTTCGTACTCATTATCTTCCTCTTCGTTATCGTTATCGTATTCAAGTCCTTCATCTGCTTTAGCCTCCTGGTATTGCTGGTACTCAGACACGAGGTCGTTCATGTTGGACTCCGCCTCCGTGAACTCCATTTCGTCCATCCCTTCGCCCGTGTACCAATGCAGGAAAGCCTTCCTTTTAAACATCGCTGTGAACTGCTCCGAAATCCGCTGCTCAGGATTAAAAAATCATGGTAAAAAATCATAGAAAAAGTAATTGTATGTGTCCATTGAAGGTTTTTGAGGAGGTACTATAAAAGATTTTGAAATAAGCTGTAAGTGAACATATAGCTCAAGACGTGCGTGTGATGCATGAGTTAAGAAGAGGTCGGTAGCCTCAATTGAATTTTCTAACGAAGAAAATTAAATTTTTTCGTCTTTATTTTTGAGGAAAATATCTACAACTTCAATATTTCCCACTCTAACAATTAAAAATTTTCTTTATTTAAGCAAACGGTAAAGTATTAACATAGGGGCAGGAGTCACCACGAGATGGAGCGAAACCTTGAACAGACCCGGCAAGTTTGCTGCCGATAAGTTGAATAAACTTGAAAAATTACGCCTTATAGGTGGAAGAAAAGTCAAAGGTTCTGCCAACAAACTGGCGTGCGTGCTAAACTAGTTCATTTTTACTGGATCATAAATACGCTTATACAAAACACCGATTCGAATTAATGAGGATAATACTGAATTAATGAGGATCACTAAGTTACTTTTAGCTCATCAATTGTTAGAAGAAACAGGCCCGTTCTTGTATTTTATCACTGAATTAAAAAGTAGAAGCTGGTGAGTTATTTCTGTAAGATGAATTGATTAATAGGATTTGATTCTAGAATACAGGCATCTCACGTTGAAAAGTTCCTGAATGGCTGTAGAGTTTCCAATGAAAGTGGCCGCCATCTTCATGCCGCGAGGAGAGATGTCACACACCGCAGTCTTCACATTGTTCGGGATCCACTCGACGAAGTAGGACGAGTTCTTGTTTTGGACTTTGAAGAGCTGTTCATCAACGTCCTTCATGGACATCCTGCCTCTGAACACGACAGCCACGGTAAGGTAGCGGCCCTTGTGGGGGTTACACGCAGCCATCATGTTCTTGGGCTGGAAGATCTGCTCTGTGAGCTCCTGGACCGTATGCGTGCTGTACTTCTGCGACCTGGATAAAGTTTTCAAGTTTGTTCAAGTTAGGCTTAGTCAATATATTATACAGTTCGAATTAATATTTTAAGCGCATTTTCCTCATTTATGGCAAAAATGCACTATTGTGCTCGTCATGTCCGTCTGTCTGTCTGTCCGTCAGTGTTTTCGTCGACGAGAAAATGCGCTCTCTGTCACTCACTGCAGTGAGTACTGAGTTATATTTTTTGTTACATGATTGATCACTGCGGCCTTTCTAATTCGACAGCAATGCTTTATCAGTGGTAGCAGAATATATTTATTCCAGATTTTCAATTTGGTTAGTGTGTACATTAATATAAGTGCTAAATTTGTTAAAAACCTCAGAACTTAAATGTGGAATAAATTTTACCTTTTTAAGTGAATAAATGTGAAAGCTTAGATTCATTGGTTTATTCATTACAACAAACAGTGAAAGGTTTGCAAATCCAAGATTTGCAAGTTATATTTTATGACAAGAAACTTTGCTATAACCAGCTACAATCGACATAAAAGTGAGTGAGTAATAGTATAGTTTTGGTGTTGCTATTACATTTTACTATGACATATCAGTTACTATTATATTGTACTATTACAATTACTATTATGTTGTACTGTTACAATAATATTAAATTTCACTTACTATTACATTTCAGTAATTACTATCCTTACTGATATTACGTAAACTGACAGCTCCAGCTTTTCTTATTATATTGTACTATTACAATTACTATTCTATTGTACTATTACAATAATATTAAATTTCATTTACTATTACATTCCTTACTAATATTACGTGAACTAAGAGCACCCATCTTACCCTCTGGCGGTGAGCGGCGCAAAGCCCGGCATGAAGAAATGAAGCCTGGGGAAGGGCACCATGTTGACGGCCAGCTTGCGCAGGTCGGCGTTCAGTTGTCCCGGGAACCGCAAACATGTCGTGATGCCGGACATGGCAAGGGACACAAGATGGTTGAGGTCGCCGTAAGTTGGTGTGTGCAGCTGCAGGGTGTTGGTGCAGATGTCGTAGAGGGCTTCGTTGTCGATGAAATATGTGGCGTCGGTGTTCTCGACCAGCTGGTGGATGGACAGCGTTGCGTTGTAGGGTTCTACGACTGTGTCCGATACCTGAAAGACGAGATACGTGGTGCATGGTTAAATGTTATATTATTTAGTTGATGTGTGACATTGAAGCAGGTGTAACGTTGGATCAGGGATAATTCAGGATTAGGTATAACATAGAATCAGGTATAACATAGGATCAGGTATAACATAGGATCAGGTATAACATAGGATCAGGTATAACACAGGATCAGGCATAACATAGGATGAGGTATAACATAGGATCAGGTATAACGTAGGATCAGGTACGACAGAGGATCAGGTATAACATAGGATCAGGTATAATATAGGGTCAGTTATAACATAGTATCAGGTAAAATATAGGATCAGGTATAACACAGGATCAGGTATAATATAGGATCAGTTATAACATTTGCTCAAGTATGACAATGGATGAGGTATAAACATTGGATCAAGTAATAATATTCGATTAGATATGTCATTTGATAAGGTATACCACATGACAAGGAAGCATGGACGAGGAAATCTGCACATTATTCAAGATTGTACGAAGATCTCAGCCGATATAACTAGAATAGGTTTACGTAATAGTTTTTTCACATGTAAATTTTTACAGAAGATAGTTCATAAATTTGAAGGACTGCTTCGCAGGTGTTTACAAGAAGTGAGCCATTTAGAATAAATGAAAAAAATACAAAAAGGTTATTAAATCAATCATAAAAAGTAAGTGATTAAATGATAACAATTGTTACCTTTGGGCTCAGTACTACAGAGAAAGTACTCATAAATCAATCACATATAATAATAAATAACAGTTGATTACCTTTGGGCTTGGTACTACGGAGAAAGTACTCATGATTCGGTCGGGATATTCCTCCCTGATCTTCGAGATGAGCAGAGTACCCATGCCGGAGCCCGTGCCGCCCCCCAGGGAGTGCGTGAGCTGGAAGCCCTGAAGGCAGTCGCAGCCCTCGACCTCCTTGCGGGTCACGTCCACGACGTTATCCACCAGCTCGGCGCCCTCCGTGTAGTGCCCTTTGGCCCAGTTGTTGCCCGCGCCACTCTGACCTGCATGGTCATACACATCAATATTTATTTCCATAATCCTCAACTGGGCCCTTTGGCCCAGTTGTTGCCCGCTCCACTCTGACCTGGTCCCACACATTAATATTTATTTCCGTTATCGCTTTGGCCCAGTTGTTGCCCGCGCCACTCTGCCCTGGTCATACACATCAATATTTATTTCCATAATCCCTTTGGCCCAGTTGTTGCCTGCGCCACTCTGACCTGGCCCCAAACATCAATATTTATTTGAATAATCCTCCGTGTAGTGCCCTTTGGTCCAGTTGTTACCCGCGCCACTCTAACCTGGTCACATACATCAACATTTATTGCCATAATCCTCAACTGGGTACCTTTGGCCCAGTTGTTGCCCGCGCCATTCTGACCTGGCCCCATACATCAATATTTATTGCCATAATCCTCAACTGGGTACCTTTGGCCCAGTTATTACCCGCTCCACTCTGACCTGGCCCCACACATCAATATATATTTCCATGCCCAGAAACAATGAGTTCAATAGGAAAATAGAAGCTTTGAAGATTGTGTAAGTACTTGGCACATACACTTTTCATGGACGCGTCGGGTCTAAAATATGAATTCTATCGAAACATGCACTTTTGTCATTAATTTGCTTAATCTTAACGGTTATTAGAGGCTGTCATGAATAAGATAGATGAAACAAGAAAATTCGAGGCATTGATTAGCGTTCAACAGCCTCCGCCCATTTATTTATAGAAACGAGAATTAGATTTTGTGTGTGGATTGATAAAACGATGGACGAGCATTGACTAGGAATATTATCTCATATTCTATGACATTTGTTTAATTCAACGCAGTTGATCAGAAGATAAATTAAAAGGGAGGATCAGTCTGATTAGTCAAACAACTGTCATACAAGGGAGCTGATCAAAATATTACAAAAGAATTTTTAGCCTGAAATAAGCGCTCTAATTAATTTATGTGTTCAGATGCAAATGTTTTTTACGTCTCTCGACTGCTTATTTAAAAAAACGTTTATTTAAGTAATTTTTATTGCTTTTCAGACTGTTTTCAAAGTTCATGACTGCCACGCGAATGCACTACAACTATAAAGTATGCATACTACTATGTAAGAAAGGTATAGTTTTGTGATTATTTTATTTACAAAACGCAGGTTACAAAAAAAGTTGTAATCACTGTAGCAACTTATACGGCAGCCCAGAAATGATCTATATAAAAGTCTAAGGTTTCAATAGCTTGGACCATTCCTACATAATTCTTGATAGGATTTATTAATTTAAGCATATGCAAAATATTAATGTATAAAATTGCATTTAATTCTACGAAAAATACGAGGAATTTCCCGGATAGTAGAACAAAGCTGACATTTTATAATGGAGTATTAATGTCACTTATTTGCTTAAATCGCAAGTTGACTAAAAATTTAAAAGCAAAGAATAGTCCACAAAAATTCATATCTTTATAGAAAACGTTTCGTTACCACGTTTTACTGATTCTACGAACTGACGATGGAGCTGGACTCCGAAACGTTTTCTATAAAGATATGAATTTTTGTGGACTATTCTTTGCTTTTAAATTTTTATAATGGATTTTCACCGACCGAATATGAAGTTGTCAGGTTTGAAGAGCTGGCCAAACGGGCCCGTGCGTACCGCGTCCATCGTCCCGGGCTCCAGGTCGATCAGGATCGCGCGGGGAACATATTTTCCGTCTAGAATATTATAATAATAATTCAATCAATGACATCTCTTATCACGTCTTATCGTCAACTACATCATTATTATATTTGAATTTATTAGTATTAGTATTAGCATTAGTATTTTATTATATTTAGTTGGTTCTGGCACCAACATTCTATTGAAGAACGCCGAACTCTGTATATATTTCTTCAACGAAGTATTGCGATGAAAGAGTCTCCTCTAACTTTATGGAGTTTATAAATTTCAAAAGTCAGTTAATCGATCAATGTTATATAAGAAAAGAATGTTGCAAACTTTCTACCAAGTAATTTTTGACGTAGACAATGAATGTCGTGAATCATATCGTAAGATTAGTACGCTATTAACTCACATGCGATCTCATTGTAGTAAACGTTGATCCTCTCGAGCTGAATGTCGTGAACGCCATCGTAAAATTAGTACGCTATTAACTCACATGCGATCTCATTGTAGTAAACGTTGATCCTCTCGAGCTGAATGTCGTGAACGCCTTCATAGTCCCCGGTGGGTGTGATGCCGTGTTCATCACTCGTCACTTCCCAGAACTGGAACAGATTCAAATTAATTACTTTTGATGACAATTCGATGCGACTTACCGATTTTGAATGTGACAATAACCTTACAATCATAAGCTCCGTCTAAAACATTCAACGAAATTAAACATTTTAAGACATTTTGATCCGTTTGATAAGACGGACGGACCCTGAAATCGATATAGAAAGTACATAAACAAATAAGTTCAGTGTAAAACTCGTAATTAGTTCGTGACAATATATATAACTCATTTAGTAAAGCACATGTTCGTATAGTATACCCAATCCTTCATACATTTCTGGTTGAAGTTTTTTTGGTTTGAATAATGGTTCAGGATGAATAACAGCAGGAACCTTAAACTGGTTCACAATCCAAAGTAAAAACCGTAAATTTAATTTAATATAGAAAATTTTCATACCTTTTCCCTGATGGTTGAAAAAAGGTTACTTATGAAATTGTGTCATATGAGCATCGAGTGAAGCAATTGGCACCTACGCGTTCCAATCCACGATTGCACTGCCATCTTCACTCAAGCCATTCCTTCGCTTTTTGTTTTATGCTTCTAGTCGCACTTTTATTCGGCTTTAAATGGCTTCAGGTCGAATAAAAAACTTTTATTTGATGTATTAGTTTAACAATTACTGATTATCGTTACTCGCGTGCATTGCTACTTAAGCACTATAGATTTGACAGGCACAAGACAGCAGTGATACCCATTGTCTCTGAAATATAATCTATTCATACACATTGCATTTAATGGTAATTTGTTATCGTAAGTTTTCTGAATGTATTTATTTGATTCTGTACAGATTTAGTACACGATGAAGTTTCATTTTAAATTCAATTATTCCAACTGTCGCAAATGATGCATGTAAAGAAGCTGCGTAAACGCAGCCGCAAACATCTGCCTCATAATTAAATTTTGCTTCTTGATCAGATATGAAGATATTCGATAAATATTGGTCAGTGGTTCTATTAATGAAGCTAAGGCTATCACTTCGACATAAGCGACTATTGTATAGCATTGTAAGAGTATTGTATTACACTTAATTCTATTGCACAGCATTTTTTCAGTATATTGTATTACACTACTATTGTATAGCATTGTAACAGTATTGTATTACACTACTATTGTACAGCGTTGTAAGAGTATTGTACTACACCACTTTTGAATAGCATTGTAACAGTATTGTATTACACTACTATTGTTTAGCATTGTAACAGTATTACACTACTATTGTATTTATTCCAGTTTGTAATGCTTGTGTGACGCACATTACAACTTTATGCTGTCAATTGTGTTTTGATTAGAAATTGCGCTGAATTTGGGACTGCATTTTTCGGAAGTGAAATTGAAAGTAAATACTTATTTCTTTATTCGAGTCGAGCTCGTGTAAGTTAAACCTTTATAGCCTTGATATCAGGGTCTATACTTTAAAAAAATGAAAGTGATCGTAAGTTCATCCGCCAGTCATTGACGGCCTTTCAAGCCAAATCTACCAACCATAGACAAGAAAATAGTGCGTAAGTACTTACGTTCACTTAGCGAGTTTTGAAAGTATGGTCCCAGCTTAATTATAGTTAAGCTACGGCATAAGTTAATTTACCGGAGTAATTTAAAGATTGAGTTATTCTTATAACTCATTACGTTAAAAAGTTATTATAGCGTAATTATTTATCAAGCATTATTATTTTTTATTTTATTATTGACTTTGATATCCAATTATATTCAGATGAGAAAGCATGGCTCTATTTCAGTATAACGCGTGCATAAATCAAAGAATTTCTGACCAGAATAGAACAGTCAAACCAGCAGCTATGCACTCATACATATAAAAAAATGCCTACATTACATGAAATACGCAGGTAAATACCGAGGCGGACATAAATATTCAGTTCTAATCGATCACAGCCAAGGATAATTTTCCCCCTCGCTGACTATCCAATCAATACGGACCCGAAAAGGTCACTAGGTGAAGTAGAATGAACAGGCTTGCAGGTGCCTGAAAAGGTCACTAGGTGAAGTAGAATGAACAGGCTTGCAGGTGCCGTAATGATTTATATGCAGGTGCCCGAAAAGGTCACTAGGTGAAGTAGAATGAACAGGCTTGCAGGTGCCGTAATGATTTATTTATGCCGCCTCGAAGTGGGGCGATCAATGACACCACGCAAGGGGCTGGGCGTCAGGTTCTGCGCTAGATTTATAAGTGCATGTAGAGGTTTATATCGGTGAATTTGTTGTTATATATTTACTTTAAAACTATAGTTTTATTAGTTAAAATATAGGGTATTGATGGTGAATTTATTGTAATATGTTTAGGCTTATATAACAAAGGGTTTTCAGCACAAATATAGGATTATGGCGGTGAATTTATTAGCATATGTATAGATATATAACGGTAGATTTATTAGTACATATATAGGTTTTTGACAGTGAAGTTATTAGCATATGTATTGGTTTATAACTGTAGATTTATTGGTGTAATTGTAGGTTTTTGACAGTAAAGTTATTAGCATATGTATAGGTTTATAATGGTGGATTTATTGGTACAAATATAGGATAATGACGACGATTGTATTGGCATATGTATAGGTTTATAATGGTTAATTTACTAGTGCATATATGGAGATGAATTTATTACTGCAAATGAAGGTTTATTCTCGTAGATACTGCATCTAAGGTTGTTGAAGTTTCCCGGCCGTTTCAACAGGTTCCTATTCTACACGAGTCTTTGTTCCATTGTAATACGGTGTTATTACACTATTGTATTGTTTTTCACTATGTATACGTATTGATGTACAATTTCTACTGGAGTAGATTTGATACCATGTGGATAAAAAAAGCAAGTTCTCTTCATTTTCAAATTCTTATTTACAAGGCCTCTATAATTCCGGCAGTAATTTGAGAGCTTGATTGACTCAAGCTCTCAAATAAGCTAATAAATGATAATAATAGCTTAATTTTGACAGGGATCTTGCAATAATTAACTCTTACAAATTGGTTTTAAATAATCTCGGATATGCCCAGTAACTCTTATGAGCAATACATGAATAATGAAATTTACTCAATTGATTTTATCATTAGATATTATTTATTATTGATTATTTGCGTGCGGACATTTTCTGCTCGCAGCACTAATGCGCCCTTCAAACTGGCCAAAGTGGGTCAGAAAGATCGGACAAAAGGTACATATATCGCTACTTGGACATTGTCTTGCTCTTTTATATGAGTGTACTCCTACACACATGTTGCGGAAAAAACTTCGGCAAAAACAGAACAAAATCGAATTGCCTAAAACTTTTTATTACTTTCTTATATTTTTCTTTCTCATTTTAACCCCATTTTTCGAAACAGTATATTTGTTGTCATGATTTAAGCCTAGATAATTTAGAACGTTGCTTGAATCTGAATCGATTTAATTGTTAGTGTTAAATTATTCAAGTGATCCACCGTGGCCCCCCGAACAATTTACTGTGCCAATTTGTCCATCAGTTACACTACTCATCTGGCTGAGGTGACCATTATACTAAAATTTGGGCCAACTGTTCCATTAGTTACACCACTCATCTAGCTGAGATGACCATTACACTACAATTTGGGCCAATTGGTCCATTAGTTACACTACTCATCTGGCTGAGATGACCATTACACTACAATTTGGGCCAATTGGTCCATTAGTTACACTATTCATCTAGCTGAGATGACCATTACACTAAAATTTGGGCCAATTGGTCCATTAGTTACACTACTCATCTAGCTGAGATGACCATTAAACTAAAATTTGGGCCAATTGGTCCATTAGTTACACTACTCATCTAGCTGAGATGACCATTACACTACAATTCGGGCCAATTGGTCCTTAATTGGATGACCAGTTGAAAACGTCAGCTGAAATTGCAGTTCAGAAGTACGTAGACTCCATGAATTCGTCTTTTGCGAAAATATTTAAGAACAAAACATGCAAGGTTTTTTCATTTGGAAAAGTTATGCTCGACGAGCAAAAATATATTGCGTGACGGCACTACGAGAACTAAAACCACCGCATACATTAAAAAAAAACGACCAGTTCTTCAGCTTCTTCTTTTGCATCCTGATTAAATTTTAAAATAAAACTAGAGGCAGGAAAGGAACAAACAAAAAGTTCCATTCCCAAAATTTCTCACAGGAAAAAATTTCATGAAATTATCGTACAAGATTCCTGTACAATTCCTGTACTTGCAGATTCCTGTACTTGCAATAATTAACTCTTACAAATTGGTTATAAATGATCTCGGATATGCCCAGTAACTCTTATGAGCAATACATGAATAATGAAATTTACTCAATCGATTTTATCATTAGATGTTGTTTACAATTGATTACTTGTTTGTGGACATTTACTGCTCGCAGCACTAATGCGCCCTTCAAACTGGCCAAAGTGGGTCAGAAAGATCGGACAAAAGGTATATCGCTACTTGGACATTGTCTTGCTCATTTATCTGCGTGTACGCGTACACACATGAAATTATCGCACGAGATTCCTGTACAATTCCCAGTGCAATAGAGAATGGGAAAGTGATGGCCCTAGTAACAAATGACGATCGCTAGACATGAACTCTCTAAATGCTCGGCTGAAAAACTGAGACTGTAAGTACACACTAATAAACATCTGATTTATAGCATTAGGTTAGCATGTGTTCCTTGATTCCTTGAAGGTTAACCTGACGAATTATTTATTCTCTGTCAAGTTTTTAGTATTCAGGTAATAATAATAAAATTAATAATGAAAATAGTGATAATAATACTGATAACAATAATAATAATAATAATAATAATATTAATAATAATAGTAGTATAGATTCTAGAATCTAGATGCTATATGCAGTTACCAGTTAGCCTAGTGGTTCAGTGCGCTGTGGCCTGTGCTAAGCCCTATTTTCCCTGTGCTGCTGTGCTGTGCAGTGTGCACTGTCACTGTGCAGTATCAAATATCAACTAGGGGCCTAGTGAGTGACTGCCACAGTGCCACTATTTTCGTAGAATAATAATAATAATACTAATAATGATAATAATAATAATAATAATAATAATAATAATAATAATAATAATAATAATAATAATAATGACAAAAAGTTTGAGTTAGAGAGACTTGCAGGAATATCTAGCGTAACGAAGGTATATTTTTCTTGGCCTATCGTTGGTATTGTAAAATACAAAGCACAGTTGACAGATATTTCTGTGCCTGAATACCTACTGAATTCTGAATTAAACACCAACATTGACCTGCAAGTCATCATTACTGCTGCCGTGCTGTGACCCACAAACTTCCAACATAATTATTTCTTCGGTTGATTACTTATATGAAGTTGGTTAAAGTTTGTGATCCATGACGAGGAGCTTTTCGAGCTTAGTATGTTAAAACTAAAAAAAATATATTCCAGATTTTCAATGGAATATGCTTAGCCCTTTTACTAAAATACACTCAAAGAAAATGAATGAGTAATATTGTCCGAATATTGTATTTTTTGCGCGTATGACTAATGCGCCTTTTTGTCCGGGAAAACTATGTCAAGATAAACTACACAGTGACAAAAATCACTTCGTTATCTGAACAAATCTCTTTAATTTCTCTGAGTGTAGAGCCATTTTCTAGGTAAAAAGTCTTCATCGAAACCAATAAAATTCCTGATCCTTAGTTTGAAATTACTAATTAACTGTGGGCTTGAAAATTTAACCTTAAAATCAAATATCCTTCATATATTCGAAAGGCTTAAATTATATTTACACATTGTATATCAAGGTCATGCATGTGACGGAAGCCTACTTATCCACTTTATTATGGTTTGGAATATTATGGGAGCTTTCTGAAGATTTATTTCGGCACAATATTTCCAAACTCGTTGAAGTTAATGGAATTAATAAAAAATATAACTCAGTACTCACTGCAGTGAGTGATAGAGAGCGCATTTTCTCATCGACAAAAACTTGAGGTCACGGACGGACAGACAGACAGACAGACAGACAGACAGACGGACATGGCGTGCACAATAGTGCATTTTTTCCATAAATGAGAAAATGCGCTAAAATCTGTTTGATGGAATGACAATAAATAATATTATTGAATTATATATGTTACGTATATTCGTATGTCGAAGGATTGAATACACGATTTTTCGTTTTCCTTTTCTTTATAAAATCCGTTTCTGCAAACAAACAATATACAAAGGTAAAAATGGTTACATAAAATTAGTATTGCACATTAGGTATCATCGAAAAATAAAATCATTTATTTTGAACAATAATACGATTAAAGTCAAGAATGCTAGCTACAAGGATCTTCAGAATTAAAACACGCTTACCAAACATTTCCTTCTGTTCAGTCTATAGCCAACACCGCAACTGAAACTATAGATGCTTTTAAAACCGAACGTAAGTAAAATGTCACTGACGCACATGCATCAGGCGAACGAAATGTACGAGAGAAGTGCATTTGAGAACTAGGTATTCAACAATATATCATCATTGTTAGAAGACTTTCATTTTCAAAAAGATGTTGAAAAATAGAAAATAATTCAACCTCTGTTCTATTTTGAGTAAAATTAGATAGTACTTCAACTCTCGCAGATTGGTCCCCTTACCTTAGATCCTATTTGGTTGCCGCATTGCCCAGCCTGCAGATGCACGATTTCCCTCATGGCTGTTTATCTACACTTTATTTCTTTACCAGCTTCAGACACTTACTAAATTAATTATTATTAAATCTATTTTAATTATTAAACACGTAAAACAAGTTCTTCATAAAATCCACGGATTATTCAAACGTAAAAAGGAAACAATTTTTATAAATAATCACAGAGGTTTAATCGCCATTTTAAATTAAAATGAAAATTTCGAACTCAGTCATTGCTACAATATTTCGTAAAGCTGATTGATATTCTGCATTTCGAATGATGCAATGTGGATGCAATCATATGAATGATTGCAATTATTGGTTGTTTAGTGAATGATTGCGATATCGACAAAAAAATGCAACTCCGTACCAACTGTTGATGAATACTAACATAAATATCATAATTTTTCTAGCAATAACGGGCGTAGTGGGAAGTCCATTTAAAGCCAAATAATTTGTAGGACATGGCTGCATTTTGGAATTGACGATGAATCCATGCAGAAATACGATACTTTTTCAAGCTAGCATTTTGGTAAATTGATAATGAATCCAAATTGAAACATCATAAATTTCAAGTTACAAACTTTGTTTTGGTATCTGTCTAACTTACTGAGACCTACAATGGGACTCGCCTTGTTAGCGGCTGGGATCACGTTTGTCGCGGATGGTAATGCCTCGAAGTTCTGAGATCAATCTAAATAAACTTACATATCTTATCGATTAATTTAAACGGTACCTGATATCTCATATGATTTGTTTAGAGCTCATTTTGTGCCGTTGATTGCAGTTTATGTGTAAATTGAAATTAAACAGGAAATTGTAATTATGTTTTTTTTATATGAATGGTTTGTATTTAGAATGAAAGTGATCAAACTACTGCCCATGTGTGAATGTGTTATCAAAAATCAAAATAAAAAATCACATAGTTATAAAAAAAACCTATTTCAAGGGTAAAAACCTACAGGGAACGGTTATCAAAAAGTCACATTTCAGGGGAAAAAAATGCATCATAACTGTTTGAATGTCAATTCAAACAGTTATAATGCTGTTAACTCGACTCAAGTAAGCGACGAGTTACCCTAAATTTAGCTCCTTCTACACAGTTATCGAGGTCAGGTTCATTGAGGTCACACCTAAAGAAAAACAAATTTGTACTTTATAAAAACAAATTTATACTTCAAATAAAAAAAAACAAATCCAATTATTGCGTTGATAATTTGATTATTTAAGGTTAAGGTGAAAATCTTATTTTATTCCTTAGCTTTACGATAGAGGTATTTTAAATCTATTAAGTCTTGAGTACAGTCTTGATATGTAAGTAACAGTCAAGTATAAGCGGAGCACTGACTGCCTGTACTCAGAAGGGCCATAGTAGCAAAGTCGGTGCTGTAGCAACCGTCCTAACACGGCTGTAGCCCTGGGTAACTCTACCAATGGCTGGCACGCACTGCAATAAAACATCGAATTATTCTCATTTCAACTGCAGTAAAATATTAAAAAAGTTTATTTTTCATTTCAACTGCAATAAAATATCGAATACGTTTATTCTCATTTCAACTGCCGTAAAATATTGAAATAATTTATTTTCATTTCAACTGCAGTAAAATATAGAAAAAGTTTATTTTCATTTCAACTGCAGTAAAATATTGAAAAGTGTATTCTCATTTCAACTGCAATGAAATATCGAATACGTTTATTCTCATTTAAACTGCAGTATAATATTGAAAAAGTTTATTTTCGTTTCAATTGCCGTAAAATATTGAAAAGTCTATTTTCATTTCAACTGCAGTAAAATATTTGAAAAGTGTATTCTCATTTCAACTGCAGGAATACATTGAAAAGGTTTATTTTGATTTCAACTGCAGTATAATATCGAAAAAGTTTATTTTCATTTCAAATGCAGTAAAATATTGAAATAATTTATTCTCATTTCAATTGCAGTATAAAATTGAAAAGTTTATTTTGATTTCAACTCCAATAAAATATCGAATACGTTTATTCTCATTTCAAGTGCAGTACGTATAATATTGAAAATTTTATTTTCATTTCAACTGCAGTATAACATTGAAAAAGTTTATTCTCATTTCAACTGCAGTATAATATTGAAAAAGTTTATTTTCATTTCAAATGCAGGATAATATTGAAAATGTTTATTTCATTTCTACTGCTGCAAAATATTGAAAAAGGTTATTTTCATTTCAACTGCAGTAAAATATTGAAAAAGTTTATTTTCATTTCAAATGCAGGATAATATTGAAAAGCTTATTTTGATTTTAACTGCAGTATAATATTGAAAAGTTTATTTTCATATCAACTGCAGTAAAATATTGAAAAGTTTATTTTCATTTCAACTGCAGAAAAATATTGAAAAGTTTATTTTAATTTCAACTGCATTAAATTATTGAAAAAGTTTATTTTCATATCAACTGCAGGAAAGTATTGAAATGTTTATTTTCGTTTCAGCTGCTGTAAAATATTGAAAAAGGTTATTTTCATTTGATATGCAGAAAAATATTGAAAAATTTATTTTCATTTCAACTGCAGTAAAATATGGAAAAAGTTTATTTTCCTTTCAACTGCAGTAAAATATTGAAAAAAGTTTATTAGCATTTCAACTGCAGTAAAATATTGAAAAAGTTTATTTCCATTTCAACTGCAGTACAATATTGAAAAAGTTTATTTTAATTTTAACTTCAGTATAATATTAATTCGGTTTACACTCCCTTCAACCGCAGTAAGATGTCGAATACATTAATTCTGCTTTAATTATATTTAACATATACATTATTCAATATTATTTATTTATACTATATTAAAATTTATTTTATGTCTGGTAAAAATTAACAAGTGTCAAATAAAAGCAGTATGCTATAGAAACTTCAGTTACAGTGAGCACATCGTTCAATATTGCACGGATTATCGACAAAAAACTTTTTTTTAATATGTTTATACAATTGAAAAATAATTATGGCAGGCAAGAACTGACTTCATGCTACAGCCAAAACGTCACAAATAATAATAATAATAATTTATTAATAATAATAATAACTAAATCAAATGAATAAAATAGTGAAATATATAATTCGTAATTGAATTATGAAATTTGAGATTAATTCATTTGAAATAACTTATTAGTAACTTATACAAATTGAATTCAGGAAGTTATCACTTATATCTGTGAAATAGATTATAACATACATGATAAGAGTTTTAAGGCTGCTTATCAGCTCTCAAGATATCGTACGATAAGGAATTTTTCACACTTGGGCAAGTTTGTGAGCGACTTAACGCCATCGCAGTGAAGCGGGCAACCTTCAGCCTAGTGCATCTTCTTCCGATCTCGTCTTTATATGATCATATTATTAAATAAGAAACGAAACATTCAAATATTTAAGGTATATTAAATGAAAATTACGTTATTTCAGCTCTCTCGTTTGGACGTATTTCTTTGCTTTTCAATTTATCTTCATTTTAATTTGATTGGTTGTGGCGTATCATGAAAAAAGCTCAAGCCAGGCGTGTTGTTGCGACGAATATTTTCTAAAAATAAAATGGATAAAAGTTATTTCTTGGATGTTTCATACTCTGTGAAATATGAGAGCATTTGCAAATGATTCTTTCGTATTGGTTTTCACTGGCGTGTATTTCTGCATTTTTCACGCTTAAGGCCTGTCGGTTGAAATAATTAAATGTCTTAAACGCAATGTGAAATACGGTAGACATGCAACAGTCTCCGTCTATTCGGGAATGAATGTGTGAACTTTATTGATCAAGTGATTTGAATGTCTTGTACCTACTCAACATAAGGAATTTATTCTCTAAGTTTACGAATCAGTGAGTAATTTTCGCCGAAAGTTTCAACTCTCAGGGTTTTCCGTATTACTAGGAAAAGCATCTATGTTAGCCACGTCTGTCAATCTAGAGTTCACTAACACACAGTCGCTCGAAAAAGTGAGATCTGATTTCAGCCGTAGGAGTTTGTTGAATGGTGCAGCTATATTTTTTTAATGTTATGAACTAGCAATTACATCTACCAAAAATGTAGTCTGTGATCATTCCTTCAAATAAAAATAATCAAACAGAAACATGCAATACATGAATATCGTCCAAATCTGTATAAAATGAACAAAACTTCAAATTTTTTGTTTGGGACGGCAATTCTCGTTACGAGGACTTCAGATACTAAGAGTGCCGACGAGGGTTAATGCACTCGTAAACACAGAATAGCGGCCATTAGTGAGGACCACACAAGCTATTCCGTAAGTTGTTTGTTTGCTTCGTGCGTGGGTGCGAGATACGCAGTGACTGTGACGTGTTAAGACAAGCAAGTGAAGACGCTATAAAGTTCGAGAGATTCATGCAGTGACTGTATATATTTATGATAATATGTGTATGTATGACAAGCAATGTCATACATGTGTATGTATGACAAGCAATGTCATACTGTGTATAGTATGACAAGCAAGTGAAGACGCTATAACGCTATATAAGAGAAGACGCTATAAAGTTCGAAATATTCATGCAGTGACTGTGACGTGTTAAAACAAGCAAGTGAAGACGCTATAAAGTTCGTTGTGTGAGGTCCCAACCGCTGCACTGCGTCCAAGAACCTTGCCGCCGAACGTTCGAACGGTGAGGCCGTACCGTTCGTATTCCGTTGGTGAGGCCGTACCGTTCGTATTCCGTTGGTGAGGTCGTACCGTTCGTATTCCGTTGGTGAGGTCGTACCGTTCGTATTCCGTTGGTGAGGTCGTACCGTTCGTATACCGTTGGTGAGGTCGTACCGTTCGTATTTCGTTGGTGAGGCCGTACCGTTCGTATTCCGTTGGTGAGGCCGTACCGTTCGTATTCCGTTGGTGAGGTCGTACCGTTCGTATACCGTTGGTGAGGCCGTACCGTTCGTATTCCGTNCATTTATTACGTCATGGAATAAAAGCATTTATTACGGCACGGAATAAAAGCATTTATTATGGCATGGAATAAAAGCATTTATTACGGCATGAATAAAAGCATTTATTACGGCATGGAATAAAAACATTTATTACGGCATGGAATAAAAGCATTTATTACGTCATGGAATAAAAGAATTTATTAAGGCATGGAATAAAAGCATTTGTTACGGCATGGAATAAAAGAATTTATTACGGCATGGAATAAAAGCATTTATTACGGCATGGAATAAAAGAATTTATTACGGCATGGAATAAAAGAATTTATTACGGCATGGAATAAAAGAATTTATTACGGCATAGAATAAAAGCATTTATTACGTCATGGAATAAAAACATTTATTACGGCATGGAAAAAATCAGGCATTATGCTAGCAAGTAAAATTACTAATAAAGATTATGTTTTCGTCAATGCCTCTGCCCTCGATGGACGTTCTTTGTGGCATGCCATAAACCATGGCAATTCCGTGCACTTTAATAGCTGGGTGAATGAGAACGGTTTAAGTTAGACTATTGAGTGCATGAACATCAAGGTTAGGTAAAAATGACGAGGCCGTAGTAATAGTTCTTTAAAAAAACTCATAGCGTAGTCTTGAATAAACAAGGGTTTTTAATATCATAAATTAAGTCAAGTCTTGGAAATTTTTTTACTTTATTGGCACTCTAATTATCTAATTATTTAATCATATAACCAGGACTTTTATCATATAATTTTTCAGCAACTACATCATTTATAGTAAATTTATTTGCAATCTAAAATTATTCATCACACAGTATACGGTATGTGAAACCTCCTGAGGAATTTAAATTAAAGAAAAATGGCTTAGGTTTTATTCATGGAGAACAGCCCAGACCACTTCATCCGCCGTCATGCAAGTAAGTTTTATGCGATGTTTGATCCATAGGATAAATAGATGTTCTAAAATGTCCTTATAATGTAACTACTCTGTCCTTGTGATAAGTTATCATGAGATGTATTAGGTGTCCGGAGCACAATAATTCTGATTTGTTCGAGATCTTTTGAATAAATTTTATATATAAATGAATATTTAAATATTTAACTTTAAAATAAATATTTAAATGTTTAACTTTAAAATAAATATATAAATATTTAACTTTAAAATAAATATTTAACTACTTAACTTTAAAATAAATTTTTAAATACTTGCTATAGCAAAAAATACATTCACAATGCAAAGCTAAGCCAAGAAAATAGTGATTAATGACTTACTAAGTATATCTTGGAAGATGATCTTTTCGTATTATTGATTGACTGGTATTTAATTGTGTGAAATCAATTTTAATTGCTTAAATTTGCGCTTAAATATCAAAATTGAAAGAATTTTTTATGTATGCGAGTTCGTCAGCAGTATTGAGGTCACGAGTTCGTCAGCAGTATTGAGGTCATGAGTTCGTCAGCAGTATTGAGGTCATGAGTTCGTAGTTCGTCAGCAGTATTGAGGTCGCAAGTTCGTCAGCAGTATTGAGGTCATGAGTTCGTCAGCAGTATTGAGGTCATGAGTTCGTCAATGGAGTTTTTTTTTATTTTCTCGAAATAATTCAATTATTTATCCCAGGATAATTAATTATATTTCAATTATTATTAATTATCCCAGAAAGCCTGGCTGCTCGTATTGCTGCTCGCCGCTTGGGGCGCGTCTACAGAACCAAGAAAAATTCAGCAGGAGGAACAACTTCAGGCAACATCAAGAGAAACTTTGTTGCATGAAATACCTGAAGAATTTAGTGATGCTGAAATTGCATTAGAAAAATCAAAAGCGAGAAGTGTTAGTGAAAAATTAAATATAGGTTCCCATGATTTCTTCATGCGGACTTTTGACGAGCATGCCGGATCTGAAAGTGAGAATTATGATGGAAAAACTATTGAAAATTTAGATAAAAGTTTACTGAAACAAAAAATCGATCAAAAAACGGTAGATGAGATTAAGAAAGCTCAAGCCAATCGCCTAGAGCGCGATATAGATGATTCGTCCGAATTAAGTCCATTGGCAGATATGAACGAATTGTTGAATAAAATCCAATCCACCATTAATTTCAACGGAAAAGTCACGATTCCAACCCCACACCAAATTGAAGTACAGAACGAAATAACTGCTTCGTCACAAGCCGATGACTTCACGACGTCTCCGGCATTCCAACGAAGAGAAACCGACGCCGGCAGCGTCAGGGCTGTGAAGACAACTGAAAAGTCAACTTTTACTAGTGACACTCATTCAACAAAGTCAACTCGGTCTAGTGAGTCCCAGTCAACAAAGTCAACTCGCTCTAGTGAGTCCCGGTCAACAAAGTCAACTCGGTCTAGTGACTTACAGCTAGAAGCCACTTCTGTCCCTAAAACCGATGATATCATGTGTAGATTTGGGATTGATTTTGGCCGAAAACTGTCATTTTCGGACGGAACTTTCTCTCGCGCTACGTGCTGCTACTGCTACCTTTTCATCTCAGAGCACCGTAGGCGTTATATGCTCAGAGTAAACCGCGCTGCTCACACCTTCCTCTTCAATGTAAGCAGAATGACATACATTCTTATAAGATTCTCATTACAAATCGGCTTGATTTTCATGGTTTATATCTCTAAAATATCAATCAAAACAAATGAAATAGAAATAATGACTTTCAGAATGACCAGTTCTTATAAGATTCTCATTACAAATCTGCTTGATTTTCATGGTTTGCATCTCTAGATTGTTAATTAAAACACATGAAATAGAAACGATGACTTTCAGAACGAACAGCACTCACATTACAAATGTTTCCTTTTGTCTTTTTGCTTTATGATTATAATATAATTCCATATGTTTAATCCATCGTTCGCCATTTCAGAACAGATCGATGGAACCCTTTGACCCGAGTAACAATGTGACCTGGCCAGCCGTGCGAGCTTCTCTCATAGATGATCTGGAGGCCGACAAACTTGAAAGTTGCTGCGCCGAGGCTGTGAATTGCTGCTCTTTGATTACCCAAGGTTCATAAATTAATTATAAATTATGGCATTTAATTGCAAACTGCTAAGCTGAGAGTGTAGTCTGTTCTACAATTAACCAAACTAAAACAACTTCGAGCAACGGCTTTAGAATTGACGCCAAATTTTGCCGAGTTTAACGTAGATAACAAAATTATTGCGAACTACTCCAAGCAATTATGCAATATCGTAGTCTTTACAATGTTAGCGATTTCAAGTATTTGAAATATGTTTTTTATACTCGTTGAAGGTTGCTCAAAAATCAAACTTTGTTAATGTGTTGTCGTAAATCTTGACCATTGCAAAATTAATGTATGCAATCAGTTGAGGAACTTTGTTCATGTGATGTCGTTGATCTTAAGCATTGTATATAAAATTAATATTTGCATGCAGCTGAGAATGTCGAGGGCTCGTGCCCAGCTACGTGGGACGGCTGGAGCTGCCAGGCCACGGCGGTGCCCTCAGATACCCTCGTGCCCGTGCGCTGCCCCGTGCACGCATACACTGGATACCCGGAGTGCTACCGTGCGTAAACTTAAATCCACGTAGCGGTCTAAATGCACGTAGCGGGCCTAATTATGCGTTTAGTGGCCTAAGTACACGTAGCGGCCTAAGTACACGTAGCGGCCTATGTACACGTAGTGGCCTAAGTACACTTAGCGACCTATGTACCCGTAGCGGCCGATTTCTCGTTTGTGATTGGCGGGTTTAGCTTAAAAAGCCGTCAATGATTGGCTGACGCAGTTCCAAACATATTTTTGATGGTACTGCCCATGCTCCTAAATCCAAAAGAGTTGAGCGTTGAAATATGAAGTTACTAAATACATCAAAACTTAGGGACGAATGTAAACTCTTCATGCTTGCTAACTTGCGTTAATGATCTCAAATTAAAATGCAGATTACCAGTTTTATGTATTATATATTATTTCTATCTTTATATGAAACTAATCGAAAGCGGTAAAATCTGTATGGGATGAAATCTATAGTAAATATGTAGGAGACTTGAATGAATAACGAACTCGTGTACTTTATTCATCTTGGTGAAAAATGATTTTAATTACAAAACATAAGCAAAAAGCGTTAATTTTGATGTTAAAACTCAGGCTTAACTAAATAACTAAATGAAAAACCATTGATCCTACTCTCTAATTCCATAAATTCGTATTGAAAAAAAATTCTTTTATTATTGATAACAAATGTCTTGTGCAAAACGTTGTGAAGATTGGAAAATTATCTTATTGCTTAAAAGATTAATAAATTTTGCGAGAAAGCGCTATCGTAAACATTTAATTCGTTCCAGTTTATGGAGAGAAAAAATGTGAAGGCAATGGATCATGGTTCATGCAAGGGGCGTACGAGTATACAAACTACCAAGGCTGTTCCATGGAGAAGTTCCACTCCATGAACTATTACTGGGAGATCGTCGTGAACGCTATATCGCTGGTGGCCCTATCGCCTGCCCTCTTGGTGCTGCTATGCTACAAGTAAGTCGTTTTTGCTTGCGAACTTTATTTCGGGACTTTTATATAAATATGTAGAGTATTTCGGGGACTTTTGGCTGAATATTTAGAGTATTTCGGGACTTATGGCTGAATATTTCGAGTATTTCGGGGACTTTTGGCTGAATATGTCGAGTATTTCGGGACTTTTAGCTGAATATTTCGAGTATTCCGGGGACTTTTGGCTGAATATGTCGAGTATTTCGGGGACTTTTCGCTGTATATATGTCGAGTATTTCGGGGACTTTTGGCTGAATATGTCGAGTTTTTCGGGGACTTTTGGGTATATATATCGAGTATTTCGGGGACTTATGGCTGAATATGTCAAGTATTTCGGGGACTTTTGGCTGAATATGTCGAGTATTTCGGGGACTTTTGGCTGAATATTTCGAGTATTTCGGGGACTTTTGGCTGAATATGTCGAGTATTTCGGGGACTTTTGGCTGAATATGTCAAGTATTTCGGGACTTTTTAGCGCATGTTTTCATTTATGAAAAAATGCGCTAAAAATGCGCTAAAAAATTTTTTTTCATTTATGAAAAAAATGCTACATTGTGCTCGCCATGTCCGTCTGTCCGTCCGTCTGTTTGTCCATCTGTCTGTCCGTCCGTGATTTCACGTTTTCGTCGACGAGAAAATGCGCTCTCTGTCACTCACTTCCGTGAGTACTGAGTTATATTTTTTCTCATTATTTTGAGTATTTCGTGAACTTTTTATCTGAACATGTCGATTATTCCGGGACTTTTTATTTGATTATGTTGAGTATTTTGGGACTTTTCATCTGATTATGTCGAGTATTTCGAGACTTTTTGTTTGAATATTTCGGAACTTTCGGGACCTTTTATCGAGTTTTTTTTATAAAAGAGCTCGCTTAAGTTCACATATAGCGGGCTATGTGCGCGTAGCGGTCGATTGCTCGTCTGTGATTGGTGAGTTCAATTTAAAAAGATTGATTGATTGTCGTCCATGATTGGCTGACGGAGTTACGAACTCATAAACATTTTTGATAGTACGGCCTCTGATGCAGACGTGCTCATGTCAAGGATTTTTAGCACGCGAATTTTATTTCGGTTCTCCATAGGCTATGCAGTACTAGCATTTTTAGGTTCAATAATATTCATCATAAACATTGAAAACATGTAGCAGGAACATATTCGATGTACGTAAAATTTATATTAAAGTTGGATCAATCCCATTAATTTGTACCCGAGGGGAGGCATTAATTTAGTTTAATAACTAACAAATATCGAAGCAGTAATAACTCGCTTCTCATTCAAGTTTTCCACTCAGATACCGAGCAATTGGGCAATACCAAAAACTACAATGTTATTGTGATCTAAAACTTGCAAAACTAATGTCTACGTAATACTTAAATCAGTAATACGCTAGATAAGTATATGATAAATTATTATTATGTTTTACAGGAAGTTGCACCAACACCGCTTCTATATGGTCTTCAATTTGCTACTGGCGTTATTTCTCCGAAGTTTATTACAAATCCTGGAGCTGGCGATCATCAAAATACCCGAAAATCTCAATGTGAGGACACCGTTTTATTGAATTATTCAATAAATTTATTAAATACTCTGGACTTTGTGCTCACATTTGCATCGTGACACAAACGTGATCTTTAATATATATTCCCATCACATTATACAAAGATATAATTTATCAGACAGGGGCATTTACAGATTATTAATATTATTGTCTGTTAATATTATTATTGTCTCAGCAGAGTCGGTAAATTAAACTAATGACTGACTGTATAATTAACTAAAGCCACCCTTGACTGGAAGTGGCTGCCCTTACTATTCTTTGAGTGATATTCGTTACTACCATTTGAGTGTTATTTAATTTATTGACTTATTTTAGCATATGAGTGAATTTGTATTTAGTATTTGAGTATTTAGTTATTTGAGTGTAATAAATTCCAATTTTCGTGTTCAGATATCAACGATACTGGAAGATAACGCGGCCGGCTGCAAGGTGCTGGTGAGTCTTCGGAAGGCGGCGCTGCTCTCGGTCTGGTCGTGGATGCTGGCCGAGAGTGTCTTCCTCTACCGCCTCATCGCCCGAGCCTTCCAGACTGTCAGGAGTGTCAAGATATACGTTATCTGCGCCTGGGGTACGTGCTGTATCTGGGTACGTGCTGTGTCTGGGTACGTGCTGTGTCTGGGTACGTGCTGTGTCTGGGGTACGTGCTGTGTCTGGGGTTCGTGCTGTGTCTGGGGTACGTGCTGTGTCTGGGGTTCGTGCTGTGTCTGGGTACGTGCTGTGTCTGGGTACGTGCTGTGTCTGGGTACGTGCTGTGTCTGGGGTACGTGCTGTGTCTGGGGTATATACTGTGCCTGGGGTACGTACTGTGCCTTGGTTACGGGCTCTCCTTATATGATTTTGTAAGTTTTATTCTTGTACAAAATTAAAGTAGCAAGTACCCTTTTATTTTATAGGGCGTGACGTAAATACGACCAACTAAAAAATGACGCTTGAACTTGATGTTTATGATTTTATGAGCCCGATGGTTATGTACGGATTATTAGAATTATTAATAGAGATATTATTTATTATTAGAGATGAGCCTCTGGAATTATTATTATTCCAGAGAATTATTCCAGAATTATTATTATTCCAGATTATTATTATTATTCCAATATTATTATTAATAATTCCTCTGGAATTATTATTAGAGATAAGCCTCTGAATGGCATTTCATCTATTGAAACGACTGGGTTACAAGCCGAGAAATTTAAATACACACTACGGAAAAGTTGGTCCCAAAATAACTAGCAACATGGTTAATATTTATTTATTATAATATTTATTTTATTTATTTATTATAATATTTTCTGGACAGGAGGCGCCATTATTTTGACGGCTGTGTGGGCAACTTGCCGGGCGTTGCTGGAAAACTATCAGTGCTGGCTGGGCGACCACAAGGGGGACCCTTATAAACTGCACCTCATCACCGACATCCCGGTGCTGCTCTCCCTTCTAGTGGGTGGAGTCTGCGTTACGATTCCAATTTTATACTAAAAATTGGAATCTAAAAATTGGAATCTTCTATACTAAAAATTTTATACCACGATTCCAATTTTATACCGTTACTAAAAATCAACATTCAAATGAAAGAAATAAAATACAATTATTAATAATACAGTGAAATTTAAAGCCATTTCTATTAAAATTCCATTTGCCACTCTCTTATTCATCGTGGAGTATGATTGAATAAAAATCTTTACTATCCGATGAGCCATTTCTATATGCATGTATCTGCCACCAAGATTAGCAACTGAAATTTCACTCAATGGATGCGTTTGAATGACATTAGACGAGGAGAGAACTACTGTTCGCAGAGTAAATACAAAAATCACATTGCTTCGCAGGATCTGAATATTTATTCGGATGGAAAAATTTATCGATTGTGGCTTCGATAAATTTATCGATAATTTAATCGATAAATTTATCGATTGATTTCTGATGGACCTGGTGTTTAAATGACCTTATTAAAAATAAAGTAATTTTAAATCTATTTGATAAAGCAATAACAGAATGATAAATTTGCTGAGAACGATCTATTAAAATTATTGCTGCGATCATGTCCCAATGAAATAAAAACGCCTATTCAGTTTGTTAATTTATTGTTGTTGATGTGCCATTTACTTGGGATTTATTAGTGATAGAATAGAATTTAGAATATGAGAATTGTAAATTGATAATACATAGTTTTTCGCTTGAAAAACATTTCTTTACAATGCAGGTGAGCGTGGGGCTGTTGGTGCACATGGTTTGCATCCTGCACATGCAACTGAGAGGCCGCCACGACAGCGAACAAGAGGCCAAAAAGTATGAAGTTAGCAAAATTGTTGACATTTGTGAGAATTTGAAGACGCAAAGATTTACTACAGTAAATGAATTTTTTAACGATTTTATATCGAGTATCTTTATTGTGACAGGAAAGTGGCTAAGGCGACGTTGTTCTTGGTGCCAGTTTTCGGCGTTCAGTTCTTACTGACATCCGTGGCACCTACGAACGTATCTTGCGTGGGTCTTCAGGTACAGTACTGTAGGTTTCATATGATAATCTCATTTGATTAAAAATTTTAATTTGTTTTCAATACCTATTAGAGTTTAGTTTTTTTTCAAATTATCTAAAATTGACATTATTTGAGAGATATATATGTATTAAAAATATAACTTTGCGATAAACTTTTAACTTATCATTACATACACTGAACATGGCAATTTTTAATGTTTCCAGTTTCGAAAACGTTTCGATTTGCTTAAAACATTCGCATTGCCAGGCAGGTTAATATTCAAATTTCCTCACTTTTACTTTTGGTATAATTTAGAGCAGAATGATATGCTGAAATATGTTCATGGATTTATCTAACAAAATCTATCGTACTTATGTCAATATTTTATGTTATAGGCATATTTATTTATTGCCTACGCCTTGACTGGGCTACAAGGATTGCTTGCTTCGGTGCTCTACTGCTTCTCCAACAGAGATGTAAGCCCAGATATATAACTATAACTATAACTATAACTATAACTATAACTATAACTATAACTATAACTATAACTATAACTATAACTATAACTATAACTATAACTATAACGATATACTTAAAAATTGATCAAAGCACCTCAGTACCATGATTATAAGTCGGTATTGTTGCCCAAATAATAAACTAATTTAATTGTCAGAAAGAATTCATGCGTTACCTGATACTAACTAAAATAGATCTTAACGACAATTTCGTGATAATGTTCATTCAGTACACACAGTCAGCTTAATAAGAAAATATATATGTGACCATATATATTATGGGACTGGCTATATTATATACTATGATATAGATTATGGGTATAGTACAGGTTCCTGAAAAATTTTGACATTATGAGTATAGTACAGGTGCATAAGAAAATGTTCATTGTATGGGCATAGTACAGGCTCGTAGTAAAATGACAAAATTATGGGTTAAGTTCTGGTTGACTAAGGGTGGTTGACGTTGAATAAGTTAGTATTCAACACACTGAAGCTCTATTTATATGATGGTAAAACAATGGGTGCTCATTAGGTCACACGAAGAAATTGGTCTTGCCCAAAAATCAATTTAGTTATTCTAAATATATGATCAGATAAATCAAGCATTGCGATAGAGATGAAAGGGAAAAGTTTTGTATTATATTTATTCCTGCATTTATCATAATAATGAATGTGGTATAGAATTTCAACGTTTCGACAGCAGGTGCGATATCCTCAACCTGTTGGGACCCATCAGTTAATTGGACGTTTGATGATAGTATTTAGTATTTAGCTCTGCTTAACAAACAAGAGGAAGTATCAATTTTTTTCTGTCACAACAGCTTTCCATTATCCAACAATAATACAAAATTACGTAGCATCGTTTTTTATATCTTCTAATAATTGATTTCAATTAATTACAGGTAAAGCTTCAACTCAGAGGTACGTGGGAACAGCTTCTCTCTACCTGTTGTCCTCGATTTATCCGAGACGGACGCAGACCCGGTGACAGCAGCGTCGCTGAGCCTCAGACCAACTTCAGTACAGTCAACTCCGACACCGACGCGGCAACCGGTGACCGTCCGGCTGACGTCATGGAACTCGAACCTTTGAACAGGAAGCCTTAAGATGTTCAGTACAGTCAAGTACTTACGCTCTATTTTCTTGTCTATCATTGGTGGATTTTGATTGAAAGGCCGTCAAGAATTGGCTGATGAACTTACGATCTCTTAACTTTTTTTGAAAGTATGGGCCCAGGAGATCATGCAGACGTGAAGAACTTAGCACCTTTTGACTTCTATCCACATGCGAAGACGAAGCAGTACCCGAACTCCGGTTATGACGTCTTGGAATAAACCCAGGGCCTATACTTTCAAAAAAGTTAAGAGATTGTAAGTTCATCCGCCAATCATCGACGGCCTTTCAAGCCAAATCCACCAATCATAGACAAGAAAATAGTGCGTAAGGACTTACGTTTACTTAGCGAGTTTTGAAAGTATGGCCCCTGGTCACGGGATGAGGTGACGGAGGAGACTGAAGATCATTAGCCGATTAATTTGAAGTTCAGATCCTTTTAAAGGGAATCCCGAAACCGCAAGCCGCAATACCTCAAAATTGCTGGAGTTGTGCTAGGCAATTTATGTAATTACAATGGAAAGGAGTACTAAAGTTTATATAATGGCACAAAAATTATAGTTTCAAGCCTAGTTTTATTTCATACTATTAATAAACTGTACGAAACCTTAAATTAAATTTTAAAGAAAGCCTTAAAACTATACTATTTACGATAACATTCTAATGATTTCAGTTCATGAAGATTTGTATTTAAAATAAATCACTCTTTTCGAACGGTTCTATAGATGATCACTTCTCAGCCTGTTACTGGCAATCCAACTCCAATTGCTGGTGATTGCTGATATACTCTCGTTCTCGGTAGGGTGCAGTTAATCACAGACAATAATATCAATATATTTATATAGATGATTTATAATATCTATATCTCCCGGCATACGATGATTGATTATTGACTAAATACCTGCTTACTACAAGTAATCCTGCCAACATCAATTTGATTGAGTTTATCCCGAAGTGGCATTTCAAAACTGAGTGCAATGACTTACTGTATTCTAAAAGTAAGATTATCATTTCTTCGGTGATTCAAGGGATTAAAATCACCAAATTAAATGTGTAGGGTATTTATTCAATGCCAAAACTATTTCTTTAATTTATATACTCCATTAACAAATTGAACTGAATTAGAAGGTACAGTAATAAATAATCGATCGACATTGTTGATCAACGTTTCAGTTCTCTCTACTTTTGGTAGATTTGCTACTCGTTTTATCCATACAATGCGTCCGCTGCTGGTTGCAGAATGCTGATGCATTCATATGAAGGGGAAATGTTAATGGGTTTTGCTAATAGTTAATTGCAGAAGTAGGTACTGCTAACAAATAGATAAAACGAGATTAATATGAATAATAATCTTTATTCTCAGAGAAAACATGTGACATGAATGAATGTTGGAAAATAATACTCTAACAACACCTCAGGGACGATGTATTGGAACAATGAAATTTATTTTCCCAATAGACGTACATTAAAGAAAATTTTAATGCAACTAATATTAAAGCAGTTTCAATTACAAAAAAATTGCATTCGGATTTTGCAGACAACAAAAAGTGTGTATTCAGAGTTTTCAGTTCATAAAACTTGGCATTCGGATAATTTTGTGCTTATTTTCTAGCTAATTTCTGCTAAACTAAGCGTATAATATGTGTGTGTAGCTGTAACTGTAACTATAAAGAGTACAATTTAATAGCTAGTTTAACAACCAATGAAATTGCTTAAATTATATAATTTTATTAAATGCTGTTCATCCAAAGAAAATTAATTCTCTATGCCCGAAGCGATAAAAAATAATAGTTCGTGAATCATTATAGTGTGGGGAGTTGGAAGCATATGACCTCTGCTGAAAAAAAAATTCAATTTATGAATCATTAATTTACTGTCGATTAGTGCATTACATTAAAATCAAATATCGGAGCATACACGATGAACAAAATACATATGATATAATAAGATGGAAATATTTAAATATTTATTATATAAATTTACTGCCTGACCTTCAAATTGAGCTTTAACCGCCTCGCTACATAGCGAACGTATCTCGATGTCAACTTGCAGTTGACAAAATTGTAAAAATTTAGGGATGTGACCTCTGCCATGACGCGATTTTAAATTCCGACGAAAAACACTGCCAACTTTTTGCACGGACACTGCAACATTCACATAATTTTCATTATTTACTATAAAACTTGATAAATCTGATGGTTTACAAACATTATGTTGAACTATTAGTGTTCCTATCAATGTCCGTATTGTTGTAATTACAATGCAGTGACAGAATTATAGTGTCTAAATAAGTTGCATCAGTTGCACAACTTTCACGATGCTGTCAAATGATCAACTCCTAAACTGAAGCACATTGTTGGTCGGAAAATAAGATTCAAAAAGATTAATGAATTCCTAGCACAAAGACAGCGGTTTTTGAGCACCTAGCGAAGGTTTTAAAGATGCACGCGATGCTGTCAAGACATTCATTTACATAGCTAACTGTTACATGCTAATAGAATAGAATAGAATAGAATAGAATAGAATGGAATAGAATGGAATAGAATGGAATAGAATGGAATAGAATGGAATAGAATGGAATAGAATGGAATGGAATGGAATGGAAAGGAATGGAATAGAATGGAATAGAATGGAATAGAATGGAATAGAATAGAATAGAATAGAATAGAATAGAATAGAATAGAATAGAATTTAGAATAGAATAGAAGTGTCGGCATTGAAGAAAATAGGCCCATGGCCTGTTGCCGATTCTTGAATTTTTCGTGACTTGATTCACAAGGGATCCGGCAAGGGACATGAACATTCATAGTTGGTTCTGGATGCTTATCGGTTCATAACATAGGTGATCATAATTGATCTGTTACTAGACACTATATTGATAAATGAAGCACGTATTAAAATAGACAATAATTTGAATAGCGGCTTCGTGTAAGGCAGTTTAAATATAAATATTTCCTGTAATTTCTGTACTAGATTTAGCTACCTTTCACATAAGGGAAACAACCCGAGAAAAAATAAATTATCTCCATGGCAAATGCACGTATTTAGATTATTATATTATGCCAGTACAAAATTTTTTAAACCGTGCGTGAAGTTGCTTCATACGTAGAAGATTTGCTTTCATATTTTGATATTCTACTGGTCTTACTGAATAAAAATTAATTTTCTGAATCATTTTGTTCCTATTGTAAAACCTTGTGTTTTTCTTCGGTGCTATATTTAGGTGGCAGATTTTAATTAATTAAGGAGCTTGTCGGTCAGATTGAAAGATCGCGGATGATTGACAGAAACTGCACCTTCATCGCCGACTAAATACGCAAAATTTTCGTACAGCTTTTGAAATGAATGTTATACATAATAATTTTTATCCGTTCCTATCCTAACCTCTCATCTATTTTTTTTTTCGTTCGATATCAAACTTCTGTGTAACCTGCCTTTGAAGTTCGTTTGAAACAGACGCCACGGCAATCGCTTCGTAGAATACTGTAATAACAATAATGATACATAATAATAATAATAATAATAATAATAATAATAATAATAATAATAATAATAATTAAAAATAATAGAAATGAAAATAATAACAGGTCACATTAGGCTCGACAGATATTTCAGGTCGAGGACTAACCGGCTTTTTCTTGATACGTAGAGTTTTCTGGATGATGAAACCAATAGCGGTGTCTCACCTCAGCTCGTTGATATTCAGCGTAGACGTCATAATATGCAAAGAATGTAGAATTACGACAACGTATCGTCTGCTGAATACCAAATGTTGACTTCGTAACTATGGTTGAAAAGTCATCGCCCTGTGCATGCAGATTTGATGCCAATTTCTCAATCAAGTTACCGTTATGTCACTCTAGATAAGTCATATATATCTTATGTTAATCAGAACTAAATTAATAGCCTCTTCATAAACTATACATTAGCTGCTTGAAAATTACCAGTTGAAAGCTAGTCTAGAAGCTACTACATAAATAATATGAATTTTGTTTTGAATTAATACCCGTAAATTTCATCAACAAAAATTGGAGTCTTTCAAGAAACCTCAAACGCTTCGTTAATCGCTTAAGCGGTAACAGATCCCAATATGTTGCTAACGCATAATTCAAGTAATAGGTATTTTTTAGAAGTATAACCCAATTCAAATTCTCCAGTGTATGAACGGCACTCAGGCGAACAGTGTTAAGAACAACAAAAATTTGTTAATGAAAATTTTTACGAATTTACGAATTCAGCCCATATATAATCATTTTCACCTGCATGATATGAAATATTTGTGAGAAAATTAAATATATTGGTTCAAACTTATTTCCGCCTCTTAAGATTTATCAACCTTCATTGTTTTATTGAAAAATTACCTAAAACTTTCATTCCCTTGCACTTCTTGAAAGAGATGATTGAAAAATTAATCATTGCGAGTTAAAATCAATTGAAAATCTATCATTTCTTCCATGTGCAATTTGCAAGCGATAACTGAAACAACTAAAATCTTTCGGGTCAAAAGTTTCTTGAAATTTAAACAATTCTCCCTTGCACAGCACGCAAGTGATAACTTAAAAATTACTCTATTATCGAATTTCAAATTGCTTGAAACATAATAAACTTTACATTGTATCGGATGCAAGTGATAAATGAAAAATTACTAAATTACCAAGTCTCAAACTAATTGAAACATATAAATAAACGAATCATTCAACTCTTATCTCTAAAATTACTGAAAAAATAAAACTCAGTACTCACCGCAGTGAGTGACAGAGATAGCATTTTCTCAAAATCGACGAAAAGGTGAAGTCACAGACAGACGGACGGACGGACGGACATGACGAGCATAATAGTGCAAATTTTCCATAAATGAGAAAATGCGCTAAAAATCACTAAATTATCAAGTCTTAAATTACTTGAAACTGATAAATGAAAGAATCATTAAACTCTTTTCTCTAAAATTACTGAAAAAAATCGAAACTCAGGGCCACTGGAAACCAAATTCCAGCTTCCCCAGAATGTGAACCTAGGAGAGAAGGAGGGGCAGAACAGGTACGGGGGGCAAAGGCAGAGGCTAAGGCGCGTATCCAGCGCCAGTCCAGTAGCCTGGAGTCGTTGGTTTGCAACTCCAGGTCTGCAACGGACGAAGGCGGGAGCAACACGCACTACAGACCTTAGAGAATTTTTAGATTAGAGAATTATTTCGATTAGAGAATTTGGAAGAGAATTATTTTGATTAGAGAATTTTGATTAGAGAATTATTTTGATTAGAGAATTATTTTGATTAGAGAATTTGGATTAGAGAATTTCCGGGTAGTTTTTTCAGTAGCAGGTCTGCAACTCTAAGTTTGCAGTGAATGTGGTGTTAACGATTCACTTTTGAAGCCTGTGCAGTGCTATGTTTATTTCGAAATTTAATAACAACTGGAGCACAAAATTTCCCAGCCAGTTGTTACTTTAAAAATTTCGTTTTCGAGTGAATATTCACTTGTGGTAAACTGTGCAGATATTTTTCAGTGAAGTGTATGGTTGATCAACGGATTTTTTTGAAGCGTATTTACTTGAACATGCTGAACCGTTATTGAAATATAGTTTAATGAGGTATTCATTCAGTGACAATGATAAGTGGTTCAGATCGCGCAGGGTAATAGTGAGACGGCTACATGCTTATATCAACTAAATATTCTGTAATAATATTTGTATTTCATTATATCGCGTTATAAATAAACACTATTCATTGCTTCCTATGTATTTATTGCTAAATTGAAAGAGTTTAGCGTGCAAATTTCCTCATTATATCCAAAGAACAGATAAGCGGAGATAACATAATCATTTAACCTAGGAAGAAGTTAATTAATTTGCAGATTGATACGGCATCTAATACGCTTTTTGAATTATATAAATTATAATTTTGGGGTTATAATTAATTAAAAACATAAAATAAATTATAATTTTATATAATTAAGTAAATTTTTATAATTTATAATTTTATAATTTAATTTAATTTTTAAATAATTAGTATGAGCTTCCGAATTAAACGTGTTAGTGATGAATTTGTGCTCTAGTGAAAAATTCTGATTAAAGACCGATTACTTCATTGCAGATTTTAATACGAAACGATTTTTTTCCTTTATGTTACATAATTCAGCTTCTCTAATATAAATAGTACTTTGACCGCAACTGAAATCACAATTAAGTTATACATTTTTTTATTTCAAAATTTTAATACACCTTGTAGCTTCTCAACTGATTTCCTCGCAAAACATGTGTCGCATTCTGAGGATTGCCGTACTGGTGGTGCTGTTGGTGCTGCCTTTGTGCGCGAGAACCGAGAACCAGGCACACACCAGGTCCAAAAGATCCTTCTTCTTTTGGAATCCTGACGCACCAGTTCTTATAGGTGGGTCCACCTGACAAAAAATCTTGACGCTCCAGTTCTTATAGGTGAGTCCATCAGACAATTTATCCTAATGCACCAGTTCTTATAGGTTAGTACAACTGACAATTTATCCTGACGCACCAGTTCTCATAGGTGAGTCCACCTGATATGTAATCTTGACGCACTAGTTCTTATAGGTGAGTCCACCTGATATGTAATCATGACGCACCAGTTCTTATAGGTCAGTCCACCTGACAAGAAATATTGACGCACCAGTTCTTATAGGTGAGTCCATCTGACAATTTATCCTGATGCACCAGTTCTTATTGGTGAGACCACTTGAAAAGAAATCCTGACGCACCAGTTCTCATAGGTTGGTCCATCTGACAATTTATCCAGATGCACCAGTTCTTATAGGTGAGTCTATACCAGATAAATTATCCTGATGCACCAGTTCTTATAGGTGAGTCCACCTGACAATTTATCCCAATGCACCAGTTCTTATAGGTGAGTCCATCTGACAATTTATCCTAATGCACCAGTTCTTTTAAGTGAATTCACCTGGCAAGAAATCTTGACGCACCAGTTCTCATAAGTGAGTCCATCTGACAAGAAATCTTATCTTGACGCACCTGTTTTCATAGGTGAGACCACGTGACAAGGAATCCTGGTGCACCATTTTTATAGGCGAGTTTTTGACAAGTAATCCTAACGCACCAGTTATTAACGCACCAGTTATTAACGCACCAGTTATTAACGCACCAGTTATTAACGCACCAGTTATTAACGCACCAGTTATTAACGAACCAGTTATTAACGCAACAGTTATTAACGCACCAGTTGTTCGCAGACTTGGCCATTTTTGGCCATCTGGCAACCCTGATTTATGTACCACTACGTGATGGAGAAATAAAATTCGTAGTACGCATATGTACCACTTCGGTGTAAACATGTTAACGAACTTTTTATTCGTCATGTTATTCCAGTATAACCTATCTTTATCATGCACTTGTAGTGTTTTAACGTACTGTAATCCCTCACTTTTTTCCGTACCAGCAGTCTTTGCAGTCTTCATCGTACCTCTGCAGGACTTTAACATGCTTCAGTCTCTCGGTTTACTCTTGTCACGCCAGGTTTCATCATGCACTTGAAGCAGTTAACGTACTTTATTTCTTCAGTTTACAGCTGTTACTGCAGTTTTATTGTCCCTTGTGGGACTTCACATAGGTCCCTCAGTTTACTTCTGTTACGACGATCTTAATCATATCTATATAGGATTTTACCTTGCTTAGGGCCCTCGTTTTACTCCTGTTACGGCGATCTTTATCATACCTTTGTTATATTTTACCATACTTGGGTCCCTCAGTTTACTCTTGTTACGGCGATATTTATCATACTTTCGTAGCATTTTACCACATTTGGTCCCTCAGTTAACTACTGTTACGACGATCTTTATCGCACTTTTATAGGATTACCTTACTTATATAGGGTACGCACACAGTGAAAGCAGGTTTGCCCGCGCGGGCAACCTGCTCCAACCTGCCACAAGAATGAACATAGGATAATAATGTAAGTGTTCACAGTGAAAACCTGTACGAATAGGCTTCTGTATTCTATGGTTTCAGGCGCCAGCCTGAGCAGGTAACCAGCACGCTGGCAACCTGCTTTCACTGTGTGCGTACCCTAAGGTCCCTCAGTTCACCTTTGTTACGGCAGGTTTCATCACCGGGATCCCCATTTCTATCGCCCTGCCCACGCTGGTAGACACCACACCGCGCGCCCTGGGGGAGGCAGCTCCAGACGAGCGGCTGCTGGATTTTGAGTATCCTGAGGACCTCTTCTGGGAGCCTGCCTATGACCACGAGCTGACTAGACTGGAGAGCTACTTTGACACTCTTAAAGTGAGGTTTCAGTAATGATTTTTAGCGGGATTTATGTAAAAAACATTACAGTTTGATTCCCTGATGTTGCAGTATTAAAGAATAGCTATGAAAAATATTATACTTCGCGTGCTTATAGTAATTATGATATGCTAATAAACTTTATGAGCAGATTTTGATTGCGTAACGAAGCAAAACTTTTTTGAACTATTGGTGATTTATTCGCTTGCCTGAAAATTTTATTACTTTTTAACGATATAATGCTACTCGAGTTGATATATATTTTACTCTCATTCAAGTATTTTAGTACGCTTTATTTACACTTCCACAAGCCCATGACTGGAAGAAGGGGGTAAGAGTGACTGACTCAAGAGCAATATCTCTTTTTAGTCTCCATAGATCAGAATATATTATCTCTTGTATATAGGCTGTTCAGTCTCCATAGATCAAAATATATTATATCTTCTATATAGGCCGTTCGGTCTCCATAGATCTGAATATATTATTTTTTTATATAGGCTGTTCCGTCTCCATAGATCAGAATATATTATCTCTTGTATATTGGCTGTTCGGTCTCCATAGTTCTAAATATATTATCTTCTCTATATAGTCTTCAAGTTTTATGTCGGAATTGTGATTTTTTTTTACAAAAATTGTATTTTTTGTTGTAATCTCAGGTGCCAATGGTGGTGTGTCAGGAGCGACTGGTGTGCGAGTTGGCTGCCGAGCCTGATGCCTTCTCTCCATTTTCCACGGTGGTGCTCAGAGAACTCAGGTTAGATTTAATTATTTTATGTATATATAGACAATAATGAAACGATTGTAGACAGTATGGATAAAAAATAGTATGTTTTTTGAATTGGAGTGGGCTGTTATTTCTAAGTACGGGAAATACCGTAAAAATTGGGCTCTAAATTAGGTAAATAGATATTAAATAGATATATTAGGTAAATAGATATATTTTTTTTAATTCGATAACAATAATTCCTAATGCATGATGAGTTAAGATAGTTATTCAGTAAGTCCGCAACAATGTCAACATGCAACAACTTTGTGCGCAATGAATTTTCCAAAGAATTCTAAAAGACTCCATTAACGATTTTATACCAGGAAGCTGAAAATTGAAGCAAAACTTGTTAGTTACACAGTAATACTATTCTACGATGAAACAACGTTTAATCAACGATGATTCAACGAATAACACTTAATTAATTCAACCTTCATTCATCGTCAGATACCCGATGCGAATATATAAAGAGCGTGTCGCGCCAAAGGATTATGTTTGCAGTAAATCATTCCTTCTATTTCAAAATGCACAATATTACTTCTCCATTGCAGTATATTTACCTTAAATATATAAATTTCCGACAGCCAAAGAACCGGCCCAGTTAAGCCGTCCCAAGATTCGTTGTTTTGGCGGCTGATAGCAGCGTCGGCGACAGGATATGCTGCTTTCAGTAAATTACTCCTCTATTTTAAAATGCATAATATTACTTCTCCATTGCAGTATAATTTACCTTAAATATATATTCCTGACAGCCAAAGAGCCGGCCCGGTTAAGCCGTCCCAAGATTCGCTGTTTTGGCGTCTGATAGCGGCGTCGGCGACAGGATATGCTGCTTTCAGTAAATTATATTCCTCTATTTCAAAATGCATAATATTACTTCTCAATTGCATTATATTTACCTTAAATATATATATTTCTGGCAGCCAAGGGGCCGGCCCAGTTAAACCGTCCCAAGATTCGCTCTTTTGGCGGCTGATAGCAGCGTCGGCGACAGGATATGCTGCTTTCAGTAAATTACTCCTCTATTTTAAAATGCATAACATTACTTCTCCATTGCAGTATATTTACATTTAATATATATTTCTGGCAGCCAAGGAGCCGGCCCGGTTAAGCCGTCCCAAGATTCGCTGTTTTGGCGGCTGATCGCAGCGTCGGCGACAGGATATGCTGCTTTCAGTAAATTATTCCTCTATTTTAAAATGCATAACACTACTTCTCCATTGCAGTACAATTTACCTTAAATATATTTATTTTTGGCAGCCAAGGAGCCGGTCCGGTTAAACCGTCCCAAGATTCGCTGTTTTGGCGCCTGATAGCAGCGTCGGCGACAGGATACGCGTACAGCGCGGAAGGATGCGCGGAGCAGTACGGCGCCTGCAGCAGAACTGCGCGCAGTATCCTCAATATGCCCGTGCTTAAAGTGTGGCAGTTCCTTAGCTCACTACTTAACATGAAGTTAACTTAAATGCCTCTAATTGAACTTAATTGTGTAATACATTAAAATTAAAGAGTGGTAGTTCTTAACATGAAATTGACTTAATGCCTCTAATGGAACTTAGTTGTGTATTACATTACAATTAAGGTGTGGCAGTTTCTGAGCTCATTACACAACATGAAATTGACTTAAATGCCTCCAATGGAGCCTAATTGAGTACTACATTAAAATTAAAGTGTGGCAGTTCCTTAGCTCCCTACTTAACATGAAATTAACTTAAATGCCGCTATAATGGAACAAAATTGTGTATTACATTAAAATTAAAAAGTGGCAGTTCCTTAGCTCACTACTTAACATGAAATTGACTTTAGTGCCTCTAATGGAACTTAATTGTGTATAATATTAAAATTAAAGAGTGACAGTTCCTCAGATCGATGGTTAACTTTACACTGATTTTAGTGCATCTCGTAAATATTCACTGTGTATTACATTAAAATGAAACCGTCGCAGTTCTTTAGCTCTTTCCTAAACTTGAAACTGACTTCAATACATTTCTTAGTGTAGTACATCAAAATATTTTGAATTTTTTTAATAATATAATTTTTGTACCTAACTCAAGAGTATCTCATGCAAATTTCATACGTTCATTATCATTCGCATTACTTTTCTGTGTAGATGTTTGCCTTGCGTTCTAGTTCTTCTTAGGTTTGTTTGTTAGAAAAAACCTATTGTTATTTGTACATTTCTTAATGAAAGGATTCTGCGAGAAAGTGTAATCTCGGTCGTTATGTTGTCTTGAATGCAGACATTTTTATTATGAAATAAATAAGTTGTGAACTTGAAATAAGTTGTGAACGCCAGTGATCGAGGACAATTGGAGATGGAAAAATTGATGAAATCGAAGTTTCTGGGCATTATTAGTTATTTTAACGGGGAAATTAACAATACTTTTCACCTTAGCCATAATTGTTGGGATTATAATTCTATGGCAATAATTTTTCATCATATGAAACTTTTGATGAATGAAATTGTAAAACTAAGCTCAAATACATCAAAGATTGATGGCAATCCGTCATGAGCCTGGCATATGCCGACTGATAATTAGTATACTAATACATTATTTATTCAATTGAATATAAATTTACTATTTCATAATCTTAATTAATAAATAAAGATCCTCATGTCAAAATTTATTCGTCATTTTCGTGTTGAAAAGTATCAAACTTTGTATGAATGTTATCTTTAATGTAAATGTTATTCAGACACGTTTTCTCAACGGCAGAAATTGGTGAAAAAAATTTAACTTATTTTATGTTCAGCCATAACGGCTGGATTTTTCACATTGTGCATCAATTTAATTATCAGTGTTAGCCCACTTGAAACAATTGATCTTATTCGTTGTTTTTTTTATTCCACTACAGTAACGGTTCTATTAAACTTATTAAGACTTGGCATATCGTTTTCTGCCTTAACGTTGAATGTTGCACTTCGACTCTGCTTGGTTTGGATTGCATGATGTGCACATTACACGCGGACTGATCCTAGTTTCGTTGTAATTTCTCTGTTAAACGGTCTATAGGAAAATCTCATTCAGTAGAAACCCTTTGAAATTAGTAACAAAAATGACCACGTCGGAATTCGACGTTGTCGCGATTCCGACTCTCAGGTTCATTCAAACGTGAGGTCATTATTTAAGAACGCGGTCCGTACCCGAGCATGCCAACTAGTTCGGCAAGATCAGCTGAATGTTAAATGTAACCACATATATATTATTAAATAAATATTAATAATTTTAAATGTAAATTAATAATAATATTAAATAATATTCATTTAATAATAATATTAAATGAATATTAAATGTAACCACACTTGATTAAATGGCATAATTGTATCGCATCTTTGTGCTGCAACTGCAACACAGCGTCGTTAATGACGGCGGATTGTGTTTTAGGCACGAAAACGGGTCCAGAAATATTAATACCAATTGTTTATATATTGGTATTTTTAAATATTTTCCTCCACCATAGGGACAGTAAATCATAATTAAGAAAAATTTTATTTTAAACGGGACACAGAATTCAGAGTACGCTTCGAAGTTTCAGAACACGTTCAAGAACAGACTAGATAAAGCTATGGAAAAATACATGTTCAGATTTGAAATGCCTAGCACCATATTGAACCCGGTGGAAGTCTAGCTAGTAGCTACTTCAAACTATCGTCAGTCATGAAAAGATCCGATCAAATGATACGAGTTTAGATCTATGAACAAGGCACGAAAAGTAAAAGAATCGGCGACAGGCCACATCAGGCCTACACTTCAGCGCCGACATCACTATGTTATGTTATGTTGTGTTACGTCTGGTGATTCAATGATGAGAGGAGGATCAATTTAGTGGAGAGGATCAATCACCCCTCGCTACTCAATGAGAGGTACAAATTGATTTATTTGTTCTTGAAAGTAAAATAAAAAAGACATCAATTTCATACAGAGCTAGTAATTGTGGATTTTTGGCTGAAAAAAGTTCTACTCATGAAGCTTTTTCGATGAGGCCTAGGATTTGTCTACACTTTATCCAAATGAACTTATGTTTTTATATCAGTTTACGGTAAAAATAATTTTTTATTCTCAAAACAAAGAGAAATATTTGGGGGGCTAAAATATTCCATAAATAAATTCATTTCAACTCATGACTTTTAAGTTTAATTGTATAAATAATTAAGTTTTCCAGGATTAGGATTAAAAATGGCAATAATGACCTAACAAAGGGTTTACTCAAATACAAACCAATTTCATATAGTGTCAATTTTTTTCTACACAGCGTCAGCGACCTGAACGAAAAATTTCACCTGTCGACGTAGTAATTGGATTTTTAGGATCCTAAACTACATTCCAAACTTACAATAATAAAAATAATAAAAATAATATTAATAATGATAATAATAATAATTATAATAATAATAATAATAATAATAATAATAATAATAATAATAGCGGTTTCAGCGTTATTAGGCCGTAGGCCTGTCGCCGATTCTTAACATCGCACACAGAGGGGGACACCTTCAACTCGAATCAGCCTATAATTATTCACTTCAGTTATTCTTTCAAGCAGATATCCCCCAGATAATAACTTTTAACTCGTATATCTATACGTAGAGATGCTCATCGTACCCTACGGAACATCTGATTTCTAGAAGCGATTTTAAATCTACCGTCCGTAAGGCCAGTCTAGTCAAGAAAAGTACACTGTTAGAAAAATTACCGTTAACGGTATTATACCGGCGTTTCAGTGGCCGTTCAGCACGTGAAAGAAACACCGTGTCGCCGTTTTTATTCTAATTTAACACTAGAAATCCGTAAAACATCTGATAAAAACGGCGAAACAGTTTATTTTCACGGGGCCACCGGCCACTAGAACGCCAGTGGGACCGTTTTTTCACCGTTTTTTCTAACAGTGTACAAGAATCGGCGACAGGCCTATCCAGGCCTATTTATTTAATGCCGAAGATACTATACTATACTATACTATTGGACATCATCATAGCTCATCCGAGCCTCGTTCCGATATCCAAGCGAGGTAACCCCGAAAGACATTCACTCGATTTACTCATTAATTATTGTACATGAATGAACCAAAAATTTTCTGATAACATATCCATCTGCTTAGTGTCCGTTTTGACAGCTCTGATTATAGGGATAATTGATAAATATTAATCAAATTGATAAATTTGATTTATATTGATTGATGATAAATTTAGGTCGCGATCGGAGTGCACAGATTTAATCTGTTTGATATTTGGTTATTATCGGCTGGACAACGCATCCTTCGGTGAAACGCTTTTTGGTTATTGATGATGCTCTCGCTCATCTATTTTTATTTTAATTGTAATGTATAGATATTCATCTTATATCTGGGTTCATTCTTCCTTTCAGTAATAATTTTTCACACTGTATTGCCCATAACAGCTTATTATTAAAATGAAAAATCAATAATACCTCTAAGTTATAATATTCATTTAAAGTTTGTTAATTATTATTCATACAATAGCAACAGAGTAGTTAGTGCAGTCAGAGTAGTTAGTGCAGTCAGAGTAGTTAGTGCAGTCAGAGTAGTTAGTGCAGTCAGAGTAGTTAGTGCAGTCAGAGTAGTCAGTGCAGCCAGAGTAGTTAGTGCAGCCAGAGCAGTTAGTGCAGTCAGAGTAGTTAGTGCAGTCAGAGCAGTAATTAAGTGCAGTCAGAGTAGTTAGTGCAGTCAGAGTAGTTAGTGCAGTCAGAGTAGTTAGTGCAGTCAGAGCAGTTAGTGCAGTCAGGGTAGTTAGTGCAGTCAGTGCAGTAATTCAGTCAGAGTAGTTAGTGCATTCAGAGTAGTTAGTGCATTCAGAGTAGTTAGTGCAGTCAGAGTAATCAGAGCTATCAGAGCAGTGGGAGGAGGTGTTCACATCTCTGCAGACGTGTCATCAACTAATCCAGGAGTGTTTTGCGCCTACCCGGCCAGCCCATGCCTTTATAAAAACGATCTCATGAATATAATTCGTCTGGGTCTGCAGTGAACTGGGTTATCTAACGGGCCAGAGTGAACCTGCCTGGGCAGCGGGGGCTAGAGTGCCGGCTACCAAACTTGCAGTGCCGAGACGATGTGAGGCGGAGTAACACGGTTCCTTGTGGGCAGGCTGAAATAATTTACAGCTATAATAAAATAATTTTTAATGAAAATAGTGTTTCGTAGTGTGCAGTGAATGAGTGAGCATCGATTTGCTTAAGGAAATTATTTGGCTTGAAACACATACGGGCTACATTTTTCCCAAAAAAATGGCGTGGTGGTGGTGTTTCTAGTTTCCCAATTGCAATTCTGAAATAAGCATAATGTTAACAAAATTTCTCATTGATGTGACTTACTGTACACGGGAACAAAAATTAAAGGCAGAAAAAAATCAACATAAATCATAGGTTGTTCTCCATTGAAAAGAAAATCTATTTTCTTGATGATAACTGAGAAAACTGCCTTTTTACCATGATATATTACGTCATTATTATACCTAATGATGGTTGCTCCAATCAAGTGTAAATTTAACTGTTTAAATCTTATAATTGATTTAATTGAATTCGAATATAAATTTTGTGACCTGAAAAGGCCACCAATAATGATGACGTATTATCAAAATAATTCCTCCACACTTACCAAGCTAGTTTGAATATCATTTAAAAACAATACAATATGCTATAAATTTCTACCTAAAGTTTTCGTCTTTAAATGGAAGTTTATTTCTTAATATATCATTGAATATTTGCCTGCGACTGATTTAAATTTAATTTGTAGACTAATTTGTTAATATGTCCTGGAGTGTAATGTCCCGAAAAAAATAGTGTTTAGTTTTATCAAAACAAAACGTGCGCGTTCGGCGTCGGCATGCGGTGCGAATCTTGCGAGTCTTCGCAAGAATCTTTCTTAATTATAATGCTCCACGCATCCGTCGATGCCTCCATATGATGGCTAATTCTGAAATTTCTGAAGGAGCTCTCATTTGTTGGGGCAGCAGTATAAAAATTTGTGATGTTATATGAATGATCGACAAAACATGTTGCATGTTTATATTATACACTTTTGCACTGAAACGCTCAGATTAAATGAGCAATCTATATCAAATCAGATAATGATAATATTCAATTCGATCTTACCTTTGTTATGTTTGATCAGTTCGCTGATCATCCCGATTGTTTAAAAAGAATCGGTAATTTGAAAAATGATTTCAACTACTTCATGATACTTCATGCATATCAATTAATGCATTCAATAAAGTGTTTGATATTGTTAAAACTGAATTATGTAACAAAGGAGCTAATTGAGATTGTCTGAGCAAATTGTCTACTCTTCTTAAAAGTTCGCATGTAATCTTGTGGCTGTCTCTCAATCGCCTGTTTATTGAATATGACTACATCAGAATATGTCATACTTTTCGACTTTGCGTTCAATTCATCTATTATATTCATCACTTTACGAGAATCAATGACATTTCTTTCAACTGTTACTGTTGAAAATCTTTATGTAAAGTCGCTTAACCAAGTTATACAGTAAGGCAAGTCGATTCACCGCTTTGGCACTGGGACAGCCCTCTTGTAAATCTTGTGCGGCAAGTTTGATGATTTTGTAATAATTTTCAACGCACGTGCGTCACGCATGACACGCGATTTGCGCCATAGTAAGGATGTGCGAGATGTGAATTTTAATTATAAGTCATAATGTAATGAATAGGTACACTGGAACGAGGACACCGTTACATTGGCCCTCGCCGGTCACTGCTTGCACTCATAAAATATTTGAAGTTAAAGTGCGATCTGTGCTGAATTCTGACCTCTGATAGATTAATTTATATCTTAGGGCGATGGATAATCACTGTTTATACTTTCGATGCCGATTATCAGGTTCCAAAAGGTATGAATAAATATAATAAAAAATGTGAATAAATGACAAACAAAAGGCGTGAATCAATGACCATCAATTGGTATGAAGCTATCTACCAATTACTATCCGCTGACATTCATGATTAGATTAATTACTTACTAGATTACTATCCGCTGACATTCATTACTAGATTAATTAATTACTAGATTACTATCCGCTGACATTCATTACTAGATTAATTAATTACTAGATTACTATCCGCTGACATTCATTACTAGATTAATTACTTACTAGATTTCTATCCGCTGACATTCAGCGGATAGAAAACTCGCCTATCGTGCGCGCTCTAAAGAAGACATTAGTGAGCTTTACTGCGCAGTTTAATTTCGCATGTTTGGACGATAAAATTTATCTCAGTGATCACGCTGCTATCACTCGATAAATCAACTGTCGTGTCGACCAATTAAAACGGCCTGGCTACTAACGATTTTTCATTTTAAAATTACGACAACATTGCATAGCTCTTCATGGCTAACTCTGCATAGTTAATTTTACTTAATTACTTATATTTTACTTACTTTACTCACTTACTTAATTTTACTTACTTACTTAATTTATTTAACCTGCATAATGCATGATCGGGCAGTATATAACGTCCTTCCCAATAAATGTTGAAATAAAGAGACGAACCTTCAATCTTTCAACAGATTAGATGCTTTAAGTGCAAGGCTAGGTCCTGTGCAATAGCTATAATTATGATTTGGAGTTGGAGTGCAGTTTTGTTTTCGTTGACTGTGTTATCTTCAGCGCAGTCTGGAGGTGAAAATGCTGTTCATCATCGGTCAAAACGTTACTTCTTTATCAACCCCGACTCTCCCATCACACTAGGTGAGTAACGCCTTCATCACACTAGGTGAGTAAGGCCTTCATCACACTAGGTGAGTAACACCTTTATCACACTAGGTAAGTAACGCCTTCATCACACTGGGTGAGTAATGCCATCATCACACTAGGCGAGTAATGCCTTCATAACACTAGGTGAGTAACGCCTTCATCGCACTAGGTAAGTAACGTCTTCATCACACTAGGTGAGTAATGCCTTCATCACACTAGACGAGTAACGCCTTCATCACACTAGACGAGTAACGCCTTCATCACACTAGACGAGTAACGCCTTCATCACACTAGACGAGTAACGCCTTCATCACACTAGGTGAGTAATGCCATCATCACACTAGGTGAGTAACGTCCTCATCACACTAGGTGAGTAACGCCTTCATCACACTAGGTGAGTAATACCTTCATCACAATAGGTGAGTAATGCATTCATCACACTAGGTGAGTAACGCCTTAATCACACTAGGTGTGTACCGCCTCCATCACACTAGGTGAGTAACGCCTTCATCACACTAGGTGTGTACCGCCTCCATCACACTAGGTGAGTAACGTGCCTTCATCGCACTAGGTGAGTAATGCCTTCATCACACTAGGTGAGTAACGCCTTCATCACACTAGGTGAGTAACGCCTACATCACACTAGGTGAGGAACGCCTACATCACACTGGTTGAGTAATGCCTTCATCACACTAGACTAGTAATGCCTTCTTAATACTAGGGGCCCAAATATGAAAGTTTTAATAGACGTACATTTAACCCAACCGTAATTCGTCAAAATTAAAGTTTTATTTGTTTTAAAGTATAATTTCCACAGGTGAAAAAATTGTGTAAAATCATAATTGAAAAGATATCCAAGTAATCTTCATATTTTTATGTAAATTTTATCACAGTTTGATCTAGAATTATTTCATAGTAATTCACTCGCAGTTGTAATTCATATGAATTCATCTGAATTTGCCAGCTAGAACTATTTCAGCAATTCATCCGCAGTTGTAATTCATATGAATTCATGAATTCATCTGAAATTTGCCAGCTAGAATTATTTCAGCAATTCATCCGCGATTAGTAATTCATATGAATTCATCTGAAATTTGCCAGCTAGAATTATTTCAGCAATAATTCACCCGCAGTTGTAATTCATATGAATTCATCTGAAATTTTCCAAGCAATTCACACACTTCAACATTGGGCAGGTTTCCTGTTGAACATGCCCATTTCCCTGGCCCTGCCCACCCTAGTGGACACCACCCCGCGGTCGCTGGACGAATACGACTCAGAAGAACGCCTGCCGGGCTTCGAGTATCCTGAGGACCTTTACTTTGAGCCTTCCTATGAACAGGAACTCGGGAGGCTACAAGTTTACTTCACTTACCTTAAAGTTTGTATACAGTCATCGCAATAGCTTGGCTTTTTTTTCTTAATTTATTTATAATTTAATTTAATTTGTATTCAGTCATCGCAATAGCTCGGTTTCGTCATGGTAATCGTTTTCGATAGGTTTTTTAATTTTCTTCTGATTTAAATCTTATATCCCACAGCGAGTCACCTTTCAATTGTTCATAATTTGCTGACTATTAGTCTTGTAATTAATTGGAAGAGGTTTGAACAGTTTTGTGGCATACCAATGCTCAGTTTCAGTTGAAGTGGCCGACAAGGACGGCGAATTTTCCTATATAATTATACTACATTTAATACATTGCAGGGCTCGAGTTTATTAGCCCAGCAATACATTAAAATGATTACCATGCGATTAGAGGGTTATCAAAACAAGTAAAGTAGCAGCTTTTATTAGTATAAGTATTAGTAGTAAAGTAACAGTTTTTGAAGTCGAAAAAGTAACAGTTTTACCATGTTTTTAAGTAGCAGTTTTACCACTAAATTAACAGTTTTATCATCGAGACGCGCACTCAACAACAAATCTAAAACAATGATCTCAAAAAACTATTCTGTATCACGATGGCTTTGGTTCCCACACCGAAATTTACTCATTCCATTTCAGGTGCCGATGGTGGTGTGTCAGGAGAGGCTGGTGTGCGAGGTTGCGGCCGAGCCTGACGCCTTCTCTCCTCTCTCAACTCTTCTCTTGAAGGAACTAAGGTATATATTCATTCATATTCATATATTGATATATGCATTTATTCATATATTCATATATTCATATATTCATATATTCATATATTCATATATTCATATATTCATTCATATTCATATATTTATATGTCCGCGGTCGCTGGAGGAATACGACACAGAAGAACGCCTGCCGGGCTTTGAGTATCCTGAGGACCTTTACTCATTTTATTGCATATATAAATATATATTATTATATTTATATATGCATATATTCATATATTCATGTATACATATATTCATATATTCATTCAATCATTCATAGTTTAGAAGTAAAAATCACATATTTTATATTAGAATTTCTTTCATTTTTGATCCAGTTATCAGAGACAATTTTAGATCACATTACTAAATCGTGAGGCAAGAGAAAAATTTTTTAGGCCTAATTTGTCTAAGCCTCAAAAGTAGCCGGTGTTGAGGACGGGTAAAAATGCATTAACCTTGCAACATTAGGAATTATTACCATAGATATTTAATATTTGCTATATCACGAATATTTTTCTCTAAATTCATATCATATAATTTTTGTTATATCTCAAGTCTCTTTCTTTAAATTCATATCATATAATCTTTCTCAAATCTCAAATCTTTGTCCTTAAATTCATACATATAATATTTGTTGCATCACGAATCTGTTTCTCTAAATTTATATCATAATTATAATCTTTGTTGTATCACGAATCTTTTTCTCTAAATTTATATCATAATTATAATCTTTGTTGTATCACGAATCTTTTTCTCTAAATTCATATCATATAATCTTTGTTGTATCACGAATCTTTTTCTCTAAATTTATATCAAAAAATCTTTGTTGCATCACGAATCTTTTTCTCTAAATTCATATCATATAATCTTTGATATATCTAAAATCTTTGTCCATAGATTCATATCATATAATCTATGTTGTCTCAAGAATCTCTTTCTCTAAATTCTAATCATATAATCTTTGTTGTATCACGGATCTTTTTCTCTAAATTTATATCAAAAAATCTTTGTTGTATCTCAAATCTTTTCCTCTAAATTAATATCATAAACTATTCAAAAGAGTTTTTCTTAATCATCTCATTTCCGCGCAGACAAACGCACGGCCCCGTAAAGCCGTCGCACGAGTCGCTGCTGTGGCGGTTCATGGCCGCGTCAGCTACGGGGTATGCTTACGGCGCCGAGGCCTGCGTTGAATATTACGGGGAATGCGAGATGCCCGCGCGACACTTTATCAACATGCCTGTTTTGAAAGTGTGGCAGTACATATCTAATATGTTGAACGTTAAATTACTTTGAAATATAGTTTTTATATTGTATATTACGGGGAATGCGAGATGCCCGCGCGGCACTTTATCAACATGCCTGTCTTGAAAGTGTGGCAGTACATATCTAATATGCTAAACGTTAAATTACTTTGAAATATAGTTTTTATATTGAATATTACGGGGAATGCGAGATGGCACTTCATCAACATGCCTGTCTTGAAAGTGTGGCAGTACATATCTAATATGCTGAACGTTAAATTACTTTAAAAATAGTTTTTATATTGAATATTACGGAGAATGCGAGATGCCTGCGCGACACTTTATCAACATGCCTGTCTTGAAAGTGTGGCAGTACATATCTAATATGCTAAACGTTAAATTACTTTGAAATATAGTTTTTATGTTGTATATTACGGGGAATGCGAGATGCCCGCGCGACACTTTATCAACATGCCTGTTTTGAAAGTGTGGCAGTACATATCTAACATGCTAAACGTTAAATTACTTTAAAAATAGTTTTATATTGTATATTACGGGGAATGCGAGATGCCCGCGCGACACTTTATCAAAATGCCTGTTTTGAAAGTGTGGCAGTACATATCTAATATGCTAAACGTTAAATTACTTTGAAATATAGCTTTATATTGTATCTTTCAGAGCTTTTTGTATCCACAACATGCCTGTTTGAAAGTGTGGCAGTACATATCTAACATGCTAAACGTTAAATTACTTTGAAATATAGCTTTATATTGTATCTTTCAGAGCTTATTGTATCCACAACATGCCTCTCTTGAAAGTGTGGCAGTACATATCTAACATGCTAAACGTTAAATTACTTTGAAATATAGTTTTTATATTGTATATTACTGAGAATGCGAGATGGCACTTCATCAACATGCCTGTCTTGAAAGTGTGGCAGTACATATCTAATATGCTGAACGTTAAATTACTTTGAAATCTAGTTTTTATATTGTATATTACGGGGAATGCGAGATGGCACTTCATCAACATGCCTGTCTTGAAAGTGTGGCAGTACATATCTAATATGCTAAACGTTAAATTACTTTGAAATATAGTTTTTATATTGTATATTACGGGGAATGCGAGATGCCCGCGCGGCACTTCATCAACATGCCTTTTTTGAAAGTGTGGCAGTACATATCTAATATGCTGAACGTTAAATTACTTTGAAAAATTGTTTTATATTGTATCTTTCAGAGCTTAATGTATCCGCAACATGCCTGTTTTGAAAGTGTGGCAGTACATATCTAATAACTATTTTCAAAGTAATTTAACGTTTAGCATATCTAATATGCTAAACGTTAAATTACTTTGAAATATAGTTTTTATATTGTATCTTTCAGAGCTTATTGTATCCTGGGCATTGTATAAGATGGAACTGTTTCCATGTAAAACTTTTTTGTGAAAGTTCGAGTAAAAAATGTTTTAATTGTTAACTGATAACGTAGAATTGTTTTCTCACTAATGCATCTATTAGAATTGACGAGTTGCTAGATGAATAGATCTATTCTTTAGATGAACAATAAAATAGCTGATTGACTGATGCATCAGTGTCATCAGTCTCGAAAATATCCTACGCCCCAATCACGTGCAATTTTTTATAGTGAATAAGTTTACGGAGATGAGAAGTTGTTAATTCATGTATATAATTCTTTATTTAATTATTGTTTTTCGAAATAGGCTATATGTTGCTCAGAAACAATGGCGCCAATGTTTAGGGAGTGCCTAAGTTCTGGAAATATATTTTGAACAGTTTTTTTTAAACAATTAATTAAAAATTAATGGTTTCTATCAAAATAAATTAACGTTCAAATGTTCTGCAGAACTCATCGTTATTTCCTAAGGCCGAATTTGCAGACCTGCGAATTCAGCTTTAAACTGAATGCTGCTGAAATCACCTTTCATTTTATGAAATATTTCAAGACAAAGCAATGTTTTATTTTGCTGCAATGGAAATTATGATGAAGGCATTAACATCACAAAAAAATAATAAAATCAACAAAATAATAATTTAACATTTGTTGACGAATGCTACAATTGTTGTGATTTAGAATCCAAATGCTTCGTTATAGAGAAAAATCATGCCTTAAATTTGATTAAACTGAAGCGATTCCGTACACACTAAGTTATTCTGCATACTTTAGTCATGGTTAGTGTATGAACACTCTGATCGAGTCAAGCTGCATACATCGTATTCAAGTAATGGGTCATCGCTTTCAGTGCAATGTCGTTTTTGGATCAGATTAAATGTATTAATCAGACAAAATGTAACCGTTCCTTAAAAGCGATTAAATGTATTATTGGTTTATTGATGAATGTAACAAAGGAATACCGAAAGCTGTCGTTTATACAATGTGATGCATGAGAATCCTGGATGAAGCCCAATTTTTCTCGCACATTCAATACTATTTATTGGTTTATGATGCCCAATAAGGTTAAATAAGGCAGCTTGCGTCAAATTCATTTCCTTGATACGTTATGTTGATATAGGCTGCGGTATACACCATTAATGTACAGACTTTTATAAATGATTGAATAATTGTTATTCATCCTTGAATCATCCTTGTTATATTTAAATGAAAATTACATTTCCTAGCTTAAAATACTTTTTTCAAACTTTTGAGCGGCAGATGTGCAGTTGGTTATGCACTTCATTGCTAGGCCGCTAATTTGTTAATTTGGGCTCTGAAATATGAGTAATCTAACCTACATAGCAATATTAATAAATGACAATCTTCTCAGAACTAACTAATATTTTTGGCAAACATGATCGTGTGTTTATTAAATTTTGTATAGTCTAAAGAACATTCTTAAAATTTTCCGGTTTCGGTAAAGGACTTTTGATTCTGCTCGTTGTCAACTATTAATCTTCATCTATCTTTCATATTAATTGAACTATACGTAGGAAAATTTTTTACATTGAAGAAAAAGATATGTTATTTATTTTACGTAGGAAAATGTTTTCCAATGATGAAAAAGATAATATGTAAACCATTTTGTCTATTGTTCATGAGGTCGAGATAAATAACTGTGTAGTTACCAGCAATGCGAACTAAGATAAATAAGAGTAGGAGGATTGAAAGTTGTATTACTTTCCTTTCGTTTTCACAAACCAACACTTATAGCTGTGAACAAATTATTTATTTATTATATTTATAGAGTATTTAGAGGACGTGGTCCGCGGGATCGCTTCTATGGGACATAGATATTTATTTATTCATCTTCAACTCTTGAGGAATTAGGGATAGTTTTTAATTTTTGAAATAAAAATTTTTCCCTCGGAATAACGCTTATATTGAAACAATCGATTCGAGACGAAATTATCTGAAGATTTTCCATACTTCGTTGTTTATAATATGTTAAGAAGCTATTATCGACCTTTTGAATCGGTTGGAATATATGAGGGGAGGGAATTGATACAGTATAAATAGATTAACTATATTCAAATAAAACGTTTACACGACTCAGTAATCTATAGTACGGAAGTCGATATTTCTTCCAAAAATGCATACGATTAATACACTTTAAAGGTTTTAGCGATGTTTAATGTACTGTTTGTAGCCTGAACTTGATTGAATTTGACTATAATTGGCATTAGCAAACCAGTATTGTATTACGAGTAGAAGTTTTGTGCTGCATTCAGGACTTTTATTAAAAAATGCACCGTATCAACTGAAAAAAATAATTAGATGATTTGCTCGAGTTCATAAGTAAATTGATTCATTATTTACAAATCGATTGTTGCATGCGAAATACAATGAAATAAGCCCCTGTTGCACCACACTGAAATTAACAAGTATTTGTCGGGAAAATTGAAAACATATTTTTTTTGGTGCCGTTATTACCATATTTGATTCATTAAATTGAAACGCACTCTCCGAATTTAAGTTCATGACAAAGTAGAAACATTTTTGTCCTTTAGGTAATAATCACTGACTATGTATACATTCTCGGAACTATGGAACTCAACTAAAAGCTGAACAATTTTTTCAGTGGCGACTAAACAAAGAACTGCCATTATCAAATGCGCAGAACTAGCAGTAATTAGGCAAAGTAGTTATTTTCACCTGAATTGATAACCTTTTCCTCTCTAAAAAATAGCCACCACAAACAAGTGGTCGATTCTTGGTTCTCTACAAGTGGTGGATGTGAAAAGGTTCTTCCGATAATTTCGTGGGTATAGACTATGGTACAGTTTAATATATTATAATAGATTTAATATTGACAAAATAATTCGACGCTAAACCTAGTAACAGTAAAAAAATTGTTCTAAATTCTATAATAGTAAAAAAATATAACTCAGTACTCACTGCAGTGAGTGACAGAGAGCGCATTTTCTCGTCGACGAAAACTTGAGGTCACGGACAGACGGACGGACAGACAGACTTACGGACGGACATGGCGAGCACAATAGTGCATTTTTTCCATAAATGAGAAAATGCGCTAAAAACGTTCTAAAATGCCAATTCACAAAACAGTTCAAAATTTTAACGATGAATTTTATAACAAATAAAAAAAGGGTTTTTCACAGCCATGTGCTCTTCGTGCTTCGAATTTTCATTCTTTCATTGTAAAAAAGTAATCGGATCCACGAAAACACTTCACGGATATCTAAAACGATATCCCTTGTAAAGGGATAGCGTTTAAAGGGATAGCGTGTAAGGGATAGCGTGTAAAGGGATAGCGTTAAGCACTTGTAAAACGCTATCAAAGTGCTTGACCTCTGTCCGATTGCATCAATACAATTGTACTTAAGCTCGCTTCGGTCTTAACGTTCTAAAATTAAGCTGTCTGACAAGGGTGAGAGACGCCATTCAAAGTAGCCTAGATTTGAACGTACATTAGATGCAAAGTGCTGGAACACTTTTAAGGGTTAAAGGGGTTATAAAAAGTAGCTTAATTTGAGCATAGAAGCGAAGTGCTGGAGCACTCTCAAGGGTTAAATGGGTTATTCAGAGTAGCTTAATTTTGAACATAGAAGCGAAGTGCTAAAAATATCAAGGTCAAAGCGGTCGTTCAAAGTAACTTAATTTTAAGCATAGCAGCGAAGTGCTGAAAAATATCAAGGTCAAAGAGGTCGTTCAGAGTAACTTAATTTTAAGCATAGCAGCGAAGTGCTGAAAAATATCAAGGTCAAAGAGGTCGTTCAAAGTAACTTAATTTTAAGCATAGCAGCGTAATACTGGTACAATTTCAAGACAACCATGTTGAGGCGTTGCCGCGCGGACATCTCGCATTTCCCGTAATGTTTGACGCAAGTCTCGGTGCCGTAGACGTGACCGCGGGCAGTGGCCGCTACGTACCTCCACATCAACGACTCGTGCGACGGTTTGACGAGGCCGTGGGTTTGTCTGCGGGCACATGAAATGCTTTAGAGTAACTTGATTTAACCAGATCAGCCGCTATGCTTTTTTTCATTTTTTTCTTTTTTTCTCTTCTTCTTCCTGCCACACATTTCCTACTACACACAGCAATCCCCCAATTGTGGCCTTTTCCTGTGTGTATCATTAGTGTTTAAAGCAATCTTACATTAGTTTTACCTAGCCAAAAAACCCTAACCTAACGTAACCTAACCGATGAATGAATCTTTAGTAAAATTTAATGGTCAAATTACGATTGAAATAACTGCCGGGCTCTCCAATGGGCGTTATTGCTAGAATTATCAAGCTGGTATATTGCAGCCTATACAGACTACAATTAAATTTACAGACACGTAAGAAATTAATATAATAATCATATAATTATTCATTTTCAATTGCATGAGATGATTTAAGATTGTGATCAGAAATTGGATATCATCCTGGATAAAAGCTGTTAAAGATTTCTTGCATAATACACGAAATTTTTCATGTTCAAATCGCTACTAACCTGAGTTCCTTCAGTACAAGCACAGAGAGAGGAGAATAGGTCTCAGGCTCGGCCGCCATTTCACAGACTATCCTCTCTTGACACTCCACCATCGGCAACTGCAGCCGATGAATTAAAAAATTAAAATTATTAAAAGCTTAAAATTAAAAAAAATTAAAATTAAAATTAGCTTAAAATTTGAAGAACCAAAAGCACTCTTGCTTGGTGGCCGATTTCTGTTGGATGCTCAAGCATGCATTACATTTCGAAGACAAAATTCGACAGGTCTTCTGAAAAACGCACTTTTGACTGTTTTGAATTTTATAGATTGTTTAATTGCATCGTTGATTGATTTTTTCAATCCGTTCTCTATATTTATCCTGTTTATTTATCATAGGCTGATGAACTACTGACATATAAGTATATATTCCATGTTTGTACGTAAAAATAGCCCGGCTATCTATAGTTTTATTACAGAACTCAGAAATCGACGAAGACATCTAACTACATAATTGCTCGAGATGAAAAATGTTAATATGTGTTACCTCTAAACCCATTCAATTCGACCAGATCGCCTTATCTATATAATATAAGCATCTGATTCAAAAGTCATTTGCAAACTCCATAAAAAAAGATTCGTTCAATAATATAATTGATTGATATTGATAATAAAGCCTTGAGCAATTGAACATCATTCATGTAAGACCTAGAGCATTGGTCCTGTAGATCACTATTCATACGAAAGTGCTTCAAGCCGATGGAAGTACTACTCTATCCATAAGGTATACCGACCGGTATACTACTGATCTATAAAGTAATACTAACCTTAAGATATGCGAAGAATCCTAGAAGTCTTCCAAGCTCCTGTTCGTACGCTGGCTCAAACGAAAGATCTTCGGGATACTCGAAACCTGGCATCCGCTCTTCTGTGTCGTAGTCCAGCGATCGCGGGGTGGTATCAATGAAGTTGGGCAAGGCAACCGCAATAGCAACGTTGAGGAGGAAACCTGCCCCAGATTGTGGCGTATGAATCGTGGTGAAATTGTTAGCGATAAATAATAGGTTATTTCCAGTGTTACAATATGAATTCCCTGAGTAAGATGAAAATGAATCGCGGTGAAATTGTTCGCGATAAATAATAGATTATTTCCAGTGTTACAATATGAATTCCCTGAGTAAGTTGAAAATGAATCGCGATGAAATTGTTCACGATAAATATTAGGTCATTTCCAATGTTACAATATGAATTCCCTGAGAAAGTTAAAAATGAATCGCGGTGAAATTGTTCACTATAAATAATAGGTTATTTCCAGTGTTACAATATGAATTCCCTTAGTAAGATGAAAATGAATCGCGGTGAAATTGTTCGCGATAAATAATAGATTATTTCCAGTGTTACAATATGAATTCCCTGCGTAGGCTGAGGAAGATGAGAAATGCATTTATAGCTAATGTAGTGATGCAATTCAGAAAACATGACATACCTATATATGTTACACGATGAACTTGTTAAACAAAGATGACGTTACTTACCTAAAGCAATAATGGCGTTACTCACCTAATACCATGATACTATACCCACCTAGTACCATGAGGAAGTTTCTTACCAAGTGTGACGGGGGAGTCCTTGTTGATGTAGATGTAACGTTTCGACCTGTGGTCTGTGTGGTTTTCAGCTCCAGAAAAGGCTGAAAATAATACTACCATCATCGAAAATCCTCCATTCCAATTCCTAGCCATACTGTTTAATACTTGTTTTCTAAATCTGATTTAAATAAAAGAATTTCGATGGACTCCTGTTAGAAATACAATAACCAAACCAGTTACCCTAGAACGCAAGTTGTGAACACAGAATTTCCATCAAAACTTTATTTCGGATAAGCTCATCAGTTCATACTTCATCAAAATTTATAACGCATTTGAAATTTGTTATGCAGCGCAACCTATAACGCCCTTGTATAGTCAAGAATCAAAACTTACAGTTCACGGCCGAGTGGAATCGGGCTTCGAAAAAAAATTGCCCTGTTAAATGAATTCAACTTCAAACTTGAGAATAATGGATTGAAGTAAACGGTCGAAATTAAATTGTGCCCCTGTATATCGCTTGACAGTTAATATTTAAACTATCGTTATTGCTATAGGTGAATCAACTAAGAAGATTTGTGAGCATAATCCAAGTTCAGTCAAAACCATTTTTTTGTGTCGAAATTGGGAAAAACACACCATTTAAGCGATTCGAACGCATCAGTGTGTAAAAAATTGGACAAACATTGCATGTTTGGTGGGCAGGGTGGCCCAGTGGTTACAGTTCAGAGTGCCAAGATTAGCGCAGAGAGGCGCGGGTTCGATCCCAGCTCTGTGCGCCAGTTTCTGGTCAGAATCGGCGAGGAGGCCGGGCGGTTAAGCACAGCAGAATTGTAGCAGTGAGTTGCGAGTTCGAGACCGCAAAATGCTGCGAATGTTCTGCGATGTTAAGAATCGGCGACAGACCTACGGCCTACTAAACGCTGAAACCGCTATTATTATTATTATTATTAGTATTATGTCTGTATTCCGCGACGCTGTTTTCTTAGCACCAATATTAATTTGTCCTTCTCTGTTGAAAAAAGAATTACCATTCGTTTAGAAGGAAAACGATGCAGCGTGCTTGCCAGTTGCGCATATGTTCCATTATATAGTTGCTGGCACCATCGTGCACACGTATTGACCGCATATATGTAAGTCTATTATCATATATGTTAACTACGGAATTTATTTAACGCTCGCATTTCAATTCCGTATTTCACACAGAATTAAAAAGAAAACAATTTGATCAAACATACAAAGAAAATAACATGCTGCAGACTAGTATCGCTTAATTACTACTCGAGTAAGTGATAACTTTGCGTTACATCACTGAAAAATCACGATGATCCAATAGTAAAATATGTTGCCGGTGTCTACTTGTTTTTCAAGATAATCTATTTCCTCAGTTACCGGCACCATAAGCACAGCGATACACATTCGTTTATTGCATATCAGCAACACTGTATTTTATGTAAAATTAATAGAATGCTTTTATGATGGCTGTGGTTTAGTTCAGCCTGCTCACATGGTGCCATGTTACTCCGCTTCACAGTGTATTGACACTGCAAGTTTCGGTGCCGATACTCCAGGCCCCGCAGCCTGAGGCCTGGGGTAAGTTCGCTGGGCCCCGTTAGATAACCCAGCTCGCTGCCGCCCTGAACCATCCATTTCATGAGGCCTTTTTTTATAAAGGCATTTGGCGGCCTGATTTGGCCGCATAATGCCCTGTAAAAGGCTGGCAGTATGTTTGCTAATAAGTTTCAATAATACTATTGCAATATTGAGAGTCGACTTAGATAAATCGTTGGTATGATATCTGTTTTCTATATACAACGAACTACGAATACTCCTTAAGAAGAGTGCTTAAGTATTAGAGGAAAGATTTTACGAGTATGTCGATGAAGAAATACTGCCTCAAATTAATTATATTGTCACGATTACTGTAGGTACTTTCGAATTCAGACATTTCAAATCATGCACTTGTTTGATCAATTTGGTATAAAGATGACAGTTAGAGAAAAAGGGCGTTTCAGCTAAATGGTGATATGCATAAAATGCAAATATAAATTGATTCAAGTAATAATATGATATTAGATTATTAATCGCAGGTAAATGGAGCTCTCGCATACAAAAATTATGGTTCATTTGCATTTTTGCTATTTGATATCATACAGCAGAATGAGCGTCTGAAGACAGCCGTATCGTGACAAAGATCAAGCTGAATAAAAGGCTGATATTCCTTATGATTCACGTACTTATGCTCTGATTGTATTTCTCAAATGCATTTGATCTATGATCTGATGATTAAAAACGGATTTGAAATACTGAATAATTTTACTGTAGTTGCAACCACGCGTTTTGCAAAACGCGTAAAAAGTGCGTCGCGTAATGTGCAAATAGAATGCTGTAAATAGTGTAAAAGTGTAAATAGGATGCTAATTGAATACTAATATTGAATATTATAGGGGTCATGCGGTGGTATATATGAATATTGCAAAAGAGATGAGAAAAAGAATAATCACAATCAATTCGACGATCCGCCTTGGCTAAAGCTTCTAGCTAATAATTACTTCAATGTAAATTATGTTTTATCAGTCCTTCTAATAGCGTATGCAAGATCGCTTTCATTCAAACACGAACCTAACCCTACCAGTAGCCAGCGTAGAGTTTAAACCCTTGCCAACATACCACACTATGAAAAGATAATGGGTTTAGTTGTCTAAATAGTGACATTCTTTTCCTGCACGTAGCACTGAAACGCCTTCTTTTCTAGCATCTCTTAGCAGAATATCTCACACAAGATCCAAAAGTGCATCGCTAATTTGACAGAATCTCCCTGATTTCTCCGAGTGCATCAGCTTTTCCATGGGGTATTCAGTGCCCTACTCAGGCAGTCCATGCCTTCAGAAAAAAGACCGACCTAATGAAATAATTTGTTCGAGGTAGAAGTGAACCGGGTTGTATAACGGTGCTAAGTAAACTTTTTTTGGGCTGCGGAGACCCGGAGTGGCGGCTTCTAAACTTGCAGTGCCGCGACGCTGTGAGACCGAGTAACACAGAACCTTGTGAGCAGGCTGAGCTAAACGGCAGATATAATGAAAAAGTTATTTCTATTGTATTAATTTTGAATGAAAAAACATTATTAAATGAAGTACAGTGTTAAATGATCAGAATTATGCTTTTGGAGCTCATAGCTGAGAAAGTTGTGTGGCTTGAACAAAATACTGGTTACCGAAGTTTTTTATTAATTTGCGGTGTTTCTGTAATGATGTATCAAAAGGCTATACAATTCAGTGGTCAGTAATTAGTAGATACGAGTCTGCAACGTGATATTTTCTCTGTATGTTTTATCTTATTATTTATTTAGGTTTAGAGTAGATTTTGAAACCGGGAGAATGTTGTTCACTTAATTCCGTACATGAAATAGGTGATGATAGATATGTATGCTAACAATATAATGATTTGATGGTGAAAGCAGCACGCGAACAAAACTATCATAAAAACATGTTAACACAGCATATTATGATGCTTGTGGTTTCGACAAGCATATTAACATAGCAATACATCTCTCCCAAACGAACTCTTCCATGATGAACAGAAAGTGAAAACTCAAAATTGGTGCCATGAAAACAGTGTAGAAAACTGTGCATAAATGGATTGTTTGGCCCCATTTATGCTTTATAAGCACGTAAATGATGTATTTCTTTTCATATGCTGCACATTCATAGCTATGGTCAAGAAATTATTTTCAATATTTATCATAGGTAATTTTCTGCACATCGAGAATGACCGCGTGAATATTAACTGTCAATTTATATATACGCGTGGTAGTTAGGGGAACATTTTTTCATCTATTGATTTCTATTGACTCCTCCTACTGTTGATTTCTATTCTTCACCAGCACAAAGAACGTTACGACTAACGTCTTGATTATGACTCGTTAGGCAAACGTCAAGCGAGTTGAAATTGCTAGATTTATAAGAATTAACGAAAGTGTGTAAGGCATACTCATAAATTAACCTTACATTACACTAATTTGATTACGGTCCACGTATTGCCGCCAAAAATTTGAATTTGATTATTTCATCGTACGTACTTATGTTGTTTCTCTATAAAGAAAAATTTCCAATTTAATTAATTTCTTAATTTCATTTACAGAGTTTTTTTTATTTAAATACATTCTAGTGATGAAGAATTCTTCAATTGCTCTTTTTCGATGAAGGTATTCTATAAACTTCACTATATTCCTGAACTATTTTCTATATTCTTATTCTTCTTCAAAAACCATTTGAAGGTTTTTATATTAACTGCGTTTTGTTTACAGTTCCACTGATTGTCAAAATAAAATGCTGCGCTTGCAGCTTGTCAACAGTTTGAATGGTTATTATTTATGACTTGGCTGAAGAAAATAGCTGAAAATTATGGTTTGGAGTTGGAGTGCATTTGTTTCATTGATGGCGGTTTTATGTTCTGCTGCGTTTGGGGAGGAAAATCAATCACATCATCGGTCGAAACGGTACCACTACATCAACCCTGACTCACCCGTCACACTAGGTGAGTCCGCTGTCATCACACCAGTTGAATCACGCTGTCATCACACCAGTTGAATGGCACCCTCATCACACCAGATGAGTGAGGCCTTCATCACACCAGGTGAGTGAGGCCTTCATCACACCAGGTGAGTGAGGCCATCATCACACCAGGTGTGTGAGGCCATCATCACACCAGGTGAGTGAGGCCTTCATCGCGCCAGGTGAGTGAGGCCATCATCTCACCAGGCGTGTGAGGCCATCATCACACCAGGTGAGTGAGGCCATCATCACACCAGGTGAGTGAGGCTATCATTACATCAGGTGAGTGAGGCCATCATCACATCAGGTGAGTGAGGCCATCATCACATCAGGTGAGTGAGGCCATCATTACACCAGGTGAGTGAGGCCATCATCACATCAGGTGAGTGAGGCCATCATCACATCAGGTGAGTGAGGCCGTCATCACACCAGGTGAGAGAGGCCTTCATCACACCAGTTGAACCACGCCATCATAGCACCACGGTTAGTAACGTCGCTATCATATTCGAGGAGCTAGATGATCCTCCCAGTTATTTTCATCAACAAAATATTCCAAAATCTGTGATAATACTACTATATTGCAACATGGAATGCGCGATAAACGTTTTTATTTCTATAATTAATTGCCCTACAAATAGTGAAAAAATAGTTTATATACAAATAGTTTAGTGAAAATTATGAAAATAGCGATTCCGCTGGCATTTTCGTCAGAATGTTTCATTTTATGAGCGTATGGTATGAATTTCTTGAGATGCTTTTGTTATTTTTTTTTCAACTTTCAGAGAGAACAAATTTTTTTCATAGAAATATTGTAGTCATCAAAGGAAGAAGGTATGAATGAATGTATTGACAAATAAAAAATACCAAGATTTTTAAATAACTATAAATATTGCGAATTTTTGAACCAATAATAATTTAGACGCGAAATAAATAAATTCACTAATATTGAGATACTCTAGAAGCCATGCCACTTTAACGTCGCACCCATTTTAGCATGTATGGGCTTGTTAGTTTTTTTACTTTTTACAGTTTATTAGCGATAGTTTCTCATCATAATACTTCTTGAATAATAACACTAATGATAATAATCCGTAATATACTGAAATAATACTTTAAATCTTGAGATATTTCCTAGAAACTCATGCTTATCTACCCTTGACAGGTTTCCTGCTCAAGACGCCAATTTCCTTTGCCTTCCCCGCTCTGATAGACCCGACCCCGCGCTCACTGGGGGACCACGAGACCGAAGACCGGCTGCCGGGTTACGAGTATCCTGAAGACCTTTTCTTAGAGCCTGCGTACGAGCAGGAGCTCGGAAGACTACAAGTATACTTTAACTACCTCAAGGTTAGTCACAAGTATACTTTAACTACCTTAAGGTTAGTCACAAGTATACTTTAACCACCTCAAGGTTAGTCACAAGTATACTTTAACCACCTCAAGGTTAGTCACAAGTATACGTTAACCACCTTAAGGTTAGTCATAAGTATACTTTAACTACCTTAAGGTTAGTCACAATTATACTTATACTACATTGAGGTTAGTCACAAGTATACTTTACCTACATTAGATTAGTCACAAGTATACTTTAACTACCTTAAGGTTAGTCACAATTGTACTTCAACTACCTTAAGGTTAGTCACAATTATACTTTAACTACCTTAAGGTTAGTCACAAGTATACTTTAACTACATTAAGGTTAGTCACAAGTATACTTTAACTACATTAAGGTTAGTCACAAGTATACTTTAACTACCTTACGGTTAGTCACAAGTATACTTTAACTACCTTCAGGTTAGTCAAAAGTATACTTTAACTACCTTAAGGTTAGTCACAAGTATACTTTAACTACCTTAAGGTTAGTCACAAGTATACTTTAACTACCTTAAGGTTAGTCCCTCAGGTGAAATAAAATATTTCACATTCCGTTATCTATATCAAAGTTAGATTTGTGACAACGGAGAGATGAACACTTGAAGCGGCATCTTGCAGGGCCTCAACCATCCGAAATGTTTGGGTTCAAGTATTTCCACCGATTTCTTTGCCAGCATTGCTTAGCTTTCATCGAGGTCCTGCGCTAATAACATTGACAATTCCTATTTACTTCGTTTACTCTTGGCAATTCACAAAGAGCTTCAATTTCATTTACGTGTCCTGAATAAGAAATACGTATAATAATTGAGCTATAATAATAATAAAAATAATATTAATAATATTATATTAACGCAGATTCATAGAGTACTCCCATCAGCTCGTACATGCTATCGTCGGTTCTAATGAGGGAGGACATATTCTTACTTCAGTGCCCTCACTGGTGACCTCATTTGGTCTTGGATTGCACCCATCAGAAAAAACCTTTTCACATTTACGCATATAATGGGTTGGGATGGGTTAAAGTCTACAAACCAGTGACAGTGTTCCTGCAAATTAGTTATCTATCTCCAAACATTCAGTTTAGGAAAAAGCTTGCTAGGTTTTAACACCAAAATTATTCCTTTTCCATGTCAGGTGTCAAGGGTGGTGTGTCAGGAGAGGGTAGTGTGCGAGGTGGCTGCTGATCCAGAAACGTTTACTCCTATTTCAACGCTTGTGCTGAGGGAACTTAGGTAAGTCATAACACAAAATTGACGTAAACTTTAGAAGACACCAAGATTGTTTCACTGGATATTAGAAATTTTGATTAAATTTAAATATTTTGTTGTGTTGAGGGAACTTAGGTAAGTCATAACACAAAATTGACGTAAACTCTGGAAGTTTCCAAAACTGCTTCACTATATAGCCAAATTTGGATAACATTTGAACATTTTTAACAAAGAATTGTTGTATTAATTTTTTCATGCACGAAAATTGGAAAGTTTTCAGCGATCAAACGGAATGACCCGATTGAGAACTAACCATTTTAGAAATATAAACAATATCGTTTCTTCTTACTTGAGCCTCACATTTCACTCAGATATCATTCAATCAGTATTATCTTAATCATTCCAATCGTCAGTTATGGAAAGATCGGGTTCCAAAGGCCGGATCCCTTGTGAATCAAGTCACGAAAAGTTCAAGAATCGGCAACAGGCCACGGGCCTATTTATTCAGCGCCGACACTTCTATTCTTTTCTATATACCCGCAGATTAACGCATGGCCCCGTGATACCCGAGTCTCACATTTAACTCATATATCATTCAATTAAGATGATCTTAATCATCCCATATACCCGCAGATTAACGCACGGCCCCGTGATACCCGAGTCTCACATTTAACTCATATATCATTCAATTAAGATGATCTTAATCATTCCATATACCCGAAGATTAACGTGCGGCCCCGTGATACCCGAGTCTCACATTTAACTCATATATCATTCAATTAAGATGATCTTAATCATTCCATATACCTGCAGATTAACGCATGGTCCCGTAAAGCCGTCGCGCGAGTCGCTGCTGTGGCGGTTCATGGCTGCGTCCGCGACGGGGTATGCGTACGGCGCCGAGGCCTGCGTTGAACAGTACGGGGAATGCGAGATGCCCGCGCGGCAACACTTCAACATGGTGGCTTTGGCACTGTGGAACTTTGTCTGTGCTATGCTTAATCTTAAATTACGTTAAATAACAAATTATGCTGATTTTTAGATTAGAATTTTAAATCTTTAGTTTTGTAGGATTTTGAATCTTTTTTTATTATAAGAGGATGTTTTCTAAGCTAAAACTACATCCAGTTTTTTTCGTAACGATTGGGAGTAAATGCATTGTACGGGGAAGATAAATTGCTAAAAAGGTTGATTGCTTTCACAAGTGTACTCAATTTTCACACATGTACTAAGAAAAAGAGAAGCCCCTTGAAAAGTAGCGTCTTACCTTACATTGACTTAGATTTTTCGTTTTCACTTCAATGTTTCGGTGTATTGCAGCACTATATTACCACAGCTGAAACAGCTGCCCAATATCGTGAAAAATATTTTTTTTATCGACGTAAAATTCATGCATTCTCATGCGGGAAGCTGCTGAGATACGTGGAATCAGTTCTATTCGTTTGTCTCTATAGCTGGTAAAGAAATTTATCTGAAAGTCTATGACAGAAAAAAAAATAGATTAGCAATGTCTAAAATAGTAGAACTGAGGGACTATAAGACATGCTACAGTAATTTTTTTGGCGTGAATTTCTGTTACCTCACCAACAGAGCCCCTCGTCAGGAGCGAACATGATCGTGTATTTATATATGAGTGCTTCTCTGTTGGATTGCTCTGCATGTACGATAAAAAGATATTTATGACCGTAGTTATACCGGCATTTGCTTACACGTAAATATCTATTTTAGTATGACTGCCGGGAGTAATAGGGCATTGAAGCGAGTTATCTGCTAGTTACGCCAAGCAAGTTATGACCAGGGGCCACACTTTCAAAACTCGCCAAGTGAACGTAAGTACTAACGCTCTATTTTCTTGTCAATGATTGGTGAATTTTACTTGAAAGGCCGTTAATGATTGGCTGATGAACTTACGATTTCTTAACTTTTTGAACGTATGGGCCCTGAAGCGAACATCATCGTGTATTTGTATGTGTGCGCTTCTCTGTTTGATTGCTCCGTATGATAAGAATTAAAAATTAAATTAAAGGTATGCGTTGATGACACTGATGATGACCGTGAGGTGAAATGTCAACGGATTCCTTATTTATCGAAATTTAGGTTACAATAGCGGCGAAGGCGGCGACGAAGGCGGCGCATCAGCGTGACCGTGAACTACGACGTCCTAAACTCATCACAAAGTCATCACAAGGTCAAAAGAATATTTAAAGAGATCTGGTGTATTCCAAATTACTTTGATGGTTGATTCACGCCAATATTTTGTAATCATTGCTATTCTTCTGCTTAAAATAGCTAAAATTGCACCAATAACTTAGATCTTAAGAATTTTTTTTGCTTTCCATATTTTTTATTTCAGAATCGAATAAAAGTTTGTACTTTACATAACTAAGAAAGCATTATATTTTGGGCATTGATAATTTATATGATAATTAAAAACTATTTATAGATAAGGCCGTCCGGTAACTCAAGATATTAAGCCTAATATTTGTCAATACTTGAATTCTTGATGCCTTAAATGACCCGGATGCAATTTTTTCAAGTTTGACCGAGGTGATAAAAGGGAAATACTGGGATTCGACATCTGAATGTCGGTCATATATAGGCTTATACTTTATCTTTTTTTGCATCATTCATGTTCGTAGTTCTTGATCCTCAAAAAAATTGTTTTTTTTTTCACTAAATTAAATGTTCTCGAGCTCTACAGATTGCTGTCTGTCTTATCTTGCCTACACTGATAGTTATTCATAGGGAGAGTTCGAGTCAGGCAGACAGCTTGAGTTAGGCAGGACTTTTAATGATTAATTATAAGAGCCAATTAATTAAAGTAATTAAAGTGATTGACGTTATTAACAACTATAACTCAAAACTCGGTCGTGGGGCCGCATTGGACTGGTCTTCAGCGGGCCCAGCAAATTTGAAAAAAAAAGATAGTTATTCATTTACGTTGTCGTTAAACAAAATTAATAACAAACGATTGCTTGCCTACCGTAACCTAATTTTTATTCGGGATTGTTTAACACAATGATGCCTTTTTTCATAGCTGGCAACTGATTTTCTTTTTCATTTGAATCGGATTACTGATGCTAACTTACATGATTTAAAGTTTTCAAAGTTCCAGAAATTCTATCAAAGGTTTGATCTCGCTATGGAGAGTTTAAAAATCCTGAGAAATTTGTAGATTACTTCAAGTCTTTTATTATTGCTGCATTTATTACGAAACTTCTCTTTGATAAATTTTAGTGTAAACAATTGTACATCGATTTTTATTTGCCCCGTAGAAACCACATTAATCAAACTTCATTTAAACAAAGAATAATTTTTTTTCCAAAAATTTAATTTAACTCATGATAATTTAGGGTATAGAAACATTTCATATTCATAATCAGCGAGCAATCTTATTTAGTTGAAATAAATAGTTCAGTACAGCATCGCAGTCAGGCCATTAACCGTAAAAATGAACGGTAAGGTAAGAAAATATACACGAGAACACCAAGTATATATAGTTTAAAGAAGGAAAGCTACAAATAATATATATTATAGAAATACTAGCATACTAGCGATCTAGCATGTTAATGATCGCAACAGAACAATATAATCTTGGTACAATTGCTGAATAATACGGTTTTGGAAAACATCGTTTCAAACAAATCAATGGTATAAAGTCAAGTCTCTATTTCTGTGCTAAACTTTAGTGTTCCAAGAGGTACATTCAAAATAACAAACAGGACAGCTGAATAGTTTGAAAATCGACACACGTTATACATATTCAGTATATGCATAAGATGCAGTCACACATGGTAAAACATAAATTATAAATTATATATAATATAACTTTTATTTACGCGTTCACTGCGTGTGGTCCTTTGCGTTCAAGAATGGTAATGAAGACAAACGAAATTAATCGTATAGGATCAATTGTTTTCGACGGTCTAGTTACGCTTATAAAATGAATTTTTCGCAAAATGATGTTACATAATAATTAACATTTTGAAATACTACCTTTAATTCTAGCAGCAATATAAATGAGCTTTAAAAAATAGTATCTAACATTTTATTTACTCGCATTGTATACAAATGAAGAGTCTTCACAGAATTAAATTTCAAGTGGAATAGCACAGTAACACGGAGGAAGCCAGTAATTCGAAAAAGCTCAGCGTAACCAACTATTTAAATGATAACGAAGGTTGCAATTTTTTTTACTTCTTCCTGCTATTTCGCCGCACAACTTTTTCAGTTCTTTGAAAGATCTTGTAAACATAAATTACAAATCCACGCAGAAAAATACAAATTTTCATAGGGAATTTATTAAAGTATATCGTTGTTTCAAGCAAGCATCTGGTAGCTCCTTTTCCTTTGAAGGCTCGAGCAAGATGCTGTGTTCTCGTTGCCAAGCAGAACATTTTTGCGTAACAAATGATAGCGGGTCGAAGAAAACTGTTTGGAATGCGTTTCATGACTAAGTATACGATCCTCCTATTCCGTAGTTCGGGAGTGAATCGAACGATCATTCTTAACACGAAACGATAAACAGATTTCGGGATGCACTTTAGAATATATAACTCAAATGAGCGTAATATTTTTCCAAATGTTGCCCAAAATGCGGTAATGACTTTGATGAGAGCCACGTTCAAGGTCCGAGTCGTGATGAATACCGCTTCAAAACAATACTTTATACTGACTAAAACAAACAGCAGAATTTTGATTATGCAACGCTCTAGACCTCTAGTTAAATGGCGGGCAGCGTTTGAAAGCAGAGCACACACGCTATTCTTGGGGGCATTGGGCTCAGGTTTCCTTACGATCGAAGGCAGGTTCAGCACAGCCGGTGGAGTTGAATTCGGAGTTGAAGACGAACGTCGAGGAATCCTGATGAGCATCTTGCAGAAATTGTTTTAGAGGCTCTCTATTAGTTAATAAAGTTCAAACGATGTCGATCTTGACTTATAACTCTGGCAGGAAGCAGGATATTAAAAAATAAATACAATTGCAAATCAGGCAGATCAAATCCTGGCGAGCTCCTTTGTAATGTCGTTTAAAGTTTTCGGGAAAAAATCTTTGCGTCTCAAAAATTTCAAATTATCTATTCACAAGCACATCAAATAAACTTGGTAATAGGCTGGAAACTGCGTCTGTCCGATGACAGTTGATAGATTATTCAGTTGCTCTGAGTTCGATGATGGCAGTCGAGTTTTCAGCTCAAAACGTTGGCAGTCGATTGAAGAACGTAGCGATATCAGCGGCGATGGGGCAGCGGAGGAGCGGGTTGTTGAGGTCTGCAGAAATAAATTCTCATGAGAACTATGAAGACGCAAACACGGCGTGAGAGCGCGAAATAATTTCACTACCTCATTAAATAAGCGCACGAAGACCTGTATACAATATACATGTTAGTATATGTTGGCAAAATTCGTTCCTTTAAGCAGGTTTAATTGAAGACCAGAGAATTCATTTTATTGGCAATTTTCTTATTAGTTTTTTCAATAGATCGAAAAAGATTTTTCGCTTGCACGGGTAAATCGAAAATCAGATTACCGAAGGACATTTTTATTTCCTTAACGATGTTTCGAATGTTTCTATCATTCATTATCAATATCAAACTAATAAGAAAATTGTCAATAAAACGAATTCTCTGGTCTTCAATGAAATCTGCTTAAAGGATCGATATACATGATGCACAAATGGGTGACCAAATTTTTCGCTATTGATATTCTCTAATGCGGATATAAACCATGATTAAAAATATTAGGCTTCAAGTCAGTAGCCATCAATTTACAATACAGACCGTCGCATTTAAATGGTCAAGGTTTACAAGACCGAGCCGAAGGAAAAGTTGATTTCAATGAATTATCGCGATGAGTATTTCACTTTGCATTTATTTGCAAAGTTGGTCATTTAATAATAATCAATCAGTGATATATTTGAGTCGCTATACAAGCAAAGCTAGATGACATTTACCTTTTCGCTGCGTTAAGCTGCATTACGACGACGCTACGTATTATTCACAAATAAGAGCAATATATGTTTTGAAAATCACTGGTATTATTTGTATGAGAATAAAAGTTTTAATTAGTTGGATCCCTTTCGGCGTGATATCACACAAGGTAATATTGGCTACTTTGTATTGGTTAGATCGACAAAATCTAATCTATTTCAAGTAGTGCAAGTATTGTTTAGAAGCGTGGGCAGATTTGGTCCGATAGATGCAGAAAAGGTCTAAACTTTTGATGTTTACTGTCAATGACATTTATTTGGAAGCTACGGCAGATTTGAGACAGTATGTCTTCGTAAATTATTAAATTTCTACGAAAATGACTGGGAATTTTATGAATACTTTGAGCAGAAGGTTAATGGAAAAATGTACTTCAATATAACAATATGGTTAGTTGTAAATTCCTTTTTCTCGGCCTTGAATGAATGATGAAGCTAATAATTTTTGCATGATAGCGCTTAAATTTGGCAGATGTACTGCAGCAAGTATTGTTAATGTGGCATGTCACTGCCACTGTGTTAGTGTTGCAGGTGCCTGCCACTGCCACTGTGTTAATGTTGCAGGTGCCTGCCACTGCCACTGTGTTAATGTTGCAGGTGCCTGCCACTGCCACTGTGTTAATGTTGCAGGTGCCTGCCACTGCCAGTGTTAAAGCTACTAACAACATTGTGTGTGTATGTATGTATGTGTATGTGTATTTCCCATCCTGGTAGTGGTAACTTGGGGAGAGAGAGGCTGATCTTTGGCCCAATTTTGATAGATCAGTTTTCAGCGCAATTTCTCATTCATGGAAAAAATGCACTATTGTGCTCGCCATGTCCGTCTGTCTGTCTGTCCGTCTGTCCGTGACTTCACGTTTTCGTCGACGAGAAAATGCGTTCTCTGTCACTCACTGCAGTGAGTACTGAGTTATATTTTTCTATGGTAGTTCCACGACCCTCATTGATGGCCACGTGGCCAGACCGTGATACTGAACAGCCGGAACCATTATTTTGCATTACACAACATTTGGTGTAAGAAGGCTCATCCTCATGTGTCATGGCGATCAGATAATAAGTGATTGGAAACCAATTTATTTTCATACCAAATCAGTGAAAGAAAACCCTCACTGACAGGTCAGGAAGAAACCAGTTAATTCATTAAAGTGTTCCACAATATTTCTATCCGGAATCTACGGGAATAAAAAAGACTAAAATAGAATTGCATTTCAACTTGTGCTGTCAAGAATCTGTTGTCAATAATGTAGTCATCGACAAATATCCCCTGTTGAATTACCTTGTCGAAATCGAGTTACTCGAGCATAGGCAGGGAGGTCGAGTGGTTACAGTTCAGGGGCCATACTTTCAAAAAAAGTTAAGAGATCGTAAGTTCATCAGCCAATCATTGACGGCCGTTCAAGCAAAATCCACCAATCATAGACAAGAAAATAGAGCGTAAATAATTACGTTCACTTAGCGAGTTTTGAAAGAATGGACCCAAATTACCAGGGGCCATGCTTTCAATCGTAAGTACTTACGCTCTATTTTCTTGTCTATGATTGGTGGATTTTGCTCGAAAGGCCGTCAATGATTGGCTGATGAACTTACGATCTCTTAACTCTTTTTGAAAGTATAGGCCCAGAACTAGAGCGGTTGAGGTCTCTCGTTGACAAATACTGGCATCCCTGAACATGGTTATCGGAGGTGAAGTCTGAAGCTATGTCCATCCAGTAGCCAGACCGTTTCTAGACTTACGAGCGATTTGATGAATGCTATTAGCTATTAGTCAGTAACGTCTTTTTATTTTGTCTCGTTGCTCGCATTATATTATTCACAATTTGTATCAATAATCACAATCACCATTTTTGTCATGTCATGCTTTAAAATTCTTTTATTACATGCAAAAACTCAACATCAATAAATCTGATATCGAATAATCTCATCTATCAACCTCGTCCTAAGAAACTCTAAGTTTTCTTTGTATTGTAGGAACAGTGAACTGTGGGTTCGATACCAGCAGCCAACAGCTTAAAGTTCAAGTCAAATCGATAAGGTGGTCGGGTGGTTAAGCACAGTGGATGTAGGAGCAGTGAGTTGAGTGTTTGAGACCCGCAACAAGCTGTGAAATTTCTGCGATGTTTAGAATCGGCGGCAGGCCTATTGGCTAAGATGCAACGCTTACTACGCTTTTATTATAATAATAATTCTGCGCTGCATAGAATCGGTGACTGGGCTATTGGCTAACCTGTAACGCTGACTACGCTTTTATTATTATAATTATTCTGCGCTGCTTAAAATCGGCGACTGGCCTATCGGCTAACCTGTAACGCTGACTACGCATTTATTATTATAATAATTCTGCGCTGCTTAGATTCGGCGACAGGGCTATTGGCTAATCTGCAACGCTGACTACGCTTTTATTATTATAATAATTATGCGCTGCTTAGAATCGGCGACTGGCCTATTGGCTAACTTGCAATGCTGACTACGCTTTTATTATTATAATAATTCTGCGTTGCTTAGAATCGGCGACAGGCCTATTGGCTAATTTGCAAAGCATTTACTATTATAATTTACTATTTACTATTACTATTACATTTACTATTATAATAATTTGAGGTATTGCAATGCTGATTACGTTTTTATTATTATTATAATAATTTGAGTTATGTGACTCACGCGTTGATGTAGGGAGCATTGCGCTGAGGCGGCGCCTGAGGCAGCACGTTGCCGTACGTGGGCTCCTCCACAACGGACTCGGGGGTGGCGGGCTGGTGGGTGACACGGCTGCAGCACAGAGACCCAGGGATACTTGTTAGCATTAATATTTTCGAAATAATTTATATGAATTTGAAGATAAAAAATATATATTTTATAGATAAATGTATTATAGATTGGTTATTAATTAAAATAATATTAGTAATTAAAATAGTAATTTTGTAGCACTAAGTAGTAAAGTGGGTTTCATAAATAAGGATGGCAAAACACCGTACCTGAAAGGATACTGATTAGCATTAATATTTTCGGAATAAATAATACGGATGTTAAAATAAAAATATATATATTTATACATAAATGTATGAACGTATTACTAATTTAGATAGTAATTTTGTAGCACTGACTAGTAAAACGCCTTCATAACAAGATGGCAAAACACCGCACCTGAAAGGGTACTTATTAGCATTAATATTTTCGAAATAAATTATACGAATTTGGAGATGGAAAAATATATATTTTATAGATAAATGTATGAGCGTATTACCAAATAAAATAGTAATTTTGTAGCACTAAGTTGTAAAGTGGGCTTCATAAATAAGGATGGCAAAACACCGCATCTGAAAGGATACTCATTAGCATTAATATTTTCGAAATAAATTATACGAATTTGGAGATGGAAAAATATATATTTTATAGATAAATGAATGAACGTATTACTAATTAAAATAGTAATTTTGCAGCACTAACTAGTAAAATGGGCTTCAAAAAAAGATGACAAAACACCGCACCTGAAAGTCTATAATGAGTGCAAATAAGATATTCTGATGTCTGATTTCTGTCGGCTTCCATTACAGATTTCTTAAATAATTAACATCAAAGATTACAGGTCTTATGACAGCATTTTATAAAAATCTTTAACGAAAAGGACCTAGGAAAATCTGAAAAGACTTCAACTGATTAAAAAGAAAGTAAAGTTAAGCCCTACATCAAAAAAAAAGTTGACATGATCGAGTAGCTAGAGCAACTATACGTCTGGTCAGCCTTACCGGTGTTGTTCGTAAGTTGATTGGGTTTGATGAGAGCGATTCTTTGATTGTTATCCACATCGAACAATGCTTACTCATTTCAATCGCATGGTTTTTGATTTTAGTATCAATCGCAGCACTTATTTATATTTGACGAATAATTTTTTTCTCATTTCTGCGTTTATATTTTCATAAAATAGAATGATACTCACACAGGCGGGAACGTAGGAGGTGGTGGAGCTGAACCCGGAGGCGAGAACTGCTGGAAAAGGAGTAAGTAGATAGAAGTTGTTTATTTCTATTTTGACAATAACATTTTAGACAATTTATTCCAACTACAATTGGAGATCTCAAAAAATTCTCAACATATGGCGCTCGATTCTTACAAAATCGTTTGGTGGGAGATGTACGTACTGAAAAAAAAATTATGGATCATTTAATCTATTTAGTGCGCACTTCCTGCCCGTTTTACTGATAAACCTTTTTGCCCGGGATAATCATGGTTAGGATGACCCGAACAAGAATATATTAGATAAAACCTTATTTATTTCTATTATTATTATTATATATTATATTTCTATTTCTCTGAGAGGAGCTGCTAGCACCAAGACTCCGCTCGCGAAGTCAGACATTTCGCAGCACTTTGAGTGGACAGGAAAAACGTCCCCACAAGTAGCAAAAAAATAGGATTTTTGCTTATGATCGTCGTTTGCTTGTTTCTCAAGGTCCTGTCATGTGAAACCTTCAAAACAACTTGGAGCAGCATTTAAAAGACACTCCTTTTCGCATAATTTTTTGCACAACTGGAGATTTATTTTTTACTAAATTATTTGCTTAAAAATTCACGTGAGAACAAGTAACCAGAATCTTCCCCATGTAACATAATTACTACAATATAAAATAAACATCGCAAAAATTTACATTTGCCAGGTAATAATTCTATAATATGAGAAAGAAATAATTGATATTGACATAACAAATATGAAATATATATATCCGAAATATAATATAATAATAAATAATATAATAATATTTTAATAAAGGCGACATACCAGGGTGCTGCTTTGAGCATCTGCGTACAGTGGTGCAGGCGAGGGCGGCAGCGCTGCAATACATAAAAGACTTGTGTCTTTTAAGATTTCAATTAAAATTATTTTACAAAAATATTTATAATAAAGTATACAGTCACATTATGTTATACAGATACTAAACTTGTCGTTGATATTCATATAATTGTCAATCGCTTTCTGTCTGTATGAAATTATATTAACTTTGATCGTAATACAATATTGATGATCTGAAACACGAGGTGAGGATATTGAGCAATCACTACAATACTGAGGTAGCTGTGACAATATTGAGCATCATGTATCAATGAATTTAGCATTGCATATAGGAGATATGGGGAGAATTTAGCATTACCGAGAGGCGAAAGAGGCGGCGGTCTTTAACATTACCGAGGGGAGATATGGGGGTATTTAGCATTAATGTGGGGAGATATGGGCATTACCTCAAATTTAGCATTACCGAGGGGAGAAATGGGAGTATTTAGCATTGCCGATGGGCGATATGGGGAAGTAATCACCATAGCTGAAGGGCATGAAGGGCAATATGGGGTATTTACCATTACCAATGTAAAATATGGGGTATTTAGCATTAACGAGGGGAGATATGGGGAGGTATTTAGCATTACTGAAGGGCAATACGGTCGTATTTATCATTACCAATGGGAAATATGGGGTATTTGGCATTATCGAGGGGAGATATGGGGAGGCATTTAGCATTACTGAAGGGCAATATGGGGGTATTTACCATTACTAATGGGAGATATGAAGGTATTTAGCATTACCGAGGGGAGATATAGGCTGTATCTGCTGAGTTTTCCAGTTTCGCTTTGAAGTTCCGCGGCTCCGGTAGCGGACTTGCAGCAGAGGAGCGGCAGGTCCTATGTGAGGTGGCTGCGGCTGAGGAAAGATAAAGAGATTGCAAGACCCCTTCAGTCACTTTCATAACAACGTTAGATTTTGCCAAAATTGTAATTTGCCTAAAAAACTGCATTTTGAGGAATGATTATTGCATTTTACCGGTTTCTGCGCACAGAATTCTGAAAGAAAACTGAACACAAATATAGATTCGACACGATTTTAGGCTTGTCTTGCAAATTTTTAAATAAACTCTTTATAATTAGTCTGTATTCTGCATTATTCTGTATATGTATAATGCATCGAAATAACGAATGATTTGCTGTCGATCATTTATCACATTCCAACACAGTTGTTGCAGTGCTCTGCACTCACTGCTTGAATTAAATAATTAATTATTTATTTAAATATTTGAATTTGTTAGTTAAAAATAACTCAGAAGACCAGGAACCTCGCATGTTTGGAGCTTCGACCTCAGCAATTAATCTTGCGTTCTCTATTAAGTATTAATTTTTGCTCTACTCAGGCCTATGCAATAGGCTCCTACGTGATTAAGCAAGGCAACAAAAATTCGTCTTTTTACAACAGCGTCGACCTCTTGTCTGTAATTATTTTCGGGCCAAGAAGCTTAATCTCACTGAGCTATTCACTGTGAAATAGTTTAAATTCGAAAAATGTATACGACGAATTGAAATATTTTGATCGAGACCAGGAAAAAAGATTGAAAATTTAAGCGAACTTTGAAAGTGCGGCAGACTATATAGTGTGTAAAGGAAATAAAAACGTTTAAATAAAATTTAACTAGTGATTTCAATTTGGTGAAAGCGTCGTCTGTTGTAACTCCAAAACACGGTGGTATTATGACACATTTTTTAATTTTTCAACCCAAATTGAAGTATTCTAAAAGTTGAAAGTCTCGCCTTGAAATGAATAAATGTTAAATGATTATTCGAGAGCACGATTCATTTCTTTCATTTATGAAAAAAAATTATTTTAGAAGACCTTAGAGTGTGCTGCGATAGGCGACATCTCGATGTCTCTGTCGGTAGAAGCTTCGTCCGCCGCTGCGTTCGTCAAGCCTTCGTCTTCTGCAAATGGCAAATAGATACGTACTATGTGGTCATGACCATCGTACTATGTGGTCATGACCATCGTACTATGTGGTCATGACCTTCATACTATGTGTTCATTACCTCCGTACTCTGTGGTCATAACCTTCGTACTATATGTGGTCATTACCTTCATACCATGTGGTCATTACCGTCATACCATGTGGTCATAACCTTCATACTAAGTGGTCATGGCCTTCGTACTATGTGGTCATTACCGTCATACCATGTGGTCATAACCTTCATACTAAGTGGTCATGACCTTCATACTAAGTGGTCATTACCTTCACACTAAGTGGTCATTACCTTCATACTAAGTGGTCATTACCTTCGTACTCCTCCTCGACGTAGGCGATGGGGTTGATGCCGAGCAGTTCGCATGCGAGGTCATGATTGTTGTAGTCCAAGATGAAGAGTAACAGGCCGGTCAACATGCTCACAATGCCTGTTGATGTGCATTAACCAAGTTGATCTTAGTTAATAGTGACAAATTTATAAATGACATAAATTTATTTAAGTCAATGCGTTTTGATTAGATAATTAGCATAAATAAATAAAATAATTTCTACAAGTGAAAATATATTGAGAAACTCTCAGTCTATGACCGAACCAGCAGGGTTATGTATGAATTAAGTTATCCAAAAATTATACAATTCGATTTAATGACCTAGGTTTTGTTTTATAGTCATATAAAATAATCGATAATATAAAATATAAAATAATAAAATAGTTGTTTTATAGCCATAAGCTAAAGAAGCTATAATAATCACTGGGTTTTTGTGCTATAAGTTATTTAATTCTATGGTTGAGTCTGCAACAAATGATTCATATGCCAACAAAATCTATGCCTGGATTTTGGTTGACAATATCAATGATTTAAATTAATCTTCTTGACATCTTTGACTAATCCGTCGTGACATTTGAATAAAATTTGAAATGAATTTCAATAATATGATATCGAGGCTGAAAATAATAATAATAATTAATGCTAAATTTTTGCCATTCATACAAAGTACACAAACCTGAAAAGACAAAATGCTAGTCAAATGAATATAAATATGATTATATTTATAAAACAAGATCATTACGAGCTCACGATCAAAATTAGTATCTATAATGATCGAGCAAATTTATTTGACAGTACACTTAGAAAATTGCTTGGGCCATAATATCCAAAATAGTGACACGCTTGCTTCGTGTAGCATTGACACGTCCGTTATCGGGCCGAAATAGATCAAGATAACCTACATATAACATATTGATCTCGGCGCTGAAGTGTAGGCCTGATGTGGCCTGTCGCCGATTCTTTTCCTTTTCGTGCCTTGTTCATAGATCTAAACTCGTGTCATTTGACCGGATCTTTTCATGACTGGCGATAGTTTGAAATAGCTACTCGCCATCCACCGGGTTCGATATGGTGCTAGGCATTTCAAATCTGAACATATATTTTTCCATAGCTTTATCTAGTCTGTTATGTATGTAATATGAGCAAAAGTGAATCGCTATTTAGATAAAGTTTAATCTATATCTCTGATTATTAAACCACTCACCCACAATGAGCGCCAGATACCAGTGGACACCAAACTTCGTTGTAAGGATCTTATGAGGAGGGTCAAAAGGCACGGCCAACTCAAAAGAGTTCCTCACAGAGGCCCATAATATGGCTGCCGTTGTGAGGCAGGCGCCGGTCAGAGACAACATGGTGGCTCCGTACCTCACAACCATGTTGCTCAGGATCATTGTTAAAATCCAGGCCGGCAGAGCTGCCCTGGATTCGATAAAAAATATTAATTACATTTTGAATTATAAAATTATTTGTAAATTAATTAATTACATTTTGAATTAAAACGTTGAGCGATGTAAAAATCGCTCAATTTTACATCTGAATGAATAGAATGTGAGGATCAACGTTGTCCTGTTACATAATTATTTCAATTTAAAGTTTAAATTTAATAGAAAGCCTACTATCACAGTCTTGGATATGTGACAACACAAATTGCGTGCAGAAGCTTCTTTATTTTTATAGATAAAATGTAAAAGATGGTCAGCGAATGGAATTTAGGAGAGTTGATAAAATAAAGAAGGGCATCGGAGAAAAGACTTACAGCTCATTTTATGTGTACTTGGACCATCAGCGTTACTGGAGATAGCTGATTTCAGACATTTTTTATAAAAACCTAAATAATTTGGATAACAATCGCGTAGCGCAAAAAATGGTAGCGCAATACCCATGCACCCTCTTCAAAAATTTCACGACGAAGAGCCTACTCTTTCGCATAGGTAAGGTCAGTCCCGCTCTGTGTAAATCAGAGTCCTTTAGTGCGTCCTTTCATTAAGGTAAAACCAGCTAGTCTTGCTTATATAAGAGTCTTGTTAACATAACGGCCTATCCTATCGCACCCTTGTGCATTGCAGTCGTGTGCGTTCCACCACGCAACCCGGTAACTCACCAGATGCCGATGTAGGCGCACCATCCCGCAACCCAGTAACTCACCAGATGTAGATGTGAGCGTACCATCCCGCAATCCGGTAACTCACCAGATGCAGATGTGAGCGTACCATCCCGCAATCCGGTAACTCACCAGGTGCAGATGTGGAAGTACCATCCCGCAACCCGGTAACTCACCAGATGCAGATGTAGGCGTACCATCCCGCAACCCAGTAACTCACCAGATGCAGATGTGGGCGTACCATCCCGCAATCCGGTAACTCACCAGATGCAGATGTGAGCGTACCATCCCGCAATCCGGTAACTCACCAGGTGCAGATGTGGAAGTACCATCCCGCAACCCGGTAACTCACCAGATGCAGATGTGGAAGTACCATCCCGCAACCCGGTAACTCACCAGATGCAGATGTGGGCGTACCATCCCGCAACCCGGTAACTCACCAGATGCAGATGTGGGCGTACCATCCCGCAATCCGGTAACTCACCAGATGCAGATGTGGGCGTACCATCCCGCAACCCGGTAACTCACCATGCGGCATGCGCCATACTTTCAAAACTCGCTAAGTGAACGTAAGTACTTACGCTCTATTTTATTGTCTATGATTGTTGGATTTTGCTTGAAAGGCTGTCATAATGATAGGCTGATGAACTTACGATCTCCTTTTTATGATCTTTTTTCTCTTACCATCTTTTTTTGAAAGTATGGGCCCAGATGCAAATGTAAGAGATCCTTCCCACAACCCGGTAACTCACCAGATGCAGATGTGGGCGTACCATCCCGCAATCCGGTAATGCCGGCCAAATCGAATGCCTTCTCCATCAAAGGTCAAATATTCGGCGATCCAGAGGATAGGAAGCGGTGTGCCGCGCTGTTGGTGCATCCGAAACTCCCTGTTGAAGCGCCCCGCTGCAACGGACAATCATTTCACAGCTCCGAGAACAATAGCTACTATTTATAATATACATGTGTATTTTCCCAAATCATTTATAAATTTATTTTACCAATAATCCCGTAAATTTTGAGTTTGATAATGTATTGAAGCAGATATTCTCACCGAATGGGCCGAAGCCTGCTCGGCCCTGTGGCCATGTCCAGCTGAACTGTTCGTTGTAGTTGATCGTTTCGTTGGCGAGGTCGTGCGTGGGCGGTGACTCCGCTAATCAAACACAACACAACAATCAATTATTTGCATTTGCATGCATATTAATTTACGCCAACTTGGTTCATTGAATTTATTTTAAAATTCGTAAATGACATTTAAATCACGAATAGGTGTATTGACGATGGGTTACAGTATGTATTTGGCTTATTTAAATCACAAAATATTCAAGGATTCATGTACGTAACATGTTGGTGTTTGAAAATTAAGGAAATATAACATACAATACTAGTTGTGTGAGTTCTATTTTCGGAGGTTAATATTGAGGGTAAGTTCTAACACTTCACACTTTTGAGGGTAATGGTGAGGGTTATTTCTAACACTTCTCACATCTAAGGGTAATATTTAGGGTTATTTCTAACACTTCTCACATCTAAGGGTAATATTTAGGGTTATTTCTAACACTTTTCACATCTAAGGGTAATATTAAGGGTTAGTTCTATCACTTCTCACTTCTGAGGGGAATCTTTAGGGTTATTTCTAACACTTCTCACTTCTGAGGGGAATATTAAGGGTTAGTTCTATCACTTCTCACTTCTGAGGGGAATCTTTAGGGTTAGTTCTATCACTTCTCACTTATGAGGGAAATATTAAGGGTTATTTCTAACACTTCTCACTTCTGAGGGTAATGTTGAGGGCTCTTAGCCCAAATTTCACGCCGATGTGGGCATGAATCTCTGTAGGGGACCCAGGCTTGTAGGGGGTGGGGGTCGAAAGCTCCCCAACCTCCCAACCGTGGCCGAAATTGCAAGCTTAGTATAAAAAAAGAATATTTGATACGTTAAAATATGTATTATGATGGTAATCAAGGGGATAATATGTCAATATAATGGTCGCTAATCTAATAGTAAAGTTTTTTAAATTGTTATTTTAATTGGAGTTTTGAGTAATATATAGAATTTGCGAGATTTAATTTTTAAGTAGCTAAAGTTAACGCCAATAACTATAAATAAAACCACTGCTAAAAAATATTGATTTTTTGAACTCAATATAGTTCAAGCTACAGGAAATGTCTTCAATAGCGAGCTTTGAACAAAAATTTGTTTTAATATAATCGACTGATGAACTTTATCGAGGCAAAGTTTAACATATATCAAATAAATGCATAGGGATTCAATTCGACATTTTCGTCATTCAACAAGAAAAATCCGAAAGAATTCCAGTTACAGGGTCAAAATCCGAAAGAATTCCTTGAAAGAATTGTCAGTTTCCGATCACTCGTGAATTTCAGGAATGCTTCAACAAGAAAAATCTCATTCGAGACGCGCGTTCATTCGGGCGCTCAAAATTACAAACGTGACGAGATGACAAATTTGCGTCCCGAAAACGTCCCAAAAAATCTGCATGGCTCCTTCACTGGGCCGGCGTTCAGTAATGCCAATGTCTTGGTTCTGAAGAATTGACTGGCCTAAGAAATTGCCTATTTGTTCCTTAAAGGAATTGAAGTTTTCTTGAGCAATGAAGGCTGTAAGGAAAGCAATGCAGAGTTCTTTGCGTGACTGCAGAACAAAAAAACTGAATGGCGTTGAAGATTTGCAAAATTTTGAAGGATTGCCTTCGTGATTTTTATTTCAGATCTTCTGATAAACTTCGAGTATATTGAATGTCTTGAATGTCATTAAATAGCATTAAATGACTTAGAGATCCCCGAGTTAGTAATTTCAAGTGTCTGTTAGAGATCCACGAGCAAACGAGCACTTGAAGTCTAGTGCATTTTGATCACCGATTTTAATATAGACAATATATCTTCAATCATTCTTGATTAAATACAACTAAATAACAATAAAGTTAGACATAAATCGAGAGGATATTCCAGGAACACAGGAGGACAATAGTCACCCATGATCACCCCTCCCAGGAGGAGACTCAGCAGCACGCGTAGAATCACCAACATCCGCTGCAAATAATAAATAAATTTATGAAAATTAATGAAATAAGGAATGAATGAAAAATGTGAAAATAAAAAGTAAGCATGAGTAAAGAAAATAAAGTACACATGCGATTGACTTCTAAAGAAACGACTAATTCAGCTTTCACAAAACAAAATGTAATTAACGAAAATATTTAATATTTTTTTTTTAAATTTAATGAAAAAGCTAAATGTGCCTTTTTGCATGGAGTATTTTTCAAGAAACGCTGCAAAAAATTTAGGATCAAAAAGACAAGCATCGTCAAGTCTAATAAGGTTCTCGTTCGAATAATTTCAGTTAAACATGCAATTTTGCGTTGGAATCACCTCAAATTTGACAAGCATCTTGAAGTCAAGCACAGTCACTGTGAGTTGAACAGTCAGTCAAGAACAGTTGCCCTGAGTTGGAATGTTATCCTATGACAGTCGTCAATTTTGGTCGGAATTGTGCCATAAAGCACTAAACAGTCACAACAAAGTTTAAGACAGTCTCCATAAAACCCTATACAGTCAACATAAACTCTAGAACAGTCGCCCTACAATCCAAGACAGTCACAATAAAGCACTAGAACAGTCACAATAAAGCACTAGGACACTCGTAATAAAGCACTAGGACAGTCACATTAAAGTACTAGGACATTCGCCATAAAGTCTAAAACAGTCATCATAAACTCTAGAACAGTCACCTTACAGTCTAAGACAGTCACCGTGAGTTGGAGGAGCGCCTCAATGTCAAAACTTGAGCTTGACGGGCACCATAAAGCCTAAGACAGTCACCATAAAGTCTAGGACAGTCACCATAAAGTCTATGACAGTCAAAATAAACTCTAGAACAGTCACCCTACAGCCCAAGACAGTCACCTCGGGCCTGACGGGCACCATAAAGCCTAAGACAGTCATCATAAAGTCTAAGACAGTCACCATAAAGAACTAGAACAGTCACCCTACAGTCCAAGACAGTCACCTCGGGCCTGACGGGCACCATAAAGTCTAAGACAGCCATCATAAAGAACTAGAACAGTCACCCTACAGTCCAAGACAGTCACCTTACAGTCCAAGACAGTCACCCTACAGTCCAAGACAGTCACCATAAACTCTAGAACAGTCACCCTGCAGTCCAAGACAGTCACCCTACAGTCCAAGACAGTCACCTTGGGCTGGACAGGGACGATGAGGGAGAGGGAGACCGCCAGAGAACAGAAAGCGACGATCCAGCCCGTCTCCAGCACGTCGTACGTCACTGCGGTCTTCTGCTCCGGGTACATCGTGGGGAATGGCACATGACGTGCGAACGTGAATATGCTCGCATAGTGCGGGTTATCGTCGTCAGACATCTTTGTTGTATATTTCTATTATATTAGACGGTTCTGCAAAGATAAATTGTAGTTTAATACAGCAAAGATAAATTGTAGTTTAATACATATAGCTTAGTTTAGACATTGTGGTGTCACAGATTGAATTCCATATGAACATCCAGACGATATTATAAGAAGAGCGTCTGGAAATTGGAAGGAATTATTTTAGTTCACCTATCACACCATATGGAGTCTTCTTCAATGGAGTGGCAAGATTATTCTTTGCTAGTTTATATTAAGAGATTCAACGCGCCACTTCACACATCCGGGACCCGAGGGCGGGGTGACCTGCCTAGCGAAGACTCGGACACGGAGGACGACGAAGGCGGCGCATCAGCGTGACCGGGGACTAGGAAGTCCTAAACTCATCATAAGATTCGAAATGAGGTCCTACACTCAAGAAACGAATTCGTAATATTGCACAAATAGTGACACGCATTTTAATCACAACTCGAGCTGGGAACGGCCGTAGCAATGATACGTAGCAATGACAATAGCAATAGCAATGACATGATACGGCCGTAGCAATACAATGGGTCACACGGACTGGTCAAGATAACCCGTACAAGGGGCAAAATTGCATCGCTATTTGGACATTTCTCACATGTATTTCTGAGTGTAGTGATATATACATAATGTACGTATATCACTACATAAAATGTAACCCGATTTAATTGTGTTGAAAAATTTTATCGAGGTTGCTGGCGAAATTCCAATAAATTTATATAATCTCAGTTAAATGAGAATTAATCGACAAGACAGACTTATGGAAGTCTTGCTAATTAAATGGTTTCTAATTACATAATGTCGCATTTTCAGCAAAATTGTGCTGCTTCAACTCGAATTCAGAATATTTATATATATTTTGAAAAATAAATTTGGTTTATGAATCGTTCATATCCTGAAATGTGCATTTATAAACGAAAATAAGAAAATCAAATTAAAAATACCGCTGTAATACGACAACGATAAAATTTTATACGGTTTTATCGTTTCAATAAACGTACCAACATTAATGAGATTCTGAATTTCTTATGAAGAGCACAGAAAATAAGAATTTCTTGAAGAACTGCAGAATATCTTGATAGTCTGTACGTAACAAGTTCATGATTGCTTCGGCTCTACACAAATAGCGTTATAAATTTAATTAAAATCTTGAACGTGAAGATACATGGAACGTTGCAGCACGCCTGTCTCGAGCGTGAGAATACAATGAAGCAGCAGCACGCCTGTCTCGAGCGTCAGAATACAATGAAGCAGCAGCACGCCTGTCTCGAGCGTCAGAATACAATGAAGCAGCAGCACGCCTGTCTCGAGCGTCAGAATACAATGAAGCAGCAGCACGCCTGTCTCGAGCGTCAGAATACAATGAAGCAGCAGCACGCCTGTCTCGAGCGTCAGAATACAATGAAGCAGCAGCACGCCTGTCTCGAGCGTCAGAATACAATGAAGCAGCAGCACGCCTGTCTCGAGCTTCAGAATACAATGAAGCAGCAGCACGCCTGTCTCGAGCGTCAGAATACAATGAAGCAGCAGCACGCCTGTCTCGAGCGTCAGAATACAATGAAGCAGCAGCACGCCTGTCTCGAGCGTCAGAATACAATGAAGCAGCAGCACGCCTGTCTCGAGCGTCAGAATACAATGAAGCAGCAGCACGCCTGTCTCGAGCGTCAGAATACAATGAAGCAGCAGCACGCCTGTCTCGAGCGTCAGAATACAATGAAGCAGCAGCACGCCTGTCTCGAGCTTCAGAATACAATGAAGCATGAAGAAACTGAAAGGCTTGATTGATGAATTGAAAGAATTGAAGAAACTGAAAGGCTTGATTGATGAATTGAAAGAATTGAAGAAACTGAAAGGCTTGATTGAAGAAACTGATGAAGATTGAATGATGGAAGAAACTGAGAGGGTTTTGACTGCTGCACCAGGGCAATGGCTGACGATAATCCAATAAGGCGGCGCTATAGTGCCTCCTAACTCTTGCCTTCAAGTTAAACTGCTTCTGTCATCCTCACTTCAATGTAAGCCTTTCTTCTCACGCCACTTAGCCTTTCACTTCAACGGTTACGCCTACGCAGCTCATGATATTTAAAAGTAACTACGAAAATTTGGATATATTGCGAACACTAACTAAGTTGACAGTTATTTTACAGCCGAAAAGATTTCGTATTTAAAACGTAAAATTCATTTTTTAACGTTTGGCCTGAAATGTACGAGGTGAATGAATATGGCGATATATCTATGAATCTTTTGGGCGCTGGTGGTAAGTCTAATAACCTGGTCGTTAGATATGAAAGAAATTGACGTCAGTTAATGCATCACTGGAAAAGGAATTCACTTTTTGAACATTGATGGCAACTCTAGTTTCTGTTTACCCGAATGCCAAATGCATTTAGAATAAAACCAAATGATCGAAACGCACGTGCGAGCCTTCTGAAGTATTGCAGGATTCATTATGACTAAATATAACAATTAATGTTCTAGCATTCAAGTAAAAAATATCCGATGCAATTATTCAAGTGTCCAGTTTTGACCAATTTTTTCCATAGAAACTCTTCAAAATAGCGAAATTTACACTCAGTGACTCAGAAAAACTTATGAATTATTATTTTTACTAGTTTGGTTATTGCCGCCGGTGTCATGAAGCTAATGATACTATGGATTAATATTCAGATTTAAATGGTAATTGACATGCACATTATTTCGCGCATTTATTATTGATATCAACGGCTGAATGTGTCCCAGCGAGCCAAGCGGCAATTAGGCATCTCGGAAATGGACAAGGCCGATAAGAGTGCAGTCGAATAAAATGATAATACTGGTAATAATTAATATAATTATAATATCAATAACCCCTAACATTATTGTTGTCGAATTTTAGTGAACAGTACCAGCTTGCATTAGAGCATTTTAGTGGGAACAACGTTGTCCAAAATTTGTCCAATTTATCTAAAGACATTTTGATTATATTCCAAAATAATCGCAGATAAGAGGACCCACAGACCTCGTCAGAAATATCAACTAGAAATGCATTGTTTTTTAGCCACTCAGTTATATCCCTGAGAAGTTAGGAAAAATTTTGTTCTTGAAAAATATGCTGATACCGTTTAAATAAAGTAAACTGTATTTTATTCAACAATTAAATCATATTTATTTATTACCACCAAAAATATACATGGTTGATGGAAAATGTGCTATTAGTGTCCACCTGCCTTGTTGAGTTTCCTTGTAGTTATACTATTGAACTCACACCTTGACCGAAGTGATGTCGCTAATTTTTCTAGAACTCCCACATATGATTAAACTCTACTTCATCTGTAGCTTCCACTTATTATTAAACTGATGTTCCCATTTTATCCGGAACACCCATATTTTAATCAACGGATGTCACCATTTCAACCGGAACTCCCTTAAACTTCTTTTAGGATTTAACTAAGGTCAATAATTTTTCTAAAGATATAACTAAATATTTTTATCTGTATTATAAACAATTATTAAATTTGAACGTTCAGTACAGCTACAAATTTTAGACGATATTGACGTTTTTTAAAATCAAATAACGTGAAATGAATGCACATATGAATTTTTCAGTAATATTGCGATTTTATTTCAGTACTTACTGACCAATTATTGACAATTTTTTCACTAGCTTTCATATGGATGATGTTTATTCTAATACTGCAGATATTTTAATTAATAGTTTTGCAAATAACTGAAACTGTGTCTGTGTTAGATTAGCTACTCTTCACAGGACGCTGAACGCTACAGTGTTCGAGCGTCGGGCGTCGCGCCGGAAACCTGCGTGCCTATCGACAAAGGATGCTCTTGCCGATTTCGATAGCGCTTTGGTACGGCGACAAACAGAACAAAAAAAAATATATAACTCAGGACTCACTGCAGTGAGTGACAGAGAGCGCATTTTCTCATCGACGAAAACTTTAGGTCACGGACGGACGGACGGACGGACAGACGGACGGACGGACATGACGAGCACAATAGGGCATTTTTCCATAAATGAGAAAATGCGCTTAAAAGGGTTTATCTGTCTCGGAAAATGGCATTATCAGAGAATGAGCTGGAAATTTGTTGTTTATTTACTAGTTAATTTATGCTAGGGAGTTGCTTCAAGTTTCTCGTTCGATTCTGCAGGTTTTTAATGCAAGGTTTTTCAGTAACGTGCGGTGAAATAATATAATTTGAAAATCGTTTGAATTCATGCTTTGGATAAAACTAAAAAGGGGACTATAAATTGAAATTTATTTGCTAAATTGAGTTTTTCGTAATAAAATTTATCTGACGAATTCTGTCGCTAACTAATTTTTAATTCTAGGTATCAATGTAAGGTAATGAATTAATTGATATGCTATAACGATTAACATTTTAACCTGAGCGATATCAATAGTTGCATAACCTTACCTTCACCGTCAATTTCACCATATCGGCCTTGATTTAAAATGCAGAAGAAAATATCACATTCTGAAATATTTAAAATTCATTGCCTCTGAAGGTAAATAAAAAAGATGTAACTTTAAATCATCATGGATAAAATATGCACAGATAGAATATAAGATTAAATGCTATTCCCGCTATTATGATGTGAACTCACTTATCGTGTGAACTCACATAACAAGTCTTGAATATTATTTATAGTCGATAAATTCATGTCAGTCTTATCAGTACGTAAATAATGTAATACAACGAACTTATCAATGACATTCAAGACAAATTTCAGCGTTCATATAGGCTGATGACATTGCAGAACCTATCTTTGAATCAATAAAGAATGGTGGCCATCGCAGATATTATTTCTATAGACTCTCTATCAGCGGTTTTTAGGTTCATTTTCCACTGATGCTTGCCTCTGTTCGAATTTTGAGCTCACTTTCTCAAGCATCGCAGGAGACCATCTCCGCACTTGGACTTTTTCTGCCAATAGAGGAAGGTCTTCTGGAAATCGCTTGCATTTTCTCCCTGGAAGTCCTACCGTGGACCGTAAAACCTATTGCCAGGAAATGAAGTTGCTGAGCGCGGCAACGCAACGCGGAATTTCAGCCGCAAACGCGGTGCATTTGCGCTCAATGTTGCACCGCGGCCGTCAGCAGTTCTTGCTACGACAAACGTACAAGAAGAAATATGTTGTAAAAATCAGATGTTGTGAAAAGAGCCTATTGAAGTAACTGGGGAATAAAATATAGGTCTAGTATCACCCTAGATTTCACTAAATAAAGTAGAGGTCAAGTACCATCCTAGACTTCAATAAATAAAGTAGAGGTCTAGTACCATCCTAGACTTCAATAAATAAAGTAGAGGTCTAGTACCACCCTAGACTTCACTTAATAATGTAGAGGTCTAGTACCACCTAGACTTCACCGAATAAAGTAGAGGTCTAGTGCCACCCTAGACTTCATTAAATAAAGTAGAGGTCTAGTACCACCCTAGACTTCACTGAATAAAGTAGAGGTCTAGTGCCACCCTAGACTTCATTAAAATAAAGTAGAGGTCTAGTACCACCCTAGACTTCACTGAATAAAGTAGAGGTCTAGTGCCACCCTAAACTTCATTAAATAAAGTAGAGGTCTAGTACCACCCTAGATTTCACTGACTAAAGAAGAAGCCTAGTACAACCATAGACTTCACTAAATAAAGTAGAGGTCTACTACCACCCCTAGACTTCACTAAATAAAGTAGAAGTGTAGAACCTCACTAGACTTCACTAAATAAAGTAGAGGACAAGTAACACCCTAGACTTCACTAAATACAGGAGAGGTGTAATACCTCCCTAGACTTCACTAAGTAAAGTAGAGGTCTAGTACCTCCCTAGACTTCACTAAGTAGAGGTGTGATACCTTACTAGACTTCACTAAATAAAGTAGAGGTGTAATACCTCACTAGACTTCACTAAATAAAGTAGAGGTCTAGCACCACCCTAGATTTCACTAAATAAAGTAGAGGTGTGATACCTCACTAGACTTTACTAAATAAAGTAGAGGTCTAGCACCACCCTAGATTTCACTAAATAAAGTAGAGGTCTAGTACCACCCTAGATTTCCCTAAATAAAGTAGAGGTCTAGTGCCACCCTAGATTTCACTAAATAAAGTAGAGGTCTAGTACCACGCTAGATTTTACTAAATAAAGTAGAGGTCTAGTACCACCCTAGATTTTACTAAATAAAGTAGAGGTCTAGTACCACCTAGACTTCACTAAATCACTACTAGTGTCTGCTCATGAGAATCTGTACGCTCAGAGACACGCGTGAGACTCTGTTTAAATAACGAAAAAAAAAGATTGCTCGTTGGAATAAATTTCGATGTGTAAGGGCGCCATAAATGCATATTAAGTCAAAAACATGAAGTTCCTGCCATCAGGACTGACTTAGTTAATGTGAAATTGAGCAAGAAGGCATTTTAATATTCTATCCTGAACTCCATATCTCTGCTTATCTCTGCCTTACTCGACTTGAATGCTGAATGAAAACTAGTTTGTTTATTTTCTATTCGAGAAGCATTTACCGTTTTTATAATAAGCCTTTGAAATCAATAATAAATTTCAGATTAGATCTAGATCAGATCAATTAATATGTTGATAAAATGAAAATTTTACCTTGTTACCGCATTTCGAAAAATTTTAACGTCCATCTTTCAAAATCTGAAATAGCCAAAACAGTGAACTAACTTTAGAGAAGAAGATATACCGAATGAATGATATTTTTTACTACAGTTACCCTTCAATAACCCCTTGAAATTGCAAAACATAAATGAATTTCTGAGCTGATTTACCGCCGCATGCAAAACAAGCACCGTGATCTTGGCAGCTCCAGTGCAATTTGGGGCCGTTTTTCGGCACCCAAGAAGAGTGAACGGTCCTAATCCGTGTGGATTTATCAGTAACGACAAATCGGCGACAGATTTATCAAAGACAAGCGATATATTAAGTTACTCTTGTGTTTCTTTGGAGCCTTGAAGCTGGAATTTCGAGAAGCTATTTTTTTACTTGAACATAGCGACTCGTGAGACGAAAACGGCTTTTCCACAGCACAGCACCAGGCGTTCCGCTCCGATGATTTCAAAAACATTTCAGGGATCGAGATTGCGTCGTGACTTAGCGACAAGAAATCATATTTTGCACCGCGAGGCAGCGCGAGTTTTTTTTGCGATGTATTGCAGTACAGCCGGACTGTGTTGCAATACTTCACATGGTGACATGTTGCGATACTTCACATATGGAGACATTCATAAGCATATTTAGATCTACTAATACTAGATCTAATAGTTTGTCAACGGTCGAGATTCAGGCAGTGCATTAGCCCAAGAAAAAAAGTACAAGTATTGCAAATTGCATACAAACTTTGTAGCCGAATGATTTTATTAAAAAATCGTGGTGGAATGCACTCCTAAATTCTGTGCACACTATTCACCACCGAAATAATTCGAAATGTTTATTCATACTTTATAATCCCTAGTTATACTGTAATTATAATGCCTAGTCAAAATCAATTCATGATATTTTCAAAATTTGTTGCCGTTTTAAATCGCTGAACATATCCATAATGACGGTTTTGACTTCACTGAAGAGTACACTGAAAGGATCTAAACCCTTAAGTTAAATGAAGATTTATTCAGGGATTGGTATTTTACTCTTTTGATAGACACTTCAAATTGTTCAGTCTCACAAGGTTCGCCGAGTCGTGATATTTAATATTCATATTTGATCAAGAAGCCCATACCCAATAATTGATAACAATTCATGTCAAAATAACCGCGATACCAGAAGAGGCTCCAACAGATTATCAAATGAATCGTTCCAGCTATAGGTGAAAATGGTATATGGTATAAAAATTTGATGTCAATTTTTTCTATTATCAATTTTTAATACGTCAGTCATTTACAAAAATAATAGATAAATAAATTAAACAGTTAGTTTATTTTATTCTAGATCATATACTACATTGGTGTGTAACGAAACCAGCAGCTGAGACTGGTCAACATTCAGGATAGCGGTTACTTACCTTGAAAAAATTGATTTAACATAATTTACCCCAACTTATTGTAACGAATTACATATAAAATTACCGGAGGCTGAGACTGCTTTATACATATAATAACTGTTACTTCCTTTGAAAAACTGAATTTAGCATAATTTACCATAACTTTTTGTAATGAATTACGTATAAAGTTACCGACAGCTGAGACTGCTATACCTTTAGGATAGCTGTTACTCACTTTTAAATATTGAATTTATCCCAACTCATTACAGGTACCAACAATAAACAACGTCTTTGTACGCCTTGCACGTGTTGGTGTTCAGGCCTCATGGAAGCCACAGCTCCGCCATAAAGTGTGGCAGGTGGCCTTTATGGCCGCAAGTTTTTGCGGCCTCCGTTGCTCGGCATTATGACGCGAAAATTCCACTGCAGAACAACGAATTTTGACATATAATAATAATAATAATGAAAAAATGATGAGCCATATTCTCAATCAGGATCCACTTTCAGAATATGTCGTTTAATGGCTTAAAGTTACTGAAATTTGAATGCCAGTCTGAAAGCGAATGGACCGACATACCTACCGAATCTGGTAAAGGACTAAAACTAAAGCAAACATAACCTGAGATAATGCGGGATAACTCGTTCATGAATGTCTTGAATATTTGTTATTTGTTTAACTGATTGTTTTAATATAACGGTCGGTCTGCAAGGAACTAATATGATAGCATCAGTAAAATGCGTAATA